TGTCTCTGTGTCTCTGTGTCTCTGTGTCTCTGTGTCTCTGTGTCTCTGTGTCTCTGTGTCTCTGTGTCTCTGTGTCTCTGTGTCTCTGTGTCTCTGTGTCTCTGTGTCTTTGTGTCTCTGTGTCTCTGTGTCTCTGTGTCTCTGTGTCTCTGTGTCTCTGTGTCTCTGTGTCTGTGTGTCTGTGTCTCTGTGTCTCTGTGTCTCTGTGTCTCTGTGTCTGTGTCTGTGTCCGTGTCTGTGTCTGTGTCTGTGTCTGTGTCTGTGTGTGTGTGTGTTTGTGTGTGTGTGCGTGTCTTATTTTGAGGGAATTCCCCCCCATTTTTGCGGTTGTAAAAAGAACACCGAAAGGAAAATGCACACCTGCAGCTTCAAACGACTAGAAAAAGGTAGGTGTTTTGGTCATTGTATTGCTTTTGCATGTTTCGTATCGTCTTTACCGCAAAACGACTAAGACGCCTAGAAATTTGAATTATTGGGTGGTTTTTTCTTGCTGGGCTTTCTCTCTCATTCAGCTTGATATTGCCCACTACACCAGATGATCGAATCTTCAGAAACTTCTAAACACTTCGAATCCTTCCCTCCATCAACACCCTTCAATCCTAGCTGTGCGGGGGAGTGGTGCGCAAATCGGAGCAAGTTTAGTCTAAACATGATTGGGCACCGATGTAGGGTCATGCTTGCAACGGGAAATGCAAGCACCGAGAAAGGAAACTTTATTGATATGAGGTCAGATGTTGGCTCAAATATCCTCCCAAACGGCCAGCAGCACGTTAGACGCCGGCCTTCGTACTAGTTTTCCAGCGGTTCGTACTAACACCCCCAGTTTTCCTCCAATCGTACCCATTACCCAAAACGCCCAGAAATTTCTGGGTGTTTGAATCTCCAGGCAGTTTGTTGGGCCCCCTAGAAAGAGACACCCCACACACGTATGCACGCTCAGTTTGCTTTCATGTGGTGTGTGACCGTTTGACACCACCACCAGAAACAGAGGGGACGACTCCAAAGCCGATGCTCAGCAAACTGCCAAATCGATACAGCAAAAGCATCGAGAACCTCTCTCGGCCTCAAAGCTCCCATTGGACGCCAAGTACTCTGAGAAGGAGATCCCCTGGATTTCGATCTCAGAGAAGCCTGACAGGCGTTCCCATAGGCCCATAGGTGTCCTTTGGGCCGAAAATAGATGGATTTCCCTGGCAGGTCGTGACACAACCAGGTCAACCTCAGGGCCAGGGTCTACCAAACGAAACAAAAAGAGGACACTGATGGGCCGACGGGTGTTCCTCTGACTTCTGGTTTGCCGCTGGCCTATTGGAAAACCCAGGCATTGGCTCACATTCCATGACGCACCTGGAGATGAAAGGTCAGCCTCTTGGAACGACTGGACAAGGGGAAACCGGAATCAAAGGTCGATTCGCTCTGGGCAAATGAGCTTCGGCCAAAGAGATAGCTGCACATCATAATGCCATAGGCACAGTCGAACATTTCCAACTTGTTGTTGTGCCTCTCAAATTGTTTTCCATTTATACGCCCTCTGCAATCCGAAACCTTCCGAGCTCAGGGAGGTGCGAGTTGCCTGCATCGTAGATGAGCTCCGGGGTGATGGTGCTAATGGCAGGCTGCGGGAGCGTCAGCTTGCCTCGGACGAAGAAACGGATGGACCCCCTGGCGTTTGCCCGGCTTTGGGCTGGCGAAAGCGGATCTTTTTTTTGAGCAAGCTGAGCCGTCACTTTGGAGCCCTGAACTCAAGGCCTCCATAAGAAATCCTTCCTTTTTCCGGCCCTTGTGGCTCTTGTTTGAGGGTCCCCCCCTTTTTGGGGGGGTCTTAAAAGGAAAACCAAAAGGACAAGCGCAACTCTTGTTTCGGGGGCGCTCCCCCAAGCCTGCACGGGGTGAGGGGTGTATGGGGGTACCTGGGGTCGGGTGGTCTCCTCGGAAACGAAAGGAAACCGCCTGAAGCTCCAAATGATGCATACAAGCACTTGTTGTTCTTATAACAGTTGTGGCTTTAAGGTGCCCTAACCCCCTGCATAATAAAGTTCAGGCCCTCGCCGTGGCTTCAACTTCCTACGCGCCGTCTGCCCGCAGAAAACGCCGCGGCGCGCTGCAGCTCCGTCGAGCGCAGATCCCCGATCTGCAGAACCACCGCGGGGTCGTTGGGGATGTTCCGCGCGTCCAGGCAGCTGGTGATGTAGCACTTCCTAGGAAACTTGAACATTGCCCTGTTTCTTGGTGGTTTCCCTTTCTGGTGGAAAAAGCAACGTGTTTCAAATGGTTGCAAAATGTATCTTTTAATGAGCCCTCTCTGAACATAGGTGTCCTTTTGGGTTGAAAATAGATCCTCGGTGCTGTAGATCCCCCAGCAAAAAGTGAAAAACTTGTTGCTGGTTAAAAGGAAATATGAGGGGAATCCAAAAAGTTAAAGTCTAAAGATCCAACCCAATAGCAGTAGAGGGGAAACCCCGTTTCGCATCGTTTCACCGCTCTCGGCTGCTCCCTTGCGAAAGGTTGACAACTTTTAGTGGTTTAATTCGGAAAACCCAACTAAGTTGGCAAAAAGTTAAAATCCTAACATGAAAGCAACATGCACCAAAGCGCTTCGCTGGCTACTGGATCTTCAACAGGGCTAAGGGCATTTCCAGGAATCAGGTTTGGAGCTGTGGATGCAACAGCTACCTGGTGCAACCCGTGGATGGCCCCACCACCCTGGTCTGCCCAAAATGTAAAGTCCAGAAGCACGGGGAGTCAGTGAGTCTAATTCCCAGGCACATGAGCAGCTCTCACAGCGCCTTGTTTTCCACGATTCCAGTTGAAAGAATGTCATTGCCACGCAACGGTCCATCCAGAGGGGGAAGACATGTGGCATTCGACAGGTATGCCTGCCCCTTAGGAGTGACCACTCTGCAAAATTCCCAGAATGGAAGACAGCGCCGTGCGACATGCATGTCTGCCCATACTGCAAAAGAAATGCAGAGCCAGCCCCACCCCCACGCAGGAAAGCCCCGCTGGAGCTAACGGGGGGGCGCGGGAAGAACGGAGTTCGGGGATCAAAAAGAAGGCTTGCAGCCCGATTTCTGCGGTGAGTTGCCATGCTTGCACAAGGAATTATTGTTCACCTGGCCTGCCCACCCTGAAACAATGCAATTCCCAGGCACATGAGCAGCTCTCACAGCGCCTTGTTTTCCACGATTCCAGTTGAAAGAATGTCATTGCCACGCAACGGTCCATCCAGAGGGGGAAGACATGTGGCATTCGACAGGTATGCCTGCCCCTTAGGAGTGACCACTCTGCAAAATTCCCAATGTGGAAAAGAAAAGCCCAATGTGGAAAACAAGAAGGTGAACTTATGCTTTCCGCAGTGAGGAGGGGGGGCAATCAATCTGAAGCACTGCCAAACGACCGAAGCAGTGTGCCAAGAGTGAGATCTGTTAAAGACTCAATCAAAAAGAAGGCTTGCAGCCCGATTTCTGCGGTGAGTTGCCATGCTTGCACAAGGAATTATTGTTCACCTGGCCTGCCCACCATGAAACAATGCAAACCCCAACAAAACCCAATAACACAGATATGCGAATATTTAGGAGGTCCTGAAACATTGCGCGGGTTTCAGTCTTGTTGTGTTCTTCGGTGCTACAGGACACGAGATGATCCTGCCATTGCAGCTTGCTAGGCCGAAGGCGAATGCAACCCGGTCCTGCCCCGAGCCCCGAGCCCAAGCCCCAAACCTGTCCATTGCGCCCCGTTTACATCGTGGGACTTTCCAAGCGATTCGGTAAGGGCCCAAACAAAAAACGGGGACCCAGCAACCAAACCCCCAGAGCAATCGCTGAAAGCTGAAAATTTGCAGTGTCCCGAGAACCGAACTTCTGGTTGCTCCCTGTCCCCCGTTCCGGACTTGTCCTGCTCCCATCCAAGCGTTGGTCATTCAAAGGCTTCTTGAGCTCCACCGACAACCTTCCCCCCCCTCTTCCCGTCGATCCCCTCTCCATACATTCCTACCCGAAACAGCCATTTAAAAATGCTGGGGTTTCCCCCAACGTTTTCTCAACCCTGACGGTTGAAAACCCCGCCATTTTCTCAGCGGCTCTGGATGCCGCAGGTTCTGTAGAGAGCCCCAACGGATGGGTTCCTTTCGGTGCCCCCCGAAAAGAACACATCCAAGAGACACGCGCCAAGAGAACACAATGGGAGGGGCGCCTGGAAGCTGGGTTTTCGAGTGGCAATGAGGTCGCCTCCTCAAAACCTCCCTTCCAAATCCAAAGTCGGTTTGGTGACCTATAGGTCCTCCAGACTTGAGAGGTTAGAATAATGTTACCGTGTCTTTTTTCGGTAGTCTATTTTAGTAGGGGAACCTCCCCCAAAAAAGAAACGGTGAGAAAGGGCACCAATTGCTGGGGGACCTAGGGTGAAATCCGCCAGGCTTCCCCAAGGCTGAGGTTAGATGCGGAAGAAAGGACCTACGGCATGGCTGAAAAAACTCTGAGTGCGTGAAACCTCCCCCCCGAGTCCCCAAGTCCAAGGGTCAGCTCCGTATCTGACAGGTACTCAATGCTCTTGCCTGCCGCGCAAAACGACAAAGGGAGGTTCACCCTGGTACCCAAAGCGAGCGGCCCGAGCATTTGAAGGCCTTCCTGCAAGTCGCAAGAAGGTGCCCACCCCCCCAAGCCCGCCCAAACCCGCGGCAAACACAGGGTTTGCCGCTGACCTTTGGGGGCGGGAGAGCGGGAGGGCGGGAGGGGGGAGTTGGCTTGCTGGCCGGATGAAGGTTGGTAAGGGACAGCCCCAACCATAAATAGAGCGGCCGAGGGTTGAATTCCTTGCATGGTTCTGGGTAGGCCATGTTAGTGCCAGGTTCTGATTGTGACTCAAGGGCCGCCATTCTACCTGCTAGGTTCTTCAGCCGCTCTCGTATGAGGACCCACGCGTCAAAGGATGTTGGTCAGGACCTTGAGGCGGAAACCACTTAGAAAACTGTTCCTAAGAGCCCAAAAGAAGAAGCACAGGACGGTGTTAGGACCTGTTGGTTCCTACAAGGCACATTGGGGACTCTCCAAACATAGGTGACTTGAAATCTGGGTATGGCTTTCGATTCGGGACCCTTGTAGAATTCATAGCCATGCGTAATCTGTGCTGTCCTGACTGCTACAAGTTCAACTTGCTCAAATCCCCACTACCCAGAGGCTCCCGATGTATTTAGGGCCCTCAAACAGCCAGGTGTTGAGACCCCCAAACACCTTCGGGGTGTCTGGAGGGGTCGGGTTTTCCATTGAAAGCCCCAGGAGCCTCTGGGTAAACACCACAAAGCCAAAAAGCTAAGGGGATGGGTGGGAGCGGGGGTTTTGGCCCCTTGCACCATCAAGCCCAAGCCACAGGCCCGACGCCAAGCTGCAGAAGGACAACTCAGGGTCCACCCCTTGCAGCCAGAGCTTGTACCTTGCACAAGAAGAGGCCCCTCCCCTTGTGCATAACAAGTGACATGGTCAAAATGAGCAAACAAAAACTAAACAACAAGTGGTGGTCAAAATGAGCCTCATGGGCTGAAGGGAAAACACCCCCGAAGGTAAACCATTTGTCAGAACCCCTTCATGGCACCACCGAAAACGGGCACAACAGCCCTCTCTCTCTTTGCGCGAGGCCGTACTTAAATACTTTCCAAACAGATCCACTTGCGGGTGAGGCCATGACTACTGGAACACCGTCACAGGGCCAAAAGACCGACTCTCATGAGGGTGACTCAAACATGGACCCCATCTTAGCCTTCAAAGAAACATTGCTTCAAACCTGCACCCTCCAGGGCTTGCCCATTTGTCCTCATGCGCCCTTGTGTGGTTGCCATTTTGGGTACCAATTGACAACCCTTGGAGGGTGGTGGAAGAGAACCCTCGCTTTTAGGAGGCCCCTACTTTACTCGGCGGCTTTCTGCTCCCCTGCAAAAAGTTTAACTTTTAGTTGTTGAAATTGGAAACCCATGAGTTGGCAACAAGTTAAAGTCCTAACCTTCAAGCAAAATGCACCCAAAGTTTAAGAAAAATCTCTCCCACCGGCCGCAACCGGCCGACCCCTCCCATGACGCTTGGCGAGGTACTCCTTCAAGGTTACGTAGGTCAGCGACAGCGAGGTGAGACTGGCGGAGCGCTGAAAGAGAAAAAGATGAGGAGGGTGATTCGTGTGTTGGTGAGGTGGGGAGCTCTGAATTGGGGGGTCGGTTGAACTTAAAATCCATGGTAAATCCACGAGGTGTTATGGACAAACCCCCCTCCTCTTGCTGTGTTTCTTTTCGGCTTGCCACTCGAAACCTTGTTTTCCATATCTGGGCTGCCCGTTTTCGAATCCCTCGCAAAAAAGTGACTAGCTTTTAGTGGGTTAAATGAAAACTACCAATAAACACTCAGAGGCTAAAAAGCTAAGGAACCGGATGGCTGGGAGCCACCAAGATATCAAACACGTGCCAACAAATATCAAAATGCATACCAACAGCATGCCGATCGATACACCAATATATGCCCAAACAAACCAAAACGATCTGACGAGTTAAGTCCAGCAACCATGGACTCGAGTGTTGCCAACGCCGCAGGTCGGAGCAAACGCCCGAAACGGAGACCGTGTCTGAAATGGATCCAGAATCCAAGACTTCACCAACATTTGATCAGTTGGTTTTTAGGGACCTGGGAACACAAGGTTAAACTTATGGACCATGTCAAGAAAACAAAGGTGATTGCAGGTTGATTCGCTTTGGTTGTCTTCCGGCATGAGGTGAGATCGCGGCTCCTTTGCGAGCTCGCTACACTTACAAAAAGGACATGATGTCTCCCATCCCGAACGTCTGAGCAGCGCCCAAACCCAACCCATTGACGCTTGGTTCCAAGAGAACGGTTGTAAAGGTTTACGGATTTTACATTGATTTTACCCTCCGCCTGAACCCGGCCCATTGGTTCGCTTGGTTCGAGAACGGTCATGAAGGTTCTGGACTTCCCGCCCTGTTCACATGGAACCCTTCGACCTTCGCGAGCCCTTGGTTGCTGCAACGACCCCCCTGCCAAAAAGTTCAATTGTTTGAGGGGGTTTCGTGGAAAACGCCATAAAACGCCTAAAATTTCCGAAAAGTTAGAGTCCAAAGATCAAACCCCATCACAACCAAGCCCCGATTGCCTTTCACCGGCCCCAACCAGCACGGAGCTCCGCGAGCTCCCCGAGCCCCCCCGAGCCCCCGAACACCAGGCCCCATGCGAGCGAACGCGCCGAAAATCGGTCCGAGCCAATTGGTTTGAGAGAGGGTGGCTCAAAACTAAAGGGTAAATGGAACCAAAAAGGGTAAATGGAACAAAATGGTGATACCAAACTGGCACCAGAAATAGAAATGGAACCAATTAGACTGAAACCTGAGCGCAATCCTTGGCTCTTGAACTTTTTGAGCCACAGAAATGTATACTCTAAGACTTCCTGAGTGGATGGCACTCGAGCCCCAACTTCTCGTGTGCCACTCAAATAGCCCCCCAAATAAAAGAACAAAGTCCAGCAACTCAGGGAGTGAGTGCACCCTCTTGCCAACAATGACCTCTGTCCACAGGACTTCTACTACGCCCAGGATTGCTTCTACTGACCCCGCTGGTTGTATACCCAATGTTTGGGGTGGAGGTTTGGAGCTTCGAGGTGGTGTCTCAAATCAAGCCAATCCAAACCACCTGAGTTTGGTGGTGGAAACTCCCCTGGACGCGTGAAGCTTGAAGCAGCCACCGACATCTTCGGCGCCTGGCGAAGTTCCGGCCCTCAATGTAGAAGACGGGGTCCGAGATCATCACCTCGTGAGCAGCGATGCCAGGGGAGCAGCGAGGACTGAGGGCCCGGGGATCCCAATCCCGGAAGCCCCTTCTTTCGGTTCCAAGATAAGATAAAGGGCCAACCAAGCCCAGCCAGCAGCGACACCAAGCGGAACCTTGCCATGGCTGGTGTTGTTGGATTGCATGCAACAGCATCTATCGCAAACCAAAAAAAGCCCTCCCCAGAGTTGTTTTCGTGTCGGCCCGTTGTTGCCTCACTCCAAACTCATGGCGCGGCTTGCCAAATTCTGACTTCCCAGCGGTCAGCAAGCAAAGGACTCCCATCGTGGCACGCTCGCTTCACCCCTCAACAAGAGAACTCGTCCACAGCTACGGGTGGAAGAGAAAACATATGTTGCATCCAACCAAGGCGTTCCCCTTCGTCCCCTTCACACAGGCTTGGCATCCACGGCTACCCTCCCACCAGCTAACATGGGTTTGTGCACAGACCCCTGTAGAAAGACTACTTTCCTCCTGGAAAAAGAGCTTTTTGCACTTCCATGTTGGTTGGTGGGAGGGTATCCCCCCTTTCAGGGCAAGTCGCCGTCTCCACGCTCAGGGAATCGACCTTCACCCCGTTGGCATCCCTGGTGAAGAGACTCGTGATCTGCGGAGCCTGCGAGCCGCACGAGTCTAAAACGGTGGAGCCTTGGAATGGGTGTGTTTGGGCCAACCGGGGCCATTGGTGTCCTAAACCCAAAACACCTATGCTAGGTCCTCCTGTAGAGAGGTTAGAATAAGGTACCCTTTTTTCTGTGGTCTAGTTAGTAGGGGGAACCTTCCCCCGAAAAAGGGTAAAAGGGCACTACTGGGGGACCTAGTATGCTTGGAACGGCATCTTGCAAGGGCGCACCCGAGTTGCCAAGCCGTCCGCGAATTTTCATAAGGGAGCGACATCCACAGCCTTGCACATTGTGGCCGCGGATTGGTTCAAATAAAACCCGCGTACCAAGGACTGGCCCCCATCAAAGTGACTTCTAAGTGGGGAAAACTGCGACGTAGAACCAGCTCAGTTGATAGTTTCGTGGCTGGTGCGACATGTCAGCGGCACTTTGGACGCCCTTCAGTCTTGCGGGCAAAGAAGAATTGAAACCTTACACAATTTGCTACGCTCTGCCTGGGTGGGCCAAAGGTGAAGCAACGCAGATTCCCAAACGGGGTTGACTCGCTTGGGTTGGATTGCTTGTTCCCCCGCCGGATCAGTGAGCTCGCTTCTGTTCCGCTACTTTCCACTAACATGAAACCCGACCAAAGGGTCCCTGTCGGAAATTGGCGCCTAACAGGCCCCAGTCAGACTCCATAGGGTCGGGCGCCGGGCTATCCCAGCCTGCCAGGTGATCTGACTAAGAAGCTCATACCCCGAAAGCTGCCACAACGTCGAGGAGAAGTTCTTGATTTGCATCTCCTGTCTTCCGGGCATGCTTTTAGCTGAAAGTAGGTGGCTTTCCCTGGGTCAGGGACTCATTGTTCAGTGACCCTGAAAGGGGAACCCTTTTATGGGAAGACCGTTTTTAGTGGGCAGCCACCAAAAAAAAAAAAAGGCAACAGGGTGCCACTGAACAACTGAGTGGAACGACCAGGTCAAACCAGAACCATCCAAACCAACTAACAAGGTCGCTGATGGTCACACAAATGCGCCTATAGCTCTCGGAAAGGGAACAAGCTTCCTTCCTGTTGGTTTCGCCTAGAAGCCAGCCTGAAAGGGTACCCTCAAAACAGCACACATCATTATGAATATCTACATATAGTCACATAATATTGGTTGTATATACCACATGCTTGGTTCTGCCGCCAAATCATCCGCACCGGTCTTGACGCCACTTTTTGGGACGCATTTGGACGCCTGTGCCTCAGTGGCGCGTGGCGTTGTGCCAACATATGGGAAATTACAAGGGGGGAGGGCCTTGATTTCCTTGTCAATTTTTCTCCACAACACACACACACACAAAACAACACATGCCCGCCCGCACAAAGAGGCTCTGACCAGGGAAAAGGGCTGGCTTGTTAACGGATGCTGAAAAGCGAGGCTCGCTTGGCTGTTGTCAAGCAGGGGATGCCGCTGGAAATATCTAGAAGACAGGGATCCTCGCGAAACTGCGGAGCGCCTGACAAGGACTGAGTTATGGCGCTCAGCCAGAAACAAACACATTCGAAGGGCGAATTCGTCCGCCACTACCTCCAGGACCTCGAGGTCCCACAGGTGAATTCCCCTTCCAAATGATACAACGCCCAGTAGTCGCATGTAGTCGCCTGCGCTGGTTTGCATTCGGCTTTCCTCACCCTGCGTGGTCCAGCTTTTTCCTTGCAACCGGAAGACCAAAACCTCCATGGCAACAGTGTCCTGGAAAGCCATCGCTTTCCACTAGCGCTGGATTTCCTTTCAAACCAGAGGAAGATACGACATCAAGTTGCTCAAATGGAAGCCACCGCCCAAACTTCGTGGGTTGTTTGACGCGCTCTTGGCCTGGCATGTCCCATTCCCCCCCCCCTAACGGCCCCCCAGACGCCCCCGACGGCCCCGGTGGGTCCACGACCAGGTTGGCGGCAGACAAGGGCGCAGCCTGCACCACGCAGGCCAGCTTCGTCCAGCCTTCGCTGAAGATCTGCCTGGCCAGGGGGGAGTGCGGGGGTGTGGAGGGGTGTGGGGGGGTGTGGAGGGGTGTGGGGTTGTGGGGGGGTGTGGCGGGGGAGGGATAGCGGGCCCAAGAAAGTGTAACCCTCAAGCCTCGGCCTAAGTTGACTAACCCACAACGCCCATGACAACGACCATCCCTGAGGTGCTTTTCACCACAAGGCTTGTTGAGCCCAACAAAAAGGTAGACTCCTCTTCCGAAGGCAACCACTTGGTTGCCCTTTCTTAGGCTTAGAGGAAAACAAGCGGAAAAGCCGCCACTTGTGGGGGCCCCCTTTTTTTGACGCATGGGTGTGTCTTATAGGGACTCCCAACATGGCCCCTTTAAAACCATCCCAAAACGGGGCATCATTAATGACCCACTTATATACCCTCAACCAAATCGACCCCCACCCACCCCCACCCACCCCACTCCCCCCCCCCCCCGCGCCACCCAACGGTCACACGCTCCTACCCCCGACGACCGACGCCGGGCCGCCTCTCACAGAAGCCCGGCGCCGCTTGCACGTCCCTCAAGGACACCATCCGCACGCTCAAGCGCACGAAGTCCGCGGGGGAGGTGATCTGCGGGAGGTGATCCGGGGCCCATTTTCCAGGTCCAATTCAAATCAATCCTGAACTTGAACCCTTCAATGGAGGGGTCAACGCGGGACGTAAGCAACGAAGGAAGCGCCCCTGACACTTTCTGCGGCCTTGGCAAGTCCTAACCCAGAAAAAAAATCAGTGGGTTGTGTGTTGTAACTTCATTTGCAATATTCGGGTAGTCAACATACGTAAACACTGGGTTGGGGCATGCGGTCCAAAAGGCCCAGATGGTGTGGCACCTTCTGGAGGGGGCAGGTTTTCCAAGAACATGCGTCGGGCCATGAAACGCTGAATGTCTAGAACTCGCCTGTGGTTGGGATACCTGACTTTGGCAAATAGGCAGTCAGTGGAAATGGTAGTTGCGCCCATCCCCGTGACTAAAGCAGGGTTCCTCAAAGGATTCATACAGAAACCACCTGAGTTACAAGCGAATCGTCTAAATCCGCTTTGCAAAGGGATTTTGTGTCTGGTTTCTATTTGTGTTCTTTGAGGGGCCCTTTTTCAACTCCGCCCAAAGTGGCAGTCTTGAAGGCCCAAAATGTCGAGGTGGGGCTCAAGCCCAAAGCCATGAGACTCGAAGCTCCAGCAGAAGGTCGAATTTCTTGATGGAAAAGCTGCTTGGGTGTGGCGCAAAATTAAAGACCTGGGGTTACGCAGGTGTTGGTCTTTCTTTCCAAGGGGCCAAACAATGGGTACCACTTTTTTGAGCCACCAGCCATTTATTGCCAAGGTCTGGTAAGCCTTGCGGGTCAAAGGCAAACCATGCAATTCATGTTAAACATCACTTTCAAAAACCGTGGTTTCTGAAAGGAAGGACCGCGGTTTTCTGAAAGGAAGGATCTGGGGAAAGATCGGAGCTGGCCTATTTCTGTTTAAAGCTACTCGCCGACTGGCGCCAAAAAATGCTCGAACTTCTCGGGGCCTCTTACTCGAAGAGCTAGAACCCAAACCAGGTCCTCCAGTAGAGAGGATAGGTTTTGAAAAGAGGCCTCGCGCAAAAAAACAAAAAAAAAACTCGTGCGACCGGCCTGGAAACGTCGTTTCACAACTGGCATTAGGATTGATCATGCCTGGGCGGTGACATACTCGGTGGTCGGCACGTTCGTCAAAGCCTTGCTTCGCACATGCTCTTTCTTCGGCAAAGCCAAGCAAGCCGCTGCAGCTGCTCATCCTTGTTTTATCCTTGTTTTAGAGCACCAGCAAAGCCAGTGGGAAACCACCAGTTGGGATCCCTATTTGGGTGTGCCTTCCTTTATTTCCTTTGCTGGTGGTTTTCAAGGGATACCAAAACGCAATCCACCATATTTTTGCTTTGCTTCTTTCAATTTCTTTTTTGCGGAGGACCTCAAAAAAGTAAGAGAGACACCCTTTGGAGGCGCCCCCATTTCCCCACACAAACCCACCGTGTTCGTTGGTTGTTTTCCCGTTGTTTTTTCCGCTTTCCCTACACAAGCCCACCGTCTTCGTTGTTGTTTCCCCGTACTTTTCTCGTATTCTCCGCCATTTCCACACACAAGCCCAGCGTCTTCGTTGGTTTCTCCCGTTCTTGTCTCCTCGTCTTCCCTCCGAGGGGCGGTGTTCAGATACCGGGACACCTCCCCGGCCGTCAGCGTGGGGGAGATCTTGGTGATGACCACCACCGGCGTGGTGAAGCTCATCTTGTACTCCTCGGATCGGAGCCGCGCCCAGCGCCGCGCCGCTGAGCCCAGCTCCGTTGGGGGGGCCGAACGCCACACTCGTTTTACTTCACCCGGCCATTGGGGAGACCTAGGGCTACCCCAGAAAACCCAAGAAGAACATGCTTCATTCTCAGATGCCCAGTGGATTTCCATAGGGAAAATAGAATCGGCACCCTTTTCTGGTGGATTGAGCCAGAACCATGAAAATACAAAGGCGGCTGCAACTATTGATGGCTGGGGTTGTCCCTTACTAACCTTCATCTACCCGGGTTTTACTTGTGGCTCATTTGGGCAGAGCCGGCAACGGTCCCTCCATCATGCAACCTCACTACCCCGCTGCCTTTCCTTACGGACCCTGGGCTCCATGTTGGAGAGGGTGAAAAAGGAGGAAGCCGTCTGAGGAAGGAATACCCATTCTCTGCTTTCAGCTTACGGAATCAAACTTCTGGGGGCTGCGCCGACTGGTGTGTGTGGACCCGATGAATCTGGACACCATGTCCGTGTTGAGCTTCCTTGGGTGGCTTGGTTCCACATAACTTTGGCAGTTGCCTGAACTGAACAATTGCGCACAAATTATTACCACTCACAAATTGGAATACATCGGACCCCCCTAGAGGACCGATTCACCATGGGCCCGAATCAACCCGAACTTTCGGACCGAGGCTAAACCCATCCAGCCCACGCCGAGGCCAAACCCGTCCGGCCGAGGCTAAACCCATCCGGCCGAGATGCCATGTCAAAGTCCACGCCGCCTCAAGTTCCATGTGGCAGCCTTCTCGATTGGGAAAATGGGTTACCATACCATGGAGATCTCCAAGGGTCACCCTCCCCCATGTACATCTTGAAGGGGGTGGAGATGGTATTGTGGGTGTTAAATAGAAGTCTGAAAAGGCCAAATACCAAGGAGGTGTGTCAACCAAAGAATTCACCAAAGAATTTGGGCCTAAGGCAACAATAAACATGTGGCGCTAGCACTAAGAAAACATCATCGGGTGACGTATCGGATGCCCTTTGAAAAGCGCTCGCTTTGCCTGTGGAACATGGTTGCAAGCTGGCCACCGGCAAACAATGCCCTTGTAACCAACCAAGATCGGAGAAACCAAAACACGATACTGTCCAAAGACATCTGGCGCTTTTTTTGGCCACCGGCGTAAGCAACCAAAAGTGTTGGGTTGCTACAGGAAAGCCGCAGGGTCGAAAGGACGATGGCCGTTGGACAGGTAGCTATTCTTTGGTGAAGTCATATGAACCCTGGGTTCTCAGTCATGGTCCAGGGATGTCAGTGGACCAGTTGCGAAAGTGGATTCCGCCCTTTGACCCTTCTTGTTTAGGTCCCCACTGAAAAGAGTCCTCAAAAACATCAAGAAACCAACTTTCAGACTGATTGTTTGAGCCGGTGTCCCCCAGCAACATTCGGGATCTTCCACTTTCTCCAGTAACCGCAGCGATCACTTTCCCCGCTGCTCAAAATAGGAATTATAGGTGGCCTTTTGGAAAAAATGGTTTCCCTGGCAATGGAACAAAACCCATCTAAACCAGTGGAACCCGTCTATTTTTAACCAGGCTCACCTAAAAAGGACACCTATGATAGATTTCCGAACCTCACAAATAGGTGGCATCCTTGCTGTTTTCCTCGAAAGCCACACCAAGGCCGCCTTGCAACCGAAAAGGGGAGCACTGCTTGATTGGCTTTGAACCCAAGCAAAGCTCGCATCCAAGCTACTCATCTTCATCTTGACCTTGGCTCGGGCCGGGAAACGAGGGGCAAACCCAGCCAACATTTTGAATCGAATCAACATGAGCTTGCTCCTAGAAACAGGGCAAACCAAAATGGGGTGGCTTCCTTCGTCACCCTCAAGACACACCCACGTGCGGATTTGAGGCGCAGAAATTTTGCTGAAATGGCCGAGCGGCTGGTAGGGATAAACCCTGACCCTCGATGTTGGAGGTCATCACAGTCCTCAGCAATTGGAAACCGGGCCTTCAAGAGAATCTCAAGGCCGCCTTTAACGGCCATGACGGCCTGGTTGGGCCTTCAAGTCAATTTAAAGTGGTACCGAGTGCTAAGCACTAAAGGATCCCCTTAGGGGGAAAGGTACTCCAGTAAGGTTGCCAAGGCCCCAGAGCCTTCGTCATTTGAGCCCCTTGTTCAATTGGCGAATATGGGTCAGCAGGGACAAATGGGGTCTCTCAGGACATCTCTCACCATGCCATATCCAAGGCCTCGGAAATCTACACACCTCTCTGTGCCAGCATTGGCCCCCCATATGTCCCCAAGAGCAAAGTTGAAACACAGCAGCGCCTGGTGCCAGCTTCGCCAGCTCCAAGTAAGTCTCCTTTGGATGTGAGAATTCTCTTCATGTTCTGGTGCACATCTCGGGTAGTCCTTGACGATTTTAAGGCCCTTTGCAACGCACAAAACTGGGCTGGCCCCAGATCCCCCGCTGAAAGTTTAACTTTTAGTGGGTTAAATGGAAACTGCCACTAAGCACTAAAAGGATCTAAAAAGCTACGGAACCGGATGGCTGGCTTCGCCACCCAGAAAAGCGAAGGGTTCTCGATTTTTTTCTCCGAGGCCCGAGGCGCTCTTCCGTGACCTCCTTCAGCTGAGGGAAGAAGTTGGAGCCCCCCAAGGAGATGTTGATATCCGCCAGCTGCGTGACCGGGTCCTTCTCCATATTGAAGGTCACTAAGTCCCCTGGGCCCCGGAGTTCTCGAAGGCTTTGGGTCTTGAGACTTGGGTGCTGTAGATCCCCCAGCAAAAAGGGGAAAACTTTTTGCTGGTTAAAAGGACATATGAAGGGAAGCCAAAGTTAAGTCTAAAGTTTTAATGCAATAGCGGTAGAGGAGAGTACCCTTTTCCGTCCTTTTCCCCTGCTGGCATCTGCCCCGGACTGCCTCTATTGGCGTGTCCCCCAGGGAAAACTGTGAAAACAAGACGCTGCTTGCGTGTAGAATGCGCGACAACCACACCTTAACTAAGTGGCCCCAAACGCACTGGAACAGGGGTGCATTAAGGTAGTGAAACCCAGAACTTCTGCCTCTGTCCGGAAGACAAGTCGGTCATCCCTAGGCTAAGTGTTCTTCCTTGGGCGGGGTCGGGTTACCAACAGATACCTCCGAAACCCCACCTAATTCAGAAGTATCAGCTGGCAAAATTGATACTCATATGGCCGGCATGCATCCGCTTTAGCACCCTTTTGGGCTAGGCGAAAACTTCAAACTATAATAAATCCAACACCCATTCTTTCCAGGGATCCTTCTTTTCAGGAAACCATCAAACCCAGGGAAACAGCTGGTTTCTAGAACGAACGATGGTTGCAAAGAAGAATGGACAACTAAAACCCTAGATTTATCCTGGTTTGAAATTGCAACTTGTAAATGGTGGTTTCCAACTTTATTTTGTTGAAAAAACCACATGTTCCAAATGGTTAAGCAAAATGGTGTTCTTTTAAGGAGCCCTGTTCACCGGACTTCGACTCCCGGGAAAATTCGGCGGATTTTTGTTCGGGGCGCCGTTGGTCACCCGGATCTCCGAGCCGGCGCCCTCCACGGAATAGGCGGCGCCCCCGGCGGCGGGGGTCACCGTGATCTTCAGGATCGCCAGCTTGGTGTCGGTGAAGGACACGTTCAACGCCTGAACGGAGGAGAAAAAACAACTCGCAAAAACAACAAAAACACGGAGAAGGAAGAAAACCCTGGGTGAATTATCATTTTTTTACCAAACTAAAATATGGTGGTTGGGGGGATATTCCCCGCAAAAAAAAACACACACACTTTTTTTGGGGGGTGAGGTCGTGTGAGGTCGCTATAATTCACCCAGAAAAACACCCGCCAAACCAAAATCCGGAGAAGCATCAAAGATCATCAAAGGGAGCACGCATCACACCTGTGAGATGAACAACAGGGGAAACAGGCGCCATTGCTGGTCTCCAGCTTTGTTTGCGGGAACCTTCTTGTGATTCTTTTGGGGCGGCGGTAAGCGCCAAAAATTTTGATAGGTCCAAGAAGGCCCAAAGAAGGGGATCCCATCAGGTTGATTCAAGTGTGGCCCTCTCTTGGCTTCTCAAGCTTCAAGTTCCCGCGCAGATTGTTGTTTCCACATAAGGCCCTGTGCTGCCAGAGCCAGATTTGGTGGAAACGCAGGGAGGGGAGTGGTACCAACTTGGTGGCTCTATGGAATGGGCAAGGCTGTGGAAGTCACCCCTCCCGTCAGCTTCCGTGAGACGAGAGGAAACGACTTGCCAACGGCTTGCCGCAAAAAAAAAAAAAAACATGGGTGTGTCGTTGTTTAATGGAACCCCACCAAAATAGTCGCTTTTATTTCGGCTTTCCGATTGGGTGGGTTGGCCACAAACTACCAAACATATATATTTGTGTGCCAGTAAAATAATCCAAGCCCAAAAAGTGACTAAAGCTCCGAAACGGAACTGAGAGAGTGAGACATACTGCAACTCAAGGGGAGGATCTTTCGCATGACTCTTGCGTCTCCTTGCAAGCGCCCAAACTCAGCGCCCGGCGTACTGCTTGCAAGGGTAAGCCGTCGCGTCGACGATGTAGTGCCTCACTTGCAACTAAAAGACCAAATAACATTCAAAGATGACCTCTTGGGCCGCTAGAACCTCCAAGTCGGGGCAACAACTTCCATTTGCTTAAGCCCCCTGGAGGAAAGAAGCAAAAAACACAGGAGTGATAGATTCCGTCTAAAAACCCAACAGGGGAAAATAACCAACAACAAAATCTCAAGCATTTGTTTTGATGACCAGGGGGCAAAAAAAACAAAAAGAAACAAACAAAAACGGACAACGTCAACAAGTTTTGCCCTTAACCAGACGGGGGCCCAATGGAGCGATATCTGTGGCCAAGGCTCGCGTGGGGGCACACGGTGAAGTCCAGCGAGTTGGTCAACATCAGCAGCCTCGCGCTCTCCGCCTGCTTCTCCTCACTAAGTTGACGTTGAAAGGGGAGCAAAAAATAAAACTTTAGCAGTTAAGTGGATTTGGATTTCAAACAGTAAACCACAATAAGCAAAAATGTAAAATGTTTCCCAACGACAACCATGCTCAGGGCTTTCGTCTGGCTTTTTATGGGCTTTTCGAGCCAAGGGATGCTGCAAAAAGTTGACTTCCAGAATTCCCCCCCCAGTTCCAGCGCTTAGGGTCACTACTTGGCAGGAAGCCCACTACTCCCCCTAAGAAAAGGGGGATGGTTTGCGAAAATAGTTCGCCTTAACGTGTCCCAGGGCCTACGCCTTCGCTCTGCCAATGTGGGTTGAGAAAGGTCCCCCTGAACTGTTTAGCTTCCCCCCCCAAAATAAAATAAACTAATAATATATATATATATATATATTGTATATATATATATATTGTATGTATATATATATATATATCATACAAGCCTTGAAAAGCTCCTTTTACATCTTCTGGAAAGGCTGCTTATACAATCAACCCCAGCGAAGCTGTCGAACAAGTATCGGCAACCAGGCAACGGATACGGCGGATGCCCCTGTCAGAATGCCCTGCACCAGGGGAACCAAGACCTTGCCGTCCGCTACGGACTGACCGAGGGGACCTGGAACACCCCTCTCCCTTAAAAGGGGCCATTTCCCTGGTGGGTTCCATGGCCTGACTTGAAGGGACCTGGAAAACCATCCATTTCTCTGGTGGCTTCCATGGCAACGTGGACAGGGTCATTTACCATGTGGTGGTTTTGCGTATGGTTAGTGCACTTGCCAGATGAAAGTGCTCGGGTGGAAGACATCCGTACAAGTCTTCACCCACTGACTCCCCCTGGCCCGGAGATTTTTGTTGCTTTACTACGTGCAGCTGATGTAAATGCGCCTGGCCCGTCACATCATATGCCAAAAACCTCCGGGGATGGGTTGTGGGCTCACCAAGGAATACGATGCAAGAATATTGGTGGCATACAAGCGTCCATACCATACCTAAACCCACCCCTGTGAATAGCAGCGGGGAGAAAGAAAAGGGCTCCTGACAATAGGTTTCAGTAAGGGCCTTCCCCGTAGCAAACAAGTATACAGTAAGACCCCTATTTAAAACTGAGCCGAACATGCCGAACCAGAAAAAACAAACCAAAAAAACAACAAAAACACCAAACCACTTGCCAAGAGCAGCGAAGGCATTTGGGTTGTCTCAAACTCGGGGACCTCCTTCGACCGCGGAGTCCTCACAACTTTCAAGCATGCCGCCGGGCGTCGTAAGAGAAGGTGTGAGCCTCATAGGTCGCCGAGGAGGCTGACTGGGTCACCGGAGCCGTGTAGGTCCTCAGCGAATGGAAGGCGGCAAAGTCATCTCGCTTCTTGTCCGCATGCAGGGATAGAAGTAAGGTCATCGACTTGGGCTCCTTTTGGGAGTAGGCGGCCCTGGTTTATGAACACAGGTCAACCAGGACCACCTATGTTCTACCACAAATCTACCACAACAACCAAAATAATCCCACGACTATCTGGTTGTAAGCCTCTTTCAAGCATAACTTCTCAACCCCACACCCCTCAAGTGAACAAGCCGAGGCTTTTGCCGGCATCGAACACTTTGGTGGGCGACAAGACCACCATATCGAGCCGTGCCTTCCGCTCGAATGGACAATGTAGGTTGACAACGGCCCAAGCAAAGCACAGGCACCTCAAGCACCATAAGGCTGGCACAAAAAAAGAGAGCGACCTGTATACCCAAGTCGGCCGGTTGCCCACGCACGACATCAGAAAACATGCAACTTGTGTGCGGGCATGGCCACCATACCGAACAATTGCAACACTTTGCTTCGGAGAACCTGGCGATCGCATGACAAAAAAAGTCGGCTTCGTACATCGCCCTCCCACACCGTGGATTTCCTTGCAGCAAAGGGCTCCCTGTTTTGCTGGCCGGCCGTGGGCAAGGGAAACCCACGCCGAAAAAAACGCAGCACCTGGAGGTCTGAGCATCTTGGAAAAGCGTTGTGAGAGGTGTCCTTCCTTGAGCTGATCATCAGCCGGCGGTTCTTTGGTCCCCACTGCAAAGAACAAACCGTTGATTGTTTGAAAGCGGGTTGTTGAACAAGGTCTAGAGAAACTGACCTTCCAATCCCTCCGAGAGCCCCAAAAAACAAGGCTCCCAAAAGTCCGTAGCTCCGTAGCTGCACCCTCCAAGGGTTGCCCATTGGTCCTGATGTGCCCTTGTGGGGTTGCCACTTTGGGTACCGATTGAGCTTGGCGGGTGGTGGAAGAGAACCCTGATGGACCGAATGGTGGGGATCAGGCCCAACCGGGCGCGAATCTTGGCCAGGGAAACTGTTTCCCTGGTCAGGTTGCCGCCCCACCCGAGCCAAACTCCCCGTCCATTTGGTGAAGACCCCTGGAGAAAAAAGAGATGTGTCCAATAGTGATAAGTCCCTTTTAAAGCCAACAAGGGAAAATTTAAAAAAAAAAAAATCTTAAGCAAATGGAAGCCTTTGGGTTGCAAAGCCAAGTTGCAGGGTGGCGAAGTCCGACAGGGGAGTGATCTGCCGCGATTCCGACCCCGATGCAGTTCCCTACGCAAATCTCCACAGCCGCAAACATCTCACGCCCGCTCCCACTAACATGGCACTTGACGTATGGTCCGTTTTAGAGGAAACAGATCTTCCAGATTCGCAAGCTGAAAAGATGGAATCCTTAAGCAGTTCATCATGGGTGTTTCCCCCGCCCCCTCCGCGGGCTGAGCTCGTTGTCATTTTTCCCCGAATCTTTCCCAAGGACGCGAACATCATAGAAGTACTTTCTGCCAAGGACTACGCATTTGCCAAAACTGGCCCCAACAGAAAACTGCATCGGCACCAGTCGCCCCCCCCCCCCCCCCGCAACAGCACCTGCACTAGTAACCCAAACTGCATGCCCCCTAACATCATGCCATCCACCCCAAAAAAAAAGAAACAAACTCTGCCATCAATCTCGCAAAAATGCGGACCTCAGACAGCCCCAAACAGATTCCCAAAGCAGCACCTACGCCAGCACCCCAAACTGCACTCCCCCTAGCCCCGTGGGTGAGGGATCAAAAAAAACTTTTTAGGCATCAAAAAAAAACTTATTTCTAAAGATCAAAAAAAAGCTTATTAGGCATCAAAAAAAACTTATGCTCATTGACTTACTATTAAAAATGAAAAATCAGAGGATCAAAAAAGAACTTTATAGGCATCAAAAAAAACTTATTCATTTCAGGAAGCACTTTCGCAAGGTCAGGTACAGATTTCGCGGCACGCGCGGCACTTTCGCAAGGTAGGCGCAATGCTTTCGCAGGTCAGGTACAGATTTCGCGGCAGGCGCAGCGCTTTCGCAAGGCGCGGTGCAGATTTCGCGGCAGGCGCAGCACTTTCGCAAGGTCAGGTACAGATTTCGTGGCAGGCGCAGCACTTTCGGAAGGTCAGCCAGATTTCGCAGCAGGCGCAGCACTTTTGCAAGGTCAGGGACAGATTCGCGGCAGATGCAGGACTTTCGCAAGGTGCGGTCCACATTTCGCGGCAGGCGCAGCACTTTCGCAAGAGGTGCCAATTTCGCAGCAGGCGCAGCACTTTCGCAAGGTACGGTGCAGAGTTTGACGCAGGCGCAGCATTAAATCAGCGAGGGGGTTGGGGGGGGCGGCAGCCCCGCAGGGGCAGCACTTTTGCAAGAGGTACCAATTTCACGGCAGGCGCAGCACTTTCGCAATACGGTGCAGAGGTTGACGCAGGCGCAGCATTAAATCAGCGCGGGGGTTGGGGGGGCGGCAGCCCCCCCATGATGCTCGAAGAAGTGATGATTCAACAAAGGGTGGTGATGATCGAAGAAGTGATGATTCAGCGGAGGGTGCGGTAATCTCTGCAAACATTCTGAAAATCAGCGGGGGGGTTGGGGGGGGCGGCAGCCCCCCCCATGATGCTCGAAGAAGTGATGATTCAGCAAAGGGTGCGTTAATCACTGTCAACCTTCTACAAATCAGCGGGGTGGGTGAGGAAGGTCAGGTACAGATTCAGATTTCGCAGCAGGCGCAGCACTTTAGCAAGGTCAGGTACAGATTCGCGGCAGGTGCAATACTTTCGCAAGGTGCGGTCCAGATTTCGCGGCAGGCGCAGCACTTTCGCAAGAGGTACCAATTTCGCGGCAGGCGCAGCACTTTCGCAATACGGTGCAGAGTTTGACGCAGGCGCAGCATTAAATCAGCGGGGGGGTTGGGGGGGGCGGCAGCCCCCCCCATGATGTTCGAGGAAGTGAAGATTCAACAAGGGGTGCGCTAAGCTCTGTAAGCATTCTACAAATCAGCAGGGGGGTTGGGGGGGGCGGCAGCCCCCCCCATGATGCTCGAAGAAGTGATGATTCAACAAAGGGTGGTGATGATCGAAGAAGTGATGATTCAGCGAAGGGTGCGGTAATCTCTGCAAACATTCTGAAAATCAGCGGGGGGGTTGGGGGGGGCGGAACCCCCCCCCATGATGCTCGAAGAAGTGATGATTCAGCAAAGGGTGCGTTAATCACTGTCAACCTTCTACAAATCAGCGGGGTGGTTGGGGGGGGGTCCTTCCTTCCTTCCTTCCTTCCTTCCTTCCTTCCTTCCTTCCTTCCTTCCTTCCTTCCTTCCTTCCTTCCTTCCTTCCTTCCTTCCTTCCTTCCTTCCTTCCTTCCCCCCATAGGAATGAGCATAAGTTTTTTTTTGATGCCTAATAAGTTTTTTGATGCCTAATAAGTTTTTTGTTGATGCCTAATAAGTTTTTTTGATGCCTATCCCTAGCACCGTGCCGTCAACCGTCAATCTTGCAAAAATGCGACCCGGCCGTCAACCTCGCAAAACTGCGCTTGCACTATTAGTATCACTTGCACCTCAAACAGCACCAGAACCCAAATTGCATGCCAAAAATGCACCTGCACTGTCACAAGGTCCTCAAACACAGCACCCCAAAACAGGCACCTGCACGAGCACCCCAAACCGCATGCCCCCTACTGTAGCACCCTGCCGTCAATCTTGCAAGAACGGGCACACTCCGTCACCAGCACCTTGCACCAGCTCCAAGACTGCATACCTCTTACAACAGCACCGTAAACAGCACCCCCCCAAGCACCCGCGCCAGCGCCCCAAACCCTGCGGTCACTCTCTCAAATCACTTTCCCCTCTTCATTAGAGGTTAGAAGTTAGAACCCCTCTAGCTTTCAGCCATCTGGGGGAGAAAAGAAAAACAACAACTAGAGGTAAGCCAGCGTCCTCAACCCCCCTGCCCTCCATCCATTTGGGTGTCCACCGAGACTCGCGCGAAATCGGCGTTTTTCGCTCGCGGCGCTGTCGGCGGCGCTTGGCGTTTCGCTGCGCCGAGGGGCCGCGAAGTGCACCTTGGTGTCGGCCACCTGGCCTTCCACCAGCTCGTTGTTGCCTCAAAAGGCTCGGCTCTCGGCGCGGGTCTCGGAGCGTCTGGGGGCTTCTCGGGTCGTCTCGGGTCTCGGGTGGTTTTTTTTTTTTTTTTTTGAGCTTGTGGTTTTGTTCTTCTTCTTTTTTCTGGTGGCCATGGGTCAAGAGCCCCAGTGAACATCCCAACCACTGCAGGGATGCGGATGCATGAAAAACACCTGAACATTGCAACTTGTAAATGTGTATTTTGGTGGAAAAGGCCATGTTTTAGATGGTGGCAAAATGTATCTTTTAAGGAGCCCTGCACTAAGATAGACTAAAATGGTGCACCTAGCCGAAAATGGTACCATTGGTTTTGACCCACAGCCAGGTATCTCCGTTGCAGTGTTTTAAGACCTCCCCTCCCACGAACGAATCCGGAAAAGTTTAGGGGGGTCCTGGAAGACCGCTTTCCTTTCGAAGGGACCCGCCGAACGTCGAACGGTTATATGTTAATTGGTGGGAGCGTACCAAGTCCTGGCAAAACTAGCTCCGAGTCCGGCTCTCTTGGCAATTTGGGGTGCCGGATCCCATCTCCGGCATCAAACTGAGCAAACCTTTCAGCCGATCTGTGGTCAATGGCTTGATCAAGCATCATGCTTGAACGCCAAAACGCCAACAAAAACAGGTCGACCCTGAAGAACATCAAAGTTGTTCTGTTCCCCGGAAAGTGACAAGTGGTCTATGGAAGGCCCCTATTTCAGAAGGGGATTGTTCATCCTGCTGATTGTTTGGAGGCTGAACCACTGAGACAATCATACATGCCCTAGTGGTTATCGAAAGATTGCGCATTGTAAGCTTCATCTTTCAGCTTCCCTCAAATTGTGGATCCCCACATGCCCTTTACAAAGGCCATCCCCAAACCACCAATCCAAACCACCAAGGGCTACCTGCATCTTCGCTTCCGCGCCAAAGAAAAAGCCAAGGACCTTCTTTCGAACCTTGGACAAGGCTCTCAGGAAATTCCTCACGGGTCCTCCCAAGGGTTCTGAGAGCCTGGCAAGGACAAGTTCTGGGTTGGCTCTGGGCGAGGGATCCGAAAGGGTTCCGGGCTGCCGTGCGGGATGCCGCTTTTTCCGCTTGCTTTTGGGGGTGGAGGGGTAGAAGGGTAATGTTGACCCCGGATTAATAAACCCCTGTTTATTAATATGGGGGTCCTCCAAAAGTTATAAATCCCAACTAAAACCAGGGACACCCTTTTTTTGGTTGGTTCACTTTAAAGGGAAACCCTTCCCAAAAAAAGGCGAAAAAGATGGAAAAAGGCACCACTGGGCAACAGAGGGTCGAAGGGTGCAGGGCCAGGTTCGCCAAGGGCACACACTCGCTCGTGCTGCGAGAGCAGCATCACGATGCCAGTGCTGATCTGGTCGAAGGTCTGGGTCTCCCTCGGCTCCAAATAGAAAAATGGGACCCCCACAAGGAAAACAAGACACACCCGAATGTCTTCTTGGTTGCTTTCTGCTCCCCTGCTAAAAGTTGACAACTTTTAGTGGTTTAATGGAAAACCCATTAGTTGGCAAAAAGTTGATGTCCTAACATCCAACCAAGATACACCAAAGTCCCCGCTGTAATGCCAACGTCTTACAAGAGGTACATGAGGGGATGCAAGGGGCTCAGGGCAAAGCACCTCGATTGTCAGCTGTGTGCGTTTTCATCAAATGAAGCGGATTCGGCGTGGCCCTCCCAAGATTCTTAGAACCTCCTGACGGTCCCAAAGGGCAAAAGATCTTCAGGGCCCTCATGCAGGTATGTATCATGGCATTTCGGGTAGAAGCCGGATACTGGATGACAATTCGCTGCTGCTTACGCAAGGGTTCCCGAGAACATAAAAAGCAATTATTGTGCTCGAGATGTCAGCGTGCGCAACTTCACGTGCGCATGCTGACTTGGCGTCTGACGAACCCCAGGTTTACAGATCGGCATTAACACCAAAAACATTACCTTCTAGATTCTAGATGCTTAAAATATGTGCTGAGATATGGAATTGCCCATGCATGACCATGAACCCCTTAGTTATGGCTTAACTGTGGGAAGTCAACCTGCAAACATCTGCAAACGATCCAACAAGGCCATGACTTCATACATGGACCCCCCCCCCCGCCACGTGCCCTCCATCGATCGCAAGCCGAGGCGCGAGGCGATGGTCGCCTTTGAGCGCCCACCCCACCCCACAAAGAAACAAAGGGGCCTGTAGCACAAAAAGTAAACACACACACACATTACTTAGTATGGGGTGGGCTGGGTATGCGCTTTTCAGGCCCAGAAGCCGAACCACTCCCAAACCATCTGGAAATAGAAGCTGTGGGACCTTGACTATTAACATGCACGAAAATGGGAAAACCAACAACTGCGTTTTGGTGTTCCCCCTATTTGGACACATACCCGGCATGCCAGCCAGGCGCAGTTGTCCAGGACCCATATCTGCGCAAGCATCATACACATGTATTCCAAACGCAGGAAAGATCAGAGACAATCCACAAGGAATCCAGCAGGAATCCAAGAAACCCCAGCTCACCCCAAAGCAACTGCAAGTTATGGATTTAGGTACCCCCAGCTACCCTTTCAAGTACGTGCTATACCCAAACCACGCCGAACACCCCAGTCTCCGGCCTCCGTTCCATCAGCGCAAACTGCTGTCTTGAGGATGTTCAACGGCTTGATGTCACTACCTGGCAGAAACAACGCGAGCACCTGCAAATCGCGCCCAGGGGGAAGGTTTCTGATGAGAGCCTTTTCTGGGAGAAGCTGTGCGGCTTTGCATATTGGGTTTTTTGAAAGGGGTTCACTGTTATTTTTCCAATGAGGCAGGGTGACAACTATGCCGCCACTCCCTTGCAAGGCAAACGCGTGCTTCCTTAAAAGGCTTTAGTGTTGAGTTCATATTGTCCCACTGATCCGTTCTAGACATTTCTGCAAGAGCTGGGTTTCCCCATGGATTCTGCTTTTGTAGTCGTCCTAATTCATGATGTGCACGTGGCGATCAGAGGAGAAAAATAAGCTCGGGTGGCATCCCCAACAGCATGCGGTGCTCTTTTTAGTGCTCGCACCACCCCGCAGCCCTCGTGGAACCCTGGCGGAACCCTCATGGAACCTTACCTCAGGGCCGCCCCAAACCACCCCGGAGCCTATCTGGGCTGAGTTTCAGCTGTGGGAGGGAACAAAAAAGGCCCAGGACCTCTAGACATTTCTGCAAGACCTGCGTTTCCCGCTGCATTCTGCTTTTGTAGTCCTCCTAAATTCATGATGTGCTCCTGCGAATCAGAGGGGAAAAAATAAATTTCCAACTATAAAACCAAACTCAACATCATATCTAAACACATAATCAGTATAACAAAATAATAAACCCAATATTCCTAAAAACAAATTGTTTATTTCTATATTTATATTCCAAAAAAAAAAACGCCCACCAGCGGCGGTGCCCCTGAAGCAGGTCTGCTCTCAACCCCCCTGGCCTCACCACTGGGTTGAAGAATTCAACCGGCAAGCCGAGGAATGTGGGCCCAGGAGTTTCATCAACCCGTCCCACCAGGGCACTAGGGGGGCGTTCCCTCCCAAAGTGGTTCCTGAATCCAACCACTAAAAGGGGACAACCCAGGATTTTCATAAATTTTCATAAACCTGTCCCACTATGAATGGGGTGTTTGTTCCCTCCCAAAGTGGTCTGAATCCTGCATCCAACCACTAAAAGGAATTGGACACCCCCCGATCAAAATCAAACAGGGGTTCCACTTAGATCCGGGGTGAACATTATTAAGAACTTCGCACCGGACAGGTCGTTGCTAATGTCGTTGGTGGTCTTTTTGAGAAGCGACAAGCGCCTACAGTGGCCCAGGCGGGTGAAGAAACGTTCTCCAAATCCTTCGGAAGCAACTGTCTCCACAACTCCCGCCCAAGAACACAACGATCAAAAACCCGTACAAAGGTAAAATAGGATGAACTTGGAAAAGCAAGTGAAAGCCTTCAATGTCCAAGGGACCATGTCTATCGTGATCATCTCAAAGGCGGAATGCTCAGATGTCTCCACTCCCATGCAGCGTGGGTGCGAGAACCTTTCTTCGAAACCTTGCCAACTCTCATTAGGTAAAACAGGGTTTGACCCAAACAAGTATCACACGTCCAGAGAGTCCAGAGGCTTGTTCTCGGGTGCCGCTTCAGACAACGACCAAGCTGCGCGTGTCGTCAAGCGTGGTGAAGCCTTGGGACAGTCAGGCACGCTGGAACTGGCAACCCCTTGGACAAGACCACCGGCCCTTGGACAATTGACTTCCTCTCTTGCACCATCCTTGTCATGTTTTGGCGAGACTGCCAAAGGTACGATGTTTATTTGATTGCAAGCGCAACCACAACACAGCTTGCGCTGAGAGTGCGTGCTATTTGTGAGGCGTCCTCATGAATGCAAAGCGCTCACACATGCCTCATTCAGCTTGCTCGGTGCTAAATCAGGGGTCTGCAAGTCTAGCAATGCTCATGTCCCTGGTGGTTGGTTTTCATTCGAGGCAATATCCAATTGAGAGCCGGGTTGTGGGGATCACCCACGTGATGCAAATGGAACGCCTTCCATTTGAATAATCCTCTGATTGAAGGGAAGTGGTTCTCCGGTATCACAGTGGGAACCAAGCCCTCGTTCCCACAAGGACCAACAAAAAGCTCGGACTAAACCCCTGCTGCTTTGCACGTTCCAAGCTGAATGCCCGGACCTGCAGATATGTGTCCTTCTTTGGTTAAGGAACATGACGGATTGGGCGTGCGTTTTGTCAGGGTACCCCTTTAGCCGTGATTTAGAGGGATGCCCAAAGGAGAACCACCATTTTGAGGGGCCCCTTGAAGGAAATAACCAGGGGAGAAACTTTTTGCTGAGGGACACCGAAGCGCACAACTTTCTACGCCTCGGGTGTGATCCTGAGGCTTTGAGCCAACCCCGGGATTGTGGGGTTCGGAACCTGGATGGCTTCCCTTCAAGGATGCCGATTCAATCGGCCCTACGACATACTCCCAAAGCTAACCCCACAGCTTTTGCACATGCAGAGAGCCTTCCCGCCGATAAAACACATCTAAACTGATTTTTGTTACAGCCAACATGGTCCATCTCAAGCTGCAGAAGCTCCAATTTGTACCAAAAAACAATCGGCACCACGGGGTGTTTCTTCAGGAACACCCGCGCCCCCCCTCCCCCCCCAGACACAGAGAGACCTGTGCTTCCGGCGTTTCCGATCCGACTCCGATCCGACTCCGATCCGACTCCGAGCGGCTGATGTAAGGGCAGCTCTCCGGGAAGTTGGAGCACACCACTGGCACCCAGAACTTGTCCCGCTTCCAGCCCGCGCAGTTCAGGGTGTACCTGGCTTTGGCCCCCAGAACCCGAACACGCGCGCGTCGCAATGCAGCCCCCCCCCAAAAACAACCATGAAGGCCACTATGACGCCATGTTGCAGGCTAAAGAAAAGACGCAGAAAGGTCGATCACCATAAGAAAAAGGGTTAGACCTTTTCAAGCCTTTTTGGGCCTAGGCGGTTTGTTTCCAGGTCCAAAATGGGGCCTGGGTCCCACAACACGGGTGGTATCCCACGCAGCTTTTGGAATTTCATTGGGCAGAGATCCCGGGCTTCCAGCTGTTTCAGCCTCCCTCCAATTGTTTGGTGGTTTGGGGGGTGTCTCATCTACGCTCTGCAAGATTCACGGGTTTGAGTCCTGAGTTTCCTCCTCCTGAGTTCCTCGTTTACCAACAAAAAAGCAACACCACAAAGGGCACCGGGTGCCCAAAAGACACACACACACACTACAAAGGGCACGCTGCAAAACTTGGTTGTTCAAAATGGGGGGGGGAATTGACCCCTAGTTGACTACGAGGCGGGCCAGGTTGCTCTTTTTCTGTGCAAACGGTCACATGGTCTGCAGGTTTGATCGGAAACCAATTGTTTCCAATAGTTTCAAGGGCATAGGTGGCCTTTTGGAAACATAGATGGCCCTGGTAAGCGGAACAAAACCCATCTAGGACCAGTGGAACCCATCTATTTTTTAACGCGGCACACCGATCAAAAGGACACCTATGTTCAAGGGGCTAAGGGCCAACCCTTGGTTGACGTTGGAAAGGGAGCATATATTTTTTTAGCAGTTGAGTGGATTTGGATTTCCCACTAAACCACAATAAGCAAACATGCTTCAAATGTTTCCCAACAACAAGCATGCTAAGGGCCAACCAAGTACCAATGGCTGCCTGACGCCGGCGATGTTGTCGTGGGGCACTTCTTGCTGGGGGTCAGGCCGGTGGCGGTGAACTCAAAGGCCACGTCGTCGAAGACCAAGAACTCCCCAAGCGTCCTAACACAGGCCCCCTATATGGCTGTGGGTCAAAAAGTGTCAAAAATAGGTTCCAAAAAATGGCACAATGGTAAATGGAAGCAAGGACTAAAACCAGTGTGACCCATACCCATAATATGTCAACATAGGGGACCAGTTGCCCCTTTTGAACTCCATTCAAAGCACCCCAAAAAAGGGTACACCCAGGCCAACTTGCAAAAATCACGCCACCCAAAGGAAGCCAGAAGAAACGCCCTTTCAAAACCAACCCACCTGAAGGATGAGGGGAGGTGGCAAAGGGCAAAGCAAAAGCATTGGCTCAAGTCAGCACCCGCACAGCTGGCACGGAGCTTACATGATTGAGCTTACATGATTGCCGCCTCCCCTCTTGGCCAAGGTGAAGACAACCTGCAACCAAGGCAGGCTAAGTGTGGCGACTATTATGAATGCCTGTACCCCCCCCCCCCCCCCAAGGTAGTTAGGTCCTATCCCTAGGGTGGCTAGGAAGTGGATATAGCAACATTTTCCCTAAGACTTCCTAAGCTGAACCTAAGAGACCCCTTGATTTTGATCGGACATTCGAGCTGCGTTACTTTGCTGCGTCCCCCCAACCTAGGGAAATCATAAGAGATTCGAATTGTTTTTCTGAAAGTGCTGCGTCCCCCTAAGCTTTCTGCAAACATGCTTCCCCAAGGAGACCGTACGGCTTTGTCTAGGGCTTCCCTAGGGCTTCCCTAGGGCTTCTCTAAGGTTTCCAGCTTCCCTAAGGCCTCCCTAAGGCCTCCCTAAGGCCTCCCTAAGGCCTCCCTAAGGCCTCCCTAAGGCTTCCCTAAGGCTTCCCTAAGGCTTCCCTAAGGCTTCCCTAAGGCTTCCTTAAGGCTTCCCTAAGGCTTCCTTAAGGCTTCCCTAAAACTTCCGTGAGGCTTCCCAAGGCTTCTTTAACCTAATTTGCAGGTTCGGTATTTCTTGTCAGTGTTCCCGCCATGCGCAGGCCGAATGTCAGGCCAAGCTTCCCCAAGGCTTCCCCAAACCTTCCGCAAGGCTTCCGCAAGGCTTCCTAAGCCTCCCCTGCAAGAGAAGCCCTTTAAGCTTAAAGGGGGGGGGGGGTAAAGGAGGGGGGGGGTACGGGCTCCATAAGACTAGTTTCTGGTCGCCGGCTGAAGGTAAGTAGTAAACACAAGTACCACCTTTTGGCATGGGAATTGTTCGCATGGCCCGCCTGGACATCAAGGCTTAGTTGAGCCCCTTAGGCTACCATGTCCTTACCTTGCTTTGCTGGTGCGACAAGGCAGGGGATTCCCTTAAAGGAAGCCACTGGGGATGGCTTGTAGGGGACATTCCATTTCTCATTCCCTGCTGACCTGCAAGTTACAGAACTCAGAACTCCGATCGGCAAAAAACAATCGGATACCCCCAGCTCCGGACTCGTCCGGCTCCCTTCGAACCAGCTCGCCTTTGGCGTTTGGGAAACTTACAGGTGATCCCTGCTGGGCCGCCGAATCAAGCTGCGGTGCCAAACTCGCACAGGGCATCCCAGACTTCAACAAACACAAGCTCCAGACAAACCGAAAGACCGCAAAGCAAGGCGCAACCAATGGCCGCTTTCCAGGAGGGGAACTAGGTCAGATAGGTTAGAATAAGGGAACCATTTCTTCTGTAGTCTATTTTACTAGGGGAACCCTCTCAATCAAAAAAGAAAGGGCAAAAGTTGGCACCTAGCTGGGGGACCTGGGGAAGCTACTGGCATAAACACTTCCAAAATTCAGACCTGCCGCGCCAACAGCTGGGGCTACCCGCCCTTCGTTGTGGACACCAGGGATATGTGATAACTTGATGCCCGAAGAGACCCCCCCCTCCAACAAAGAAGTTGGACAAATTGAATCATCCTGTTCGTATTTCAACAACCTCCTTGTGGTTTGCCTCTGAATTTCCCTGCGAATGAGGCCAGGGCTCACTCCATCTGACTCCCTGAAAAAGAAAAAAGGAACCCCCTCTTCCCCTCCCTCTCCCTCTCCCATCCCCCCCTCCCATCCCCCCCCTCCCATCCCCCCCCCTCCGTCCCCACCCCCCAGCCCCAGCCCCCCCCCTCCCCACTGCCCCCTGCGCTCCGGTTGACGTCGCTGGCGAAGATGGGCGGCCGCGCCGCCCCGCTGGTCACCCGCCCCGTGATGCGATTGGGCTCCGCATCCGGTTCCACAGGCGCCACCGTGCCTCGTGACCCGACGAGACCCGAAGGAGTCGACACCCCTGGGTGCCCGAAAACGTGGCCTGGATGCGCGCTTCACCTATGAATTCCTGTTGCGTGTGTAAGAAGAAAAGTCTTTTGGTAAAGCTTTGGATGCGTGGTTTCGTGGAGTTTCACCTGTGAGTTTCCGTTTGTTGTGGATGTTTGGTGATTTCACCTCCGAGTGCCCCTTGTTGTTGACAATAATTCCTAATTTGGTAAAGGTTTGGGTGCGTTTCTTTTTGTGGATTTCACCGAATTGTCTTCCCCTGGTTGGTGGATCTAGATAGGTGCCCAGCAAAAAGGCCACTTGCAAAGCATCTAGGGACGGAGTGGCTATCCAAATGAGCAGCACACAAATCCTGTTAAATGACCTTTGGTTCTCTTAAGATGCTTGTAGTGTTTGTTGTATTTGTTGTAGCCTTGCTATAAACCACATGCAGCTAGGTACACCTACTAAAATTGCCAATTGGCAATTGCATGCAGCTGAGATGGACATCTTTCCGGGGAGAGTCGACGATTTTTAGAGAGGAAGCCAACTGAACAACTGGGCCACGTGACCAAGGACACTCACTCTCCGATAGATCATCCCATGATCATCCCCACTACCAAAGCATTACAGATTGGGCACAGGTTAAACTACAGTTTTTAGTTGTACTTTATTTGTCTTTAGTTATTTTATTTTAAAACAAATGGGGACTATTTGAAACAAAGAGCAGTTTCTCTGTAGCCAGACTCCTGGCATGCATGCACGCAGCTGAAGGAGGCCAACAAACCCAGCAACAAACAGATGAAGAGTCACAAAGCAACATCCCGGCCGGTATCACTCCAATGCACTCCAATGCACATGTGGAAAAGAACTGGAACACGTCCAAGTATCACTCCAAATGTGTGCACTCTAAGTTGCTGATAAGCAACCATGCACCCATGCTTCCGACATGTGTAGAAGAACTCCTGTGCTCCCAAAGCCGGAACCTCACTTTGGTGCTCGAAAGATCCTCCTCCCTGAATTTGGCATCGCAAGAAACAGGGCAATGAAACATGGGACTGAAACCCCTCTTGTCAACAGGCATGCAGCGTCAAGTTGCCCAGTTACCCTAATGGAAAAAGAGATATCTTTCTAAGTGTGGAGCTCAGCCAACGAAAAGGAACCAAACAGTTGGGCTTGGGCACCAAATCACTGCGCCATGTCGCAATTGATCTGCGAAGACAAGTCATACGTCACCTCAGAAGACACGCGGCCATCACGCAACCAAACGGATCTCCCTTTGTGGAAGACAGGCAACGGTCTTATTGCCTATGTGTCAGAACTGGGATATGGACCCCAAAATTGTTTTGACCCTAGGCTACCCTGATGTTGGCCCCTTGCTCCTTGCACCGCTTGCACAAAAGACCTCTGATGACCTCTGTTTGCCTGGCAAGGCCTGCACCCCTTCCCAGGCAACAGCCCAATAGTCCAAGACACGGCCTCCGAACAGAAGGCAGAAACAAGTAGTTGATACATGGACGCATCTTTGAGGGTACGAACTTCCGCGAAGAGGTTAGAATAAGGGTACCCGTTTTTCTGTAGTCTATTTTAGTAGGGGAACCCTCCCAACCAAAAAAAAAAACGGTAAAAGGGCACCTAGCTCGGGGGACCTAGTGAGGGTATGAACTTGGGATGCTCTCAAACGAAATCGCAGAAAATCGCAACCGCTTTGGGAGGAGGGTTCCAATTCATAGGTGGCCTTTTGGAGAAATAGATGGCCCTGGTAAATGGAAGAAACCCCACCTAAACCACTGCCATCTACTTTTAATCAAACTAACCTAAAAAGGACACCTATGGTTCCAATATTTCGAGGCAAAACGGCTATGAATCTGGATGCAAAAGGCCGCAAATCGTTGGCAAAGCGCAGGAAGACCAACAGGCCAACAGCGTGAGAACAGACCCATCGTCACAAGGGAAGAAATGCGGTGGTCAAGTTCGGAGGATACCTGTTATTTGAAGGGAGGCTAAACGGATCTAAAGCAAAACGACTCTAAAAAACCCAAATTTGGCATCTCTGGCCAAGGAAAACCAGATAAAACCAAACTCATGTTCCACCGTTGGGTCGGTCCGTCGTTTAAGCGAGAAAGAGTCTGTCGTACTCTTGGCCCGTGGTTACTCACTTGCCTCAGCCCTAGAAATACCGGCAAATGTCCCTTTTTTGAACAACCATGGCATATGAACATGAACTCTTTGGTGTACGCGAGACTTTGGTGGGTCTTGATTCATGTCCACCAACCACTTTTGAGGTGGTCCCAACTCTTGAAATTCAAATAGCCATAAGCTTGTCTCAAGATGAGGAAACCCTCCAAATTGCTTGTGATCCTTTGATTTCCCTTTAAACCAACCCCCGCAAGGGTGCCACCGAAAGGTAACCCCATGTCAGGGCGAAAGGGCTCGACCTTTCGGACCTGGAAAATCACATGGGATTGGATTGTTTGAACACGCTATCAGAGAGGCAGGCCGGGATGTATGACCGGGTTTTAACTGGGTGAGTATCACCAAGGAGTAAAAACAACAAGTTAATTATAGGTTATCTTGCACCCCCCTTAAAGGAAACCACCAGTTAGATGGTGTTTAGGGGTCATTCCATTTCTCATTCCTTGCATCTCTCGCACCAGCCGATGCGCTGGCAAGTGAAGTCTTCGATTCGCTCCGAGGCGCTAGAAACTTGACTTGGATCCCATCGTCTTTGACTTCCTGTCAAAGCGCGGAACGCGAAGCGCGAAACGTGGACCCCGAAGTAGCTGAGAGCTGTCCCAAACCCCCGACTTTCCGGCACTCGCCACTGCTCAGCCACTGCTTTTTTCAGGCGGAAAGGGCACTTGAAAGGACTCCGACCCCTGCCCCTTCCCATGAAGGTCTTCCTTAAATTGAGGCACCCCAAGCTTCGCCTGTTTCACTCATTCCCCCCTCTCCTGGCCCTGCATCTGGAGGACCTTCCTCACCGGAGAGGGGTCGATGTAGCTGAAGTTCCACCTAGCCAGCAGAGAACCCCGAAGAAAGTTCCTTGGGGGTTTCCCATGCAAAAACGTGGAGAAACCCATGCGAAACCAACATGAGATAAATGTGGGAAACCTTGTAAAAGCCATGAGAAAAGGCTATTCTCAAACTGAAGGTCCCCACTTAGATGGCAGTTTCCCGCTTACCTCATTGCCTTAAGCGAGTGGAGGGTCCACAAAAAGTAACCAAACTGTGTGTATGCAACTAACATGGCCTTCCCCCAAAGTACAAAGTCCATGAGCTCAGGCAGCGAGCTCTCGTGGTTTCGCTTCAAATCCCAAGGGGCTTCTCCAAAATCCATGTTGATTGAAGCCCGGTCAAAAGCAGTCGCAAACTTCTTCTCGAAAGGAGAAAGTTTCAGGCGCGTCTGGCGCGCGTCTCAAGGCAATTTCGTGTGGGTTCTGGAAAAGCGGTTGAGAACCCCAAGCCACCCCAAAACCACAAAAGCCTGGGAGAGAATGGAAGAGCCATAGGTCTCCTTTCGGAAAGGGGGGGAGAAAACACAAAAATAAACGATGGCCCTGGATGGAAGAAACACTCATCTGAACCGGTGGAACCCACATATGTCCAACCAAACCAAGCAATCCAAAGGACGCCTATGGAAAGAGCACCAAATACCTTCCTTCCCAAGCCTGGGATCGCTGTCTTTGGGGCTGTGGCAACTGAGCGCCGCAAGAATGCACCGGAAACCCCCGGCTCCGTACACGCTCCGATCCGAGCGAGCCGCTGGAACTGCGGGTTCACCTTGGAAGGCGTATCCTCCGTGACAAACAGGCCTGAGCCAAGGCGAGCAACAAGAAGCAAATTCGCTCGCGGAAACAAGGAGAACTGCTGGCGGTTGGGAGGGGGGGTGGTTCACCTTTTTGGGTTGGCTTTGGTTCGGGGGGGGCCCCCTAACAAAAAGGGAACATGTTTAAAGGGGTTGACGTGGGTTGACCTTCTGTTCTTTTCTCGATTTTATTTGTTTATCTATGTTCTTTCTTGGGGGGCACCCGAACAAAAAGGAGGCTATGTTTTTTCTTGGGTCAACCAGCCGGGCTACCACACAAAACAACAACATGGACAAACTACCCTCCCGTCCCATGGAACCCACCCAATCCCACCCCAAAACGTCGGGCTTTCTCTGGTTCCATGTTGGCGAGGGTAGTTTTGTGGCCTGACCATCTCTGGGGTCCGAAAAGTCGCTGCAATCTTCGGGGCTCAGTGGGTCTGTTTTTTGGGACCCCCATTTTGGCTGGCGTTAAAGGGAGACAACAAGAAAGCCACCATTGTGTGGGCCCCCGAAAAAAAAAGACACACCCAAATTTGGCAGAGGGGCCCTTTGATAGATGCCTTGATTTGTGACGGCGTCCGCACTCAACAGGTCTCTGCGTTAGCTTGGCAACAGTTTCTTCAGTCTCTTCAGGCTGACTAATACTTGCCCCAAGCTGCAGAGAGCAATGTTGCGTGTGTATCTGCAATTTGGCCTCTCTGCCCATGGCGGGTCCACTGCAAAGAAACTGCAGTAAATGAGGCAGAACATCCTCGCCTTCAATTGAACTGGGCCCAGGCTGCTGCAGCCTGAGCCAGGCTGACAGTAGATGCCACTTCTTCCCTTTACTCCCTGCCTGCTTCGCAAAAGATGTCGTACCAGCATCCTGCGGCTGTCGCATGGTACTTGCAGAAAAAGGGAAACCGCTACAGTGCATCACCCAAGTTGGCCTAAGGGGCCTAAGTGTCATGACCGCTCCCAATGCAGACCCTCGGACCGTCCAATGGAGAACCCCGGCCAACTCCTCAAAGGAACTCAGAAACCAGCCACCTTGAGGGCCCCAAAAAGAGCGCTGCACGCTTAAGGTGCCGGTTTATCCCCATGCCGCCCCTTGAGGTCCGCTAACGGATTCGACGGCCGAAAACTCGCATGGTCTACTCGGCCGGCGGCTGGATGGCGCAAGGAGTAAGAATCGCTTACGGACTCGAGGGGAAGGCTTTGTACTACCAGGCCCCAGTTTCCTCCCCAAAATAAGCCCCTAGGGAGAGCGGAAACCAAGGCGGGAAGGGGGGACATCAGTGTGAGTTCCAGAAGGGAAAAAAAACGATATTTTCAGGGGAGGGGGGGGGGGAAACCTTTGGAAGGGTGGGAAGATCTTCCTTGTTGTGTGCAGCGGGTGATGTTGACCCCAGACTACTAAACCCTGCTTATCAACATGGGGAGTGATCCTCAAAAAAAATACAAAACAATCATCCGGGGTCAGAACTCAACTGCCCAGTGACCATGGGCAAAAAAGAGCATCCTTTTTGGGTTGGTTGAGTTTACTGCGGAAGTGCCACTGGGCAACAAAGAGCATTAAGGGCACTTCCGTTCTCTCCGGGATTTGGAACCCGGGATCGAAACGGTCTCCTGGCTTGATAAAGTCCGTGTCCGGGAAGTTGGCGATGAGGATCCGCTTTTGGATCAAACCCACGGTGGACTTGCCCGAGGGGCTGCCGTCCAAAATCCTCGCAAAAAAGATCGACCAACTCTCAAATGCGGGGAGGGGGGATTTGTGTTGTTCTCACTTGCCCCCCCCCCAAAAAAAAAACAAGTGATCACCTTCAGAACTTCGGGGTCCTTCACTCACTTGCTGAGTGGATGGCCCAAAGAAAGTCCAAACTTTATATTTACCACTAGAATGGTCTTCCCAAAAAAGTTTAAAGTTCATGAACTCAGGAAGTGAGTTCACTAAAAGCGGGCCGAAAGGTGAAAAGATCGGTTTTGAACAACTGAGTTTTCGGGCTGATCATTTTCTAGTGCACCCAAAGAACAGGGGGGCTTCAGGGGTGCCACTTGAATCCACTGAACTAAAAAGCCCATTATACCTTTCCCCACCTTAAAAGAGGAGAAACATGGAGAGAGCCATCCGTCGGTCTCTTTATTTGGACCGTTCTGGCGACAATCGAGGCATGGTGAAGCCTTGGCGTTCCAAGGGTGGAACCCAAATACCAGCGCCATGAATAAGATCGGGACATCTCCAAGAAGGGGACTTGGACCCCTTGCAAGGGGTTCCCTCCGGTGATTCTGTAGGAGCGTATGGGCCTTGTCTTGAAATGCGCTGTCTCACGCCGAAGGGGCGCTCACTTCTTACTGGCCATACTGGCCGAAGGCCAGTAAAGACTTCGGGACACTACCTGGCGTCCAAAAACCAAAAACATCGGTGTTTGTGGTCAATATTCCCAAAGTGTCCTCACATTCTCTCGCCTTTTTCGTGCAGGCTTCAGGGAAAGCACTAACTTGATGCCATTAGAGGGGCGGTACCATGGATGCACATGCATGTTGCAAGCAGGGGAAATGGAAACCCTCTGTACCACAATCGGTTTAGTTGTAGGACATCCAAAGGTGCGACCGAATCCCTGATGAAGGAGAACACCCTGTCTAAACATGGCTTGGTGCACGTAGGGCCCCAACTGGAAACTAGTCTTCGAGGCTTAGAGGGCTTGTGCAAAGAGATCCTCAAACACCTTCATGTGCGGCCCGCACCTGTCAGTGGCCAGACTTTGTCCGAACTGCTTCACAAATGCTCCCTTTTGGCTTTATGTTGCCTCCACACTGCAACATTCAGAAAGTCACCTAGGCCTTCTGTGGCCCAACTCCTTCCAATCCGCAACTGAATTAAAAGGCACAGGTCCGGGAAACATCTGCATTTGGGGGAGGGTTGTGTGAGGAGAAGGGGGGTCAAACAAATGAGTCGCGCGCCAACCGCGACACCAACCAACACACCCAGCAGCATAAACCAGTTGAGGCAAGGTGCTCGTTTGCAGGCACGCGCCAGGTGATGGTCGGGCACCATACCTCAGACGAAAACCTCCGAAAGAGAATGCAGGGATCCACGGCGTCCCGCTTCGCTGGTCAAACAAATGAGCTCAAAAATACCGTACAACAACTGTCCACTCAACGGATCAAAGTACTATGCTCTTTCAGGGCAAGCTGTTGACTTGTCAATTCCAAAATGATCTGGCGCAATCCAAGTTGATTCATGTTGGCATTCAAAGTCTGAGTTTATCGCCTGACTTGATTTGTTGAAGTCGGGGAGGCAAACAGAAACCAGCCTGAAAACAACTTCTCCATTACTTTGATCAAAACCTAGTTTGGCTGTCTGCTGGGTTCTTCCAAGGGAATAGACGGTCCTATCCTGCCTGAAGAGGCCGCCAGGTAACCCCACACAAGCAAAGCCTCTTCCCTTCCAGTTTCCTGGGCTCTCGCCAGCTCCAAGGGCTTCGGGCTTGCCTTAAAAGAACAAAACAAAACCTGAGCCCCTGCCCCAAAGGTCACACTGAAGGAGCCACGTTTAGAGACGTCTGCCTTGAACAATCTCCCCCCTTCCCCCCCCGCCCCCGCGCACCACCACCCACCCCGCCCACCCCGCCCGAGGTCCCAAGGTCCCGACCTCCCCGCCCACACGGATGTTGGCCCTGTTCACCACAAAGGCCTTCGTCGCGTCCGTGGTGGTGTGCACGTCCACCTACAAGAAATCAAACCCTGGGGAGAGAGGGGAGACTCATTCTCTGCCAACCTCCAGTCGTGTCTCCACGTGAGTTGCTGGAAGGCTACTTGATGTATCAAACCAAACTAAAAGTCACGATCATAAGAGAATAGAAGGTGTGCAATACAGTGTAGCTGCTCATATAATCCCAGCGGTCTGAGTTCATTTCCAGGCGCTCCTCAAACTATCATGTTCGAAATCCGTTCGGGCCTAATCACATTCTGTCATCCACTCAATCCTTCTCCTGGTTGGTAGCCTTCTTAATCTGCAATCCGCGCTACAAAGTGATGTGACCTTGTGTTGGAGCATTGAAAGGTCCATGCAACCCAGAATCCGTAATCCGCAAAGCGCATAGCAATCATAGGGGATTCTATTTTGAACAAGCCAGTTCAACAAAGTTAAGGAATCCTCAGGTAACCTCCCTGCACCTTTTAGTTGAGCTTGTCAACCATTTCTCCAGCTACAATTGGTGTTTTCTTCCTTTCAGCTTTTGGGTATCCTTTTTTCAGGTTGGCAAAAGCATCCAGCCCCCCCCCCCCCCGCCCTATTTGGGTGGAGAAGTCTCCGCGTTTTTTTCGGATCCTCTTGGACACATCCCTCCACTCCCTCCCTCCACTCGCCTGCATGGCCAACAGGGCCTGGCTCACAGCCGCGAACTGGTCGTCCGTGGGCAGCTTCAGTAGGATGTCCTGAGGGAGCGAGCAGAGAATGAGTTGGAATGAGCCTGATTCGAAACCATGAGGCAGTTGGTTTCTCATGGATTCTCGAAGGGACCCCTTGAGGTGGCTTCTGAGGTTTCTCAAAAAGACCCCTTTGAAAAGGCGTCTGAAACTTGCTGCTGGAATAGGTCGGGAATGAGAAATGGAATGAACTCAGTTTGGGGATTGACTCCAAAAGAAAGGAAACCATAGGACATGGATGGTTTTTATAGGGGTCATTCCATTTCTCATTCCCTGCCTATTGCACCGGCAAGTTTGCGCAACTGAGTTGCCCCCGCCCGAATAAGCAGCAAAGCTCATTAGCGATCGACCTGCAGGCTTCATTGAAAGCCATCCGCTTCCAAAAATGCCCAAAATCGGCACCCTTGTGCACAGCCAAGCCAAGCCAAGCCTTTGCAACGTCACACCCGCAAAGCGGAACGAATTGAAAATCAGGGTTGACCGAGTTCCGCTACACAAGCAGTGGGCTTACCCTTCTCCCGACTGATGTAGCAGGGTGCCTGGACAGATCTCCTCAGGCCGCTCAGTTGATTTGCCCGGAAACATGGCAGGGCACTTGGTTTTTTCGACTTTTAAGTTCGGGTGAGACCATCCTAGCGCGAACACGGGTTGGTCTCCAAATGAGAGAGATCCTTTCCCCCCCCGCCAAAAAAAAAGCGGGGGTTCCTTCCAGCATTCAAAACAGGGATCCAGTGGTCATGGGGAGACAACAGCCCCCCGCCTTGTTTGATACCGGTGATTGATTTCTCGGCTGGTTTCCCCTTTAAACAAAACAAAAAGGAATAACCCCAGTGGACGATGTATATAGCTCCACTCCAACTAATCCCCAGCGCCATCAAAAGCTCAACCTGTCGCGGCCGAGCTGCGGGTGGGATGACGAAGCGCAGGGTGAAGCTTTCCTGTGGCCGGACACGGTTTTACTTTGCCCACATGAGTCTCTTTTTTGAGGGTACCCTTTTTTAAGGTTGGTTTTTGGAAAGGCACCAAAAGGAAACCAACTATTTTTGAGTGTCCGCACAAATGGTGTGCATGTCAAGGGCCCCGGTCGTTTTGGACATGTTGAAATTTGCAATCTTTCTGGACATCTACGTTCTCTCTAGGCGAAACCTTTTGTTTGACCTATAGAACAACAGACAGTTACAACGCAAGAAAGGCAAAACGTGAAAAGGATTGAGACAATTGTGACCCCTTTTGAGGACTCCCTCTTTTTACAGGCGCGAGATGCCACGTGTCAAATTCAGAGCCTATTTTCTGAACCCTCTTAAGACTCTTCTAACAAGAAAAGCCGTCCTACGGGGTGGTCTTGTTTTAGCCCTTTTTTGGGGGTGCTTCAACGGGAAACCCAAAGGACATCTTTCAAAGTATCTTTACATTGATACATGCACATTTGGAGCCCACGCTACAAATCATTGGAGGGATCGTTTTGCGGCATTTGGCAGGATGTGGAAAGGTAAGCGTCAGCTGCCCTCTTGCTGCTGGTTTGGATTTCCCATTTAACCGTGGCTTCACTTCCAAACCACCAATCCAAACGACCGACGAAGGCTTACCTGAGCCACTGTCCTTCCAACAGAAGTATGGAAAGCGCCAAGGTGTGCCCTCCCTTCGCAACCCAGAAACCAAACTCCCCGAAATATCCGCAAAACACATATCTGAGGGTGACCAATCCGCATGCCCATGAATCCACTTGGCCCAAAACAGCCTCCGAATTGGTTGTTTCATACCGCCGTGATCTATTCCCAAAAAAGTCTGAAGTCCAGTGCGAGTCGGAGGCCAGGATGATCAGATGCCGCGCTGTCGGCCGCCCTTGCATTCTTGCACACAGAGGAAAACATCTATAGGCTTGCAGGGTCAAACTGGGAAAAGCCCTCAGGTGGTGGACACTTCGTCTTTTTCTGCAACCACCTTCTCTTCAGCGCTTTGAGGTGCATGCAAACAGCCTCCAGGCGTCCATGGCCGAGTGTGCCCGCTTTTGTGGGGGATGGCTGTGTGCCATCCGAGCGGCGGATTCCGTCCAGGGGCTGTTCATGTTCGTGTCCGTGCAAATCTCCCGGACACGGAACTTGTAGGTACCTGGTCGGGCAAAGTTGCGTTAGAATGAGGGTACCCTTTTTGTCGGTAGTCTATTTTAGTAGGGGAACCCTCCCCGCAAAAAGAAACGGTAAAAGGGCACCTAGCTGGGGGACCTAGCCACTCGCTGAAAAAACATGCTTTTTACGTTAACACGGAGGTTCAAACATCTGTTGCTGGCGCCGGTGCTTCCTCAGTGTTCCACTTTCCGACGTGCGGCGTCCTTGGAGTTGAGTTGTCCCGACCACTGACTTCCAGACCCCAGCGGGTTCTCACGGGAAAGAAAGGAAGCCCCCGTGTTTTTTTGTCCATGCCCGGCCCCAAACCGGAACACTTGGTTCCGAAAGGTCTCTCCCTAAAGGAGGTTTTCGGATGGGCTCCCTTTCAACCATCAGCTGGCGTGGGAGTTGTTTCTTTACATGCCCACCCCCTCCAAAACAAAGGAAAGGAAGCGGCAGGCTGGAGGTTTGCTATGGATCTCTCAGGGCGGGAGGGGGGGTATGGCTATGGGGGCAAGCCCCTGATCTTTTTTGCACGGTCTCGGGGCGGTCTTTCTCAGGTTCCCCCAATAACAGGGCTGCTTCAAAGGAAACCAATGGGGTTTCCCCCCGGCGCTTTGCAGCTCCCTACCTTTGATAGAGGCACCCAACTCAACAGGTTCATTTCAGGCGATAGCCGCCACTCGTGGCAGTGAGAGGATCTAGGTACCCCGTCCGTCCTATTCCACCACATGCAACCAAGTCCCCTGAGCAAAATATGAACATATGTCGACGAGTGATAGATTCCCTTTGAAACCAACAATGGAAAATAACACATATTCTCAAGCAAATAGAAGCAGCAACAAGGGGGGTCGGGGTGATGGGCCCTCCAAAAGTGAAGCGGGCACCTCCTGATCGGTTGATGAATTTGGGGATCAACAGTGAAAGGTTCGCCCGCAAGAATGTGTGCAATGCTTTTCTGCAATTTTCGGCTGCAGGGTTGCTTCATTGGCATAAACCATCTACCCTCCCACCAATTCACATGGAACCTGACGTTCGGGACCCGGTCCCCTTTTAAAAGGCAAATGGTCCAAACCAGCACCGATTCCCCTAAAACGCCGAACGGTTCCTGACAGGGGGTCCCTTCAAAAGGACAATGGTCTAACCCAGGACCCCCCAAAACTTTTCGTCCGGTTCCATGTAAAAAAAAGGGTGTTGGAATGAGCACCACCTGGCCAGAACAAACCCAAAAATCGCCGGATGCTGCGAGAGGGTGCCGCCCTCCACCAACTCCACCGCCGTGCAGTTCACCGAGTCCCGGGAGGTCCAGACGCCTGAGCCGAGGGAGTCGGCTCGAAGCTGGGCGGTCCGTTTTCGGAACCCCCGAAAAAGAAGGTCCTGGATCGCCAGTTGCGATCGCTTTTTTCCATCCACCTTACCCCAAAAACCAGCAACAGTGACTGAAGAAAACAGCAACTTGGCTATCCAGGGTGGTTCACTTCTGCTGCCCTGCATGACCATGGCGATACAACGTGGCCGGTGCTAGAACCACGAGTTGCCACTGTTCGTGGGTATTAAATGGAAACCCGAAAACGCTAAACACCAAACGGCGAAACCTAAGGAACCGGATGGCGCTAGGAACCAAGGAAGGGATCCCTTGAGGAGATGTCCTTCGGTGCGACCGCTATCGGTGACCGATAGGTAGGGAATGAGAATGGAATGCACCCAGGCGTTGGTCCCCTTAAAGGAAACCATAGGATGGATGGTTCAAAGGGGGCATTCCATTTCTCATTCCCTGCTGGGCACCAGCAAGGAAGAGCCAAGGCCGAAAACGCACCGATTCCGATTTCCGCCGAAACCCAAAATTGGGTTTCGAGAGACACCCATAGATGCTTTCCGGATGCCCACGGATGCTCTCTCCGGCGACAAGAGGTCGCACGTGCCGGGTGTGTTGCTGAGTGGGTCCCGCAACATGACTCATATGTGCCATGGTCAGAGCTGCTTAGATGGCCGATGGTGCTGGTCATGGTTCCCTTACCTCGAACCTTTATAATGGTTATTGGGAATCCTTACTATGCCCATCCCTATTCAGCCAAGAGTTTTTTGTTTTAATAAACCACGGCATGCTCCCTTCAAACGGAAAAACAAAAAGGGGTCCCACAGCCTTGGACGCAGAGTGGCTTGTCACCCGCGCAGGCTGCATGCCTTTGGCTCCAAAACAGGCCCAACGTCGGGACGCCAAACATGTTGTCTCTCGGTGGCGAACTCTGCCCCCCTGCGAAAAGTTGACAACTTTTAGTGGTTTAATACGCAAAACCAATTCATTAGTTGGCAAAAAGCTAAAGTCCTATCATCCTTTGGCAGAATGCACCAAAGGTTTCTTCGGCGATTTTTTGGAGGACCCGCCCCAAATCCTCCAAGAGAAAAGCCGCGCTTTCAAATTCAGGGGACACGCCGGAGGTGTCCAAATTCGGTCTCAAAGGACACCCACCCACCCCCACACACAGTTTCAGTGTTCCGTTGGACGGGCAACCCTATGCCACACTGAACGCTGCAGTCAAGACAATGCCCTTTTAGAGAAGCTAGCAGTGAAAAAAACACAAAAAAGTCGCCATCATAGCCGCACAACATCCCCTCCGTTCTTTTTCCCATCGAGGCTGAGGATCTATCCTCACAGCCTGTCATGGTCCCGTAGTCGGTCGTGGTGCCGTCCACCTCCTGCTTTCCCTGAAACTCGTAGCCTGGCGGTGTTGCGCCCTGCGCGTCGGGGGCTGGGCTCAGCCGCTGGAAAAGTGAGTCACACAAAAATGTGTCTCGCCCAGCTCATAGGGAGGCAAGGTGTTCACACCTGTTCAGTTTCCAAAAAAATGCACATGGATTGAAGTTTCGGACAAGCAAGACACTGGCTACCATTTCTTTCCGGTTGGGGCTGCCGTTTCCCGGTTCGCACGTCTTGAAGCCGAGGAGATGCCTTTGCCGAGCTCGAAGGGTGCCGAGACAGAAAGGCGCACCGGGCTGTTGGAGCAGCTTGAGCCATGGTTGCACTGACGCCCAGGACGCCACGGAACCCAAATGGAGGGTCCCCTACTCCGAAAAGGAGCTTCGTGTCACAGGCCTCTTGGTCATTGCGGGGGTAGCAGCCCTGTTGGGCTGAGCATTCATCGGCCCAATGCCCACCTTCCCTGGCCTGACCAAACGCAGTCGTTCGACTTGCCGGGGGCGAACTGCAACCTCGGGCGTGGGACGACGTGCTAGCTGGAGCCAAGCCAAATTCTGAGAAGACCTACCTGGTGGCTGATGCTGTCCCACCTTCGATTAGGCACATTCTGGGAGTTTACAATTGTTGAGCCTTTCGGCAAACCACGCCAAAACAAAAGGACCCTCTGGTTCCCGCACATCCACAACATCTTGTCAGCTTCGCCCCGCAATCCTTGCCCAATGCCTCACCCCCCCCAAAAAATAATAATACAGAAAGGCAGCTCTAATTATTGCAAATGGACTGCCCTGCATCTCTTTCCAAAAAAAAAGTCGGGCAAAACCAGCCCCCAGAAGGCCAGTTCTGGCCAGCCACCCTCAAGGCCTCAAGACCTCAAGGTATGTGCCCGAAAGCCCCACCTAAGAATCAGCTCACTGCATGCTGACCCAGCAAACCCTTCGCCTTTTTCCAACCTCTCCACATGAAAAGGTCAAATGGTCGATTAATTCGCTGGGAAGTGAGTGGGCGATTGTCACTTATTGAGCCCGGATGGCTTGGAGATTTAAACCACTGTCTTTTGTGGAGAGTAAAGGGCGCATATAACCGCCCCCAACCTCCCAAACCACCAATGAGAGTTGGAAGCTGAGGGAGTTGCACAAGCATGCCAAACACCTTCAAACTCCCCGCGATTGGCAAACCTAGTAAACTGCAGGTGCATGGTTGTGGGAACCATTGTGGTAGGTTGCCACTCCGGAAAGGCCAAGGTGTCCTTCGAAGCGTGAGTTCGGGTCATAGTCCTGATGGCTATTTGGTATCGGATCCTTGGCCTTTGATTTGTTGGTTGAAGCAGGTCGGATGTTCTGAGTTGGACGCACACAAAGTTACTTTCACACTTTTTGCACAGGAGCCTCACCAGCAACCAAGATCATTGAATGGGAGCCAACCGCCATCTCCGAATCTCCTCATTGCCACGGCACCTGCCACATGGCACCCAGAAGATCATCTCTCTCTTGGAGGGACAGGGTCTCTGTCAGGTCCCATGGCAACGTAGAGAGGGTCTCTGGCAAGCCAACCCGATCCCCTCCCTTTCCAAAGGCTCAGGGGTAACCAGATCGCCCACCCCCCTGCCCCCCCGAAACCACAACAAACGCGCTGAGGGCAACCCAACCCGAGCGACCCCCTTTCCGGGGACCACAACAACCAGCCCCACCGCGGATCTGCGAGCGGCATCTTGTCCACGGCCCCCTCCGGCTTCGGCCGGGAGGGCGCGAAGATGGACAACACCGACGCCGCCGGCAGCTCGCCTCCGCCGCGCAAAGCTGACACCAAGTCCATGCGGCCATGTGGACATGTGTCAACACAGGGGGCAAAAAAAAAAAACAAAGAAGATGTCGTTCGCTTGAAAGCAAGGGGAAAAACGGTACCCCCCCACTTCTCAGAATAAGTTTGAAGACTCCAAAACAGGCTGAAGAAGCATTGATTTGGACCTGGTCGAAGCCATGCCTCGCCCCCACCAACCCTCACATTCCGAAATTCTTGAAGATGCCCCCACTAAGCCCAGGTGCACATATGGGCGAGGTCAAGACCAAGAACCTGAAACTCGCGGGTGTCAAGCCCAAGGCACTTTTCGTTCAATCGAAAGGAACCCCATACAAAATAATCCAGCGAGACTGAAACGCCAGCTTGCTTAACATCAACCTACAAATGTTTGTTTGCAACCCTCCCAAACATGCTCGGTTGCAATGTCTGATTCTATCAGGGACAGCTCGGTTGGTTGGCGTAAAGGAACCCTAGGAACTCCACGTCTCCCGCGGGTTTGCTTGCGCCAAGGGGCACACGAAGGTGGTAGGGCTCAGGACACTCTCGAAGCAGTAAAGCTGAGCACTGCCAGTGGAGGTCCGGGGTACGTAGCCCGTGTCGCACTGGGGCGTGCAGTACTTGGCGCGGCCAGGGCATCAGAACGGCTGTCACTTGGTCCGTTGTGACATCCTCAACATCATCATTCCTCCAATCCAAATAGTGGTGTAAAGGGAAGCCCGCACGAAAAAACAAAATCGAGAACCCCTCAAAATGTTCAAAGCCACCCAGAAACAACAACCAGCTCAGCTGTACATCTGGAAGCCCTTTCAAGGACCCGTAGGCAAAGAAAAGTTGCTCAACAGGTCTAGTTGCGCAACGGCCTTCAGTCTAAGCCAACTGGGACCTAGTTCGGTCTAGCCATGTGTACTAGTTTTCATCCGCCGCTTTCAACGAATTTGTTTTATTCTTTGGTCCACGGCATATCTACTGACTTTGCGCTTGGACAACGGCTTGCTGGTTTCTTGCCAGGTGTCCCTGTATCTTTGAGGCCCCAGCCACTTGAGGCGTTGGATCTTTGGCCTCTGCGGTGCTTCGTTTTTTGTTTTTTTCTCAGCGCCAGGAAGGTTTCTGCCATGTCCCCTCTACATCAGTTTAGAGGGTGCTAAACAGAGGGTCCGGAAAAAGAACGTAATTTTGCCCGTCTCCCTTTGGTTTCTTGTCGGGTAAGAATTCAGCTAATATAGCATATAATATATATATATATATATATTCATAACTTGGAAGAAAGAAGGCTTACCTTTCGAGACCTTTACTAACCCAGTGATTGCATTTACCCAAGTAGACCAAGGGAACCACCCTTCAACAACCAAAAGGACAAATGGCCAAAAAAGAAAAGGCGACATATAGCCCATGTTACCCAAAAAGTTGGAAAGTTGTGTTTTTAAGAGGTAAGAAGGTTAGAAGGTCGGTTTTTGAAGCAAGCTCGGCTTGGTCTGGTGTGGCACCCCCAACAACTGTTGGGGGGGGTGGTGGTGCTGGCGTTGGGTTGGGTACTTGCAAGATTTCTCTACCATTTGCGTTTCACCATTTGGAACAAGTGGGGCCAAACAAAACCAACGTTGTTTGTCATTTAAGCCAGAAGCAAGTGTTGCACTTCAGTATGTTTGAACAAGACGTGGCCTCGCCTCGTTTCACTGGCCGGGTTTGACCAAAGTCGCCACTTTGATAGCTTCAAGGGGACCACTTCGTGATTCTCCCTGTCAGGGCCTTTGCTAGTTGGGTGCGTCTCAACATAGGGGTTCCACCAGAATGCTCTTGGTTTCCCTTTTGACCAAGGGGTACCCACAAAAGATAAGGCAAGTCTGGCAATGGCTAAAAAACAAATTCTTGTCTTAAACAGAATATGCGACCGCCAAAGCCCCCCTGACCTCAGGGCAGAAGAGGTGACAAACCCGCGCACCTGGAATGCTGATTCTCCTTGTTTCCCACCGTTTCAGAGCGGTGCAACATGCATTTTGTCCATCCCCAGTATGCTAATAAATTTCCCCCTCTGACCTAAAGTGTCTGCAAGTAAAAGCCACAATCGCGGTGGGGGTCGGCTCTCTGCTGTGGATAACCGAAATCCTGCACCACTCTGAAACCATGGGAAGCTATTGCTTGTTGGTGTTTACAGGGGAATAATCATTCCAGGGTTTCTTGGGTGGTGCAGGATTGCGTCCATCCACAGTATCATTCAGCACTAAGTAAGCCACCTGGCTGCACCTCCCAGAGGCACAAGGTCACAAGCTCTGCCGAGTGGCCGTGCTGTCCGTGATCTTTCCTGAAAGAAGGCATGCTGGCAAGCCCAAAGCCCAGCTGAGCTAGACCAAACTGGGTGAATTCTATGGCGGTGTTTTTTGTTGGCCCCAAATGGTGGTTTTCCTTTTGGCGTTGCTTTGCAACCGCAACCAAAACGCAACCGACAAAAAGGCACACCCAAATGAACCCAGAAACCTGTTTTCCGAGCAAGCCACGAGGTGCAAGAAGAACACGAAAGCCCCAAAAGACATTCCAACGCAAGCGACAACATCAGCGCGCCGCGGCAAAAGGCGACTTCGAAGCCCGCAGCGAACCCCAAGCAAAGCCTTTGAAGGGCACGTGCACATGTCAAGAGAGCCGTGCCGCGGAGAAAAAAAAAAGAAACCTGGCAGTTCCTTTGAGCTCTACGGCTTTAGCTCCAGCGGCAAACGATCCTTTCCGGAATCCTTCTGGATTGTTTTTTGGGCCCCCTTGCGTTCGCGGGGGCGTGGCACGCCCCCTGCCCCAAAAGTGATGGGCAAGTCTGGTTATTGCTCCTGGCAGAGAAAAAACCCATGGGAAACAATGCCTTTTGACATTTTCAGGGGAATCATCATTCCAGGTTCCTTAGATGGTACATAGTTTCGTCTACGGTAATACCATATCTCGAACCACAACTCCGACCAGTAGCTTGAAAGCAAATTTGCATACTTCTCGCTCCGCAACCGCTCCCTTCCAAACACCATTTCTGAAGACAAAACACCACGGTGCGGCTTACCGGAATTAGAATCAACGACAACCCCATCTCCTAGATCCAAGGCCAATCAACCAAACAAACAAGCAATTAAACAAACAAGCAAACAAGCAAGCAAGCAATTAAACAAACAAGCAAACAAGCAAGAAAACAAACAACTCGAACACTAGGCCCCAACTCTCCACTGGCTCTCAGTGCTCCGGAGGCGCTGGCTGTGTTGCTCTCAGCACAAGCCTTCACCAGACCTGGGCTCGATCCAACCCGACTCATATCTAGAATGCAGTTGTCAAGCATCTTATATAAGATCAATGACCATGATAGGAGTAAACTGTTAGTAATTGGCTCCACTTCTTCCCTGACAGGCCGAAAGCAAGTAGATGGCGCAAGTCCCTCATGTTGGTTTCATGTTACAATGGCACTGCGCCGTCTACTGTCACCCCGGCGAGGGCTCCACGACCGGCCCTGGAAACCAAAACTATAGGACCAACAGGAGACTGCATCCCTTGAAGGAAATCTTCTGAGGCCTCTTACATGACTTATTTATTATTTTTGTTTTTGTTTTCTTGAAATCACAATTTGAAGGGTATCTCTGAGGATAAAACTTGGTTGCTGTTGACCTCTGCAAAAGGCTTGACTTTATATGGGTCCGATGGAAAACCCACTGCTTCAACAAGTCCAAAGATCCAAAATTAGCCGGCAAGGACATAACTGTTTCGGGGTTTTCCTGTTTTAAACCATTTCGAGGGATGTCCACGACTTCAGGCCTGGGCCACAGAACGACCCTTTCAATACCATTGAATTGTTATAATAATATGATATGATAAGATTTAATCCACAATATTGTAATATGAACCAATTTACTTTAAAATAACATAATAATTTAATTTACTACTTATACTTAAGCCAATTGAACATCATCATGTATTTAGATATGTATATATATATATATATATATAAATAGAGCCGTTTGTAAATTTACAATGTCAGCCGGAACCTCAACTCGAACACATGCAGCCAATCCTCCGGGCCGCAACTCAACTGACTGCAGACTCCCACCGCACCAGCCTTGATTTCTGAACAGTCCCAGCCCCAAAAAACAAAAAAAAGCTCTGGTTTGACAGTCAAAGCTGCTGAGCAACCACACGGGGAGGAGGCAAAACCAAAAAAACAACTCTGGTTTGAAAACAACTCTGGTTTGAAAACAACTCTGGTTTGAAAGTCAAAGCTGCTGAGCAACCACACGGGGAGGAGGCAAAACCAAAAAAAAAAATCTGGTTTGAAAGTCAAAGCTGCTGAGCAACCACACGGGGAGGAGGCAAAACCAAAAAAACAACTCTGGTTTGAAAGTCAAAGCTGCTGAGCAACCACACGGGGAGGAGGCAAAACCAAAAAAACAACTCTGGTTTGAAAGTCAAAGCTGCTGAGCAACCACACGGGGAGGAGGCAAAACCAAAAAAACGACTCTGGTTTGAAAGTCAAAGCTGCTGAGCAACCACACGGGGAGGAGGCAAAACCAAAAAAACGACTCTGGTTTGAAAGTCAAAGCTGCTGAGCAACCACACGGGGAGGAGGCAAAACCAAAAAAACGACTCTGGTTTGAAAGTCAAAGCTGCTGAGCAACCACACGGGGAGGAGGCAAAACCAAAAAAACAACTCTGGTTTGAAAGTCAAAGCTGCTGAGCAACCACACGGGGAGGAGGCAAAACCAAAAAAAACACTCTGGTTTGAAAGTCAAAGCTGCTGAGCAACCACACGGGGAGGAGGCAAAACCAAAAAAACAACCCTGGTTTGAAAGTCAAAGCTGCTGAGCAACCACACGGGGAGGAGGCAAAACCAAAAAAACGACTCTGGTTTGAAAGTCAAAGCTGCTGAGCAACCACACGGGGAGGAGGCAAAACCAAAAAAACGACTCTGGTTTGAAAGTCAAAGCTGCTGAGCAACCACACGGGGAGGAGGCAAAACCAAAAAAACAACTCTGGTTTGAAAGTCAAAGCTGCTGAGCAACCACACGGGGAGGAGGCAAAACCAAAAAAACGACTCTGGTTTGAAAGTCAAAGCTGCTGAGCAACCACACGGGGAGGAGGCAAAACCAAAAAAACAACTCTGGTTTGAAAGTCAAAGCTGCTGAGCAACCACACGGGGAGGAGGCAAAACCAAAAAAACAACTCTGGTTTGAAAGTCAAAGCTGCTGAGCAACCACACGGGGAGGAGGCAAAACCAAAAACAACTCTGGTTTGAAAGTCAAAGCTGCTGAGCAACCACACGGGGAGGAGGCAAAACCAAAAAAACAACTCTGGTTTGAAAGTCAAAGCTGCTGAGCAACCACACGGGGAGGAGGCAAAACCAAAAAAACAACTCTGGTTTGAAAGTCAAAGCTGCTGAGCAACCACACGGGGAGGAGGCAAAACCAAAAAAACGACCCTGGTTTGAAAGTCAAAGCTGCTGAGCAACCACACGGGGAGGAGGCAAAACCAAAAAAACAACTCTGGTTTGAAAGTCAAAGCTGCTGAGCAACCACACGGGGAGGAGGCAAAACCAAAAAAAACCTCTGGTTTGAAAGTCAAAGCTGCTGAGCAACCTGGGGAGGAGGCTACACACATGATTCTCCCGACCAAGTCCAGGACCTGTTGCTCAGTCTGCCCAGAAACAACATGTAAATCTTTTGGGCCCATGACTAAAAATGGACCAAAAGAGGAAAACCAAATGGTCAAAGGTTTGGACAACTGGTTTTAGTTGACAGTACTTCCCTCCATTTGCCCAAGCGTCCCCAAGGCCCCGGCTGTCTGTGGCGCTGATGGCGGAGTTTGCCACCGTGGGCTCGTCACAGGGCAGCACCCCGCAGACCGTCTCGGATGAGAGTTTTTCGCATCGAGGCCAGTGGGAGGGGAAAAAGGTCCATCCAAACATGGGTGTCCTTTTGGAAAAATAGATGGGGAAACCCCTGGTAAATGGGGCATAAAACCCATCTAAACCAGTGGAACCCCTCTATGTTTAACCAAACTAACCTAAAAGGGACACCTATGCATCCAAAGTTCAGCTTCTCACGGTTCTTGTGGTTCTGAACCAACATGTTTTGACATTTTTTTCTGTAAGTCCAGAACCCTGCATTTAGGGATCCCTTCTTGTGGTTCTGCACCCAAATGTGTTGCAACTTTTTATTCCCAAACCTGTGTCCCCTTTTGAGGGAAATGGATGGATTTCCCTGGTAGATGCGAAGAAACCACCAGGTAAACCAGGGATCGCCATCTATTTTTCGAGCAAAACAACCAAAAAGGACACCTATGTTCCAAAACCTGAACTTAGGGATCCCCAAGCAAAGGACCTTGGTGAGCTCGTTTAACCCCCCCCCCCGACGGTCCCCATCAAGACCCCAGTCAACCAGTCGTCTTTGTTTTTTGGCGGTGAAAAAGACCAACACTAAATATCTACATGCGATGCATACACATATACATACAGTATGAATACATACACACATATGTATATATATATATATGTGTATATATATATACATATGTATATGGGTTTGTATTTATTTACGGTGGCCGGGCAGGAAGGTTTGAGTACGGGGTATGATTCGCAGGTATGATTCGCGGGTATGATTCGGGGTATGATTCGGGGGTATGATTCGCGGAAGCAGCAGCAGCAGCAGCCGCAGCAGTAGTAGTAGTAGTGTAGTAGTAACAATAGTAGTAGTAGTAGTAGTAGTTGTAGTAGTAAATAGTAGTAGCAGTAGTCGTAGTAGTAGTAGTACTAGCAGTAGTAGTAGTAGTAGTAAATAGTAGTAGCAGTAGTCGTAGTAGTAGTAGTACTAGCAGTAGTAGTAGTAGCAGTAGTAGTAGTAGTAGTAACAGTAGAAGCAGCGACTGTAGTGGCGCGGAAGCTTTGAAAAGACTTGGCTCCGGCCTTGGCATTAGAGCAGCGGCTGTAGTGGTGCGGACGCTTTGAAAAAGACTTGGCACTAGCCTTGCCAGGGGAAGCTCATTGTCCGGGTATGATTCGGGTATGATTCGGGTATGATTCGCGGCTAGGTGCAAAACGGCACTGATTACAGACTCAGAATGATGTATGTAGCAGTGAGTAGTAGCAGCAGCAGCAGCAGGAATAGTAGTAGTAGAAGTAGTAGTAGTTAGTAGTAGTAGTAGTAGTAGTAGTAGTAGTAGTAGTAGTAGTAGTAGTAGTAGTAGTAGTAGTAGTAGTAGTAGTAGTAGTAGTAGTAGTAGTAGTAGTAGTAGTAGTAGTAGTAGTAGTAGTAGTAGTAGTAGTAGTAGTAGTAGTAGTAGTAGTAGTAGTAGTAGTAGTAGTAGTAGTAGTAGTAGTAGTAGTAGTAGTAGTAGTAGTAGTAGTAGTAGTAGTAGTAGTAGTAGTAGTAGTAGTAGTAGTAGTAGTAGTAGTAAAGGTTGTAGTCGTAGTAGTAATAAAGGTAGTAGTAGTAGTAGTAGTAGTAGTAGTAGTAGTAGTAGTAGTAGTAGTAGTAGTAGTAGTAGTAGTAGTAGTAGTAGTAGTAGTAGTAGTAGTAGTAGTAGTAGTAGTAGTAGTAGTAGTAGTAGTAGTAGTAGTAGTAGTAGTAGTAGTAGTAGTAGTAGTAGTAGTAGTAGTAGTAGTAGTAGTAGAGTAGTAGTAGTAGTAGTAGTAGTAGTAGTAGTAGTAGTAGTAGTAGTAGTAGTAGTAGTAGTAGTAGTTAGTAGTAAAGGTAGCAGAAGCAGAAGTACAGTAGAGTAGCAGTAGCAGCGGTAGTAGCGGTGGTAGTGGTAGTAGCAGTAGTAGTAGTAGTAGTAGTAGTAATTGGAGTAGTAGTGTTGTTGTGGAGGCAGTGAACAACACAAAACGGTAGAAGAACAGTAGCATCTTGCAGCATACGTTTTAAGGGGTATGATTCGGGGGTATGATTCGGGGTATGATTCGGGGGTATGATTCGGGGGTATGATTCGGGGAGGTCCCACCTTCTGCCTTTTGAAGCAACTCAACACACCAAAAAAAGACAAACCCATATATTATACGCTTGTAGGGGGCTCCCCTTGAATTACAATTATCCTGAGCATCAGAAAGTCCCCTCCACTCAAATAGGACCTTTGGAAGATGGACAATCCGTTTTTCCATGGCCTCTGCCTAGCGCACCTGGTTGGTCACCGTACCTGTTCCACGTTTCAGCCTATGGCTTCGTTCCGCGTGTGGCGCGCCTAGGGGAGGCCGCTTTTTCACACACCGTGTCTGTTGGCCTTCCTAGGTTGAGTTGAAGCTGCGACTGAAGATGACTGAAGGTGGGAGATAACTTGGGTTCCACGTTGGCAATTAGGGAGAATACTCGAAACCTTCCCCAAAAAACGGGCAAACCCCGCGCGGAACCGTCAACGCTCTTTCCTCTTTGTGCCCCTCATGCAACTGCCGGAGGCCCTTGGGCATAACGTCCAAGCCGGTCTCCCCCGTGTGGGCAGACGTTGTGGGATTCGGGAGTCCTTCACCCAAGACTGGCAGTTCCCCCTTTTTGGGGCCAGCTCCGGCAAAGCGAACCTAAGTCTCTGCCAGAAGGGTTCCTCAGGCGCACAGGTGACACGCACGGCGCATCGAGCACAGGCCATGCAGCCCTCAGCGCTTTCAGCGCTTTCGCCGTCGGGGCCGAGCTCCGCGGAACTTCCCGCTGAAGCTCGCGGCTCGTCTTCCCCTCGCAGCAAAGGGCGGAATTCCCGACGGGCAGCAGAACCAGAGCTGCTTCGGCCGCATTTCGGGGGGGGGGTAGGGCCTGGGCATCTCCGGCTGCACGGAACCCGCGCGCCGCTTTTTGCGATTTCGCGGCGGCCGCTGGCCCTTCAACCTGCCAGGGTCCCACGAGTTGCTCTCCTCTCTCCAAAAAATCCGCCCACAGGAAACCCACGGGCCCGGGGAAAATAAAGGCCCCAGGCCTCAGGAAGAGTTGATAGAAGCTGCGACTTGCTCCACTCAAGACCTTTCAAACAACCAATGATAAGGGTCCGCCTTGACATAGCTCTCCCTCCGTCCATTTTTCCTTGCATCATGGGCAAATGGAGAATGCTCCCAAGGAGCGCAGCGCAGAAAACGCCCACAGTCCTTCGGCACCCTGGGAACTTTCCCGCCTAGCTCATAGCTCTGCCATCAGCCGGTCGTAGAAGGCGTCCGCTGGGGCAATGACCTCCTGCGGCTGCCAAATCGCCGCGAATCGACACAGGCTGCTCGCCCGGCGGAAGCCGTAAGGACCTTCTCAACATGATGGACCTGCTTTTGGACCGTTATTTCGAACAACTTGCTGGTGGGATAGGCAAGGAACGAGGAATGATACATGGAATGACCCCTATAAACCATCCAACTGATGGTTCCCTCTATTCGAGAATCTGCAGGTTCATTCCCACATTCCCTACCTATCGCACCAGCAAGAAAAAAAACAATTCTTTCCCCCCAGACCCCCCCCCCCACCCCCTCTGCACGACCCCCCCCCACCCCAAAGCTTCACCTGCCAAAGCTTCAGCGTGGGCAGCACCGCCCGCGCCCTGCGCCGCAAATTGGCCTCCCACCCGGCGCCGCTGGCGCCGCCGGCGGAGTGGTTCAGCGCCAAGCGCAAGGCCCAGCTGCAGAGGCCTCGCGCTCGGGCGAGCTCGAGCGAGCTGCCGGGGCCCCGGGTGGATCCGGCGTGGGGCTCAAAAAGTTCGGCCCTTCGAATTGCGCCGAGCGCGCCCGGGCAGTTGAGCTTTCTGTTTGGGGGGGGGGGGGGGTGGGAGTCTACTTTGGTGTGGAGACTGTCGCTTCAATGACAAATGCACCACCCCCACCCGCCCCCAGCAAGCTAACTCAAGTTCAACCAGGTCCTTCCATCCCTTCCGCCCCCTCCAGGTCAACCAGGCCTTGCGGGGAAACCCCTTCCCAGCTTCCCACCCCACACCCCCACACCCCCTCCACGCCCCGCCCCCTTCCGTTGATCAGGGCCTTGCCCGCATTGGCTCCGCGCATGGCCCAGGTCAAGTCCGAAGTTCCGGGCGCCCCACAGCAGCCGCAGCCCCCCGCGCCGCACTGGGCGCGCGCCGAGAGCTGGCCGCGTCGGCAGAAAAAACTCTGCCACGCGGCGCAAAGCCGCAGTGAGGTTCGCCTCCGGAGCTTCAACGAATCACCCCTGTGTTGGGACGATATGGCTGTGGCTCAAAAAAAAAACGGTACCAAAATGGAACTCTGATGAACTCTGGTAAGTGGAAACATGGACCACAACCTCCATAACCCCTCCTGTTTAATTTTGAGCCACACCCATGTGTTTTTTGGAGGGAGACCCACTTTGGAGGTTCCAGAACCTGAGGGAAACTCATTTTGGACACTTCCCTGATCTTACGCGGAAAGATCTGTGATTCATGACAATGTGGCAAGGGGGGGCTTCTCAAAGAAGCCTCCATGTCCCAAAACAATGAAGGTTCTCGGGACCCTTCCGACAAAAACGACAAGATTAATGTAGATGGGATGTTCAAACCGAATGGGAGGTGGTGCCAATCTCAACTGGTTTGGCTTTTCCTTCAAAGTGGGCTCCTAAATCGGGGTAGGCGTTGTCCAGCAACAGGGTCCCGTAAGTGATACACCCAAAAAAAAAAACTGATACATGCACGGGCACCTTCGGGTTTCCCTTGGCTCCCCTTACAGGCCAACTTTCTGTTTGTATCCCGGATTGCCCAAACCCAACAAGCGACCCAAGTCTTCCAGGAACTTGGGGCATGCCTAAAAATGGATCACGCGGGGGGGAAAACGAACAGCTCAGGTTGATTCGCTTTGGTTGCAAGTGAGTGCACGGGATGCGAGTCCACGGATCCTTGGGGCCGGAGAAAAAAAATATCGCCTGGAACTCTGTGGCGCGCATCGTGAGCACCTGCGGCAGTGGGTCCCGTTTCCCTCGCTTCCCGGCAGTTTTTGGGGGGCAGTGTGAGGCGAAGAAAAGACCTCCATTTAGAACATGAGTCACAATCAAAACCCGGTACTAAAATGGTCCACCCAGAACCATGTAAAGAATCAAGAAGGCGGCCGCAGCTATTTATGGTTGGGATCGTCCTTTACTAAGCTTCATCTACCCGGGTTTTGATTGTGGCTCACATGACGTGAAACAAATTCGTCTCCCACCCCCCCCCCCAAAAAAAAAAAAGTGCATTGATTTCTGTTGGCTTCCCTGCAAGGCAACCTCCGGAAATCTTGGCTGGAGTTAGGACCCCAGCAAAAAATAAACAAATACAATATATATATATATATATTGCCTGGTTAGTGGAAAACAGATGGGACCCCCCCACCCAAAAAAAAAAAAATGATAACAAAGGGACCAACTTCAGGGGAAGAAAATAGGTACCCTCAAAACCGGACCCCGAGCCCGCTCGAAGTCCGCTTGGACCTGCCTGGGGCGAGGCCTGCCAGCGGTTCCTCGAAAGCTCGGAAGCACCCCCCCCCCTCCCTCCGTTGCCCCTTTCGTTGCCCCTTTTCAAACAACACGTGGCTGTGGGTCAAAACCAATGGGATCCCATTTTGGGGTGGGTGAATTCACCACGCATTTTAGGACCTATTTTAGTGGGGATTGGGATGCTTACTGGATCCTCAAAAAAAGGGGGTCAAACCCGCATGAAACACGCACCCCAAGGAGATATAGGGAAGTTCATGTGGCAAAGCCCTGGTCACCTGAGCAACAGCTGCTAGTTTAACTTTTGGGACTAAATTCGGAAACCCCACCACTAAACCAACTAGAAGCCGCAAACAACTTATTTGGAGGAGGATTCGCGGGGAGCCACCATTCGCATTAGCACCCTGAGAAACATTTCGCTGAAGCCCCCAGGAAACAAATAGAAGTACGTTTCAAGAGTTGAAATCGAACCCCTTTCAAACCCACAGGGGGCAAACATGCACAAAACCGCTGAAAAAACAACGTCATTTACTCCCCTTCAAAACCAGCAGCTGCAATAACAAGTATATATTCACTCCAGCAAATGGAAAGCTTTTCTCGCTTGCTTTCTGCTCCCCTGCTAAAAGTGGACAACTTTTAGTGGTTTAGTAAAAAACAAATTCATTCGTTGGCAAAACGTTAAAGTCCTAACAGGCCTTGGCAAAATGCGCCAAAGATTTTGAGCCGAGGCTCATGTTCATCAGCATCTTGGTTATCGTCCAGCGGCCCCGCCAGATCTCCAGCTCCAGGGCCTCCGCCAGCGGCAATTTCCGCAGCCGCTCCGAGAAGCCTCGGCGAGGAGCGAGCGAGGAGCGAAAAGCGAGGAGCCGGGGGTTGATTCCTTGTCCATCCGCTCGAAGGGGTCGATCTAGGGGAACATAGGGGAACCTCCCCAAAAAAAGAAACGGCAAGAGAAACGGCAGCTAGCTGGAAGACCTAGACAGCACTTTTCAGCCATCGTTCTTTGCAAAACCCATCGCTGTTTCCCCAAGGGTCTCTGGAGGTTCTCTAGAAAGAGCGCGAGGGGAAGGCCCCAGCAAGGTTGCTGGGCCCCCCTCCGACTCAAAAAGGGGGGGGTTCAGAAGCAAAAATTGGGCCCGCTCTGTTCTTGAGAGTTGATTTTGAAGGGAAGCCTTCTCCTAAAACAGGCTCCCAGCAATGAGGCCCCTACCGGCATTTTTTATTGTGTGCTCTTCTCTTCCGTGTACCTCAGAGATTTGGGCCCCAAAATCTGAGGACGGCAAAAAAAAAGTATCTTCGGACTGCCCAAATCCTATACCCTTAAGCATCATTTGGAGCCTCTGCCCCGAACCAAGATTCCCATGGAATCCACCCCCCCCGCTGGCTCAAATCCCAAGCCCGCCCTCCGACCGCTGCAGATCCGATGGCCTGATCTGATGGTCCCATGATGTCCCATGGTCCCATGGTACGCGGGTCACATGGCCCGCGGGTCTCCAAAGTTTACATTGGCGGAAGCCAAACGGGGAGAAGTTGCAAGCCAAACGTGCCAAACGGGGCAAGTGGCAATCCAACTGCAAGTTCCAGCCAGGGAAGTCGGCAAGTCTTTGAAACCTCGGTTGCTTTCTGCTCCCCTGCCAAAAGCTTAACTTTTAGTGGTTTAGTGGAAAACCCATGAGTTGGCAAAAAATTAAAGTCCCAACAGGCCTTGGCAAAATGCACCAAAGAAACGAGTGTTCTTGTTTTCAGGCTCCGAGGGTCCGAGGGGCTGCAGGAGAAGTTGCAGGGCGCAAAGACGCTGCGCCACGCCTCGAAGTCGCAGTGGTGGCAATCCGGAGGATTCGTCCTCCGAGAACAAAAACGAAACAGCAGGAGCCCACAAAAAAGAGTACAAAAAGGTGATCACCTTGGGCATTGGGGGGGGTGACGAAAAAAATGTGACTCAAAATTTGCCCCCCCCCCCCCAAAAAAAAAGGGGAAAAGAACGGGAGTGAAAGGTCGCCATTGAGAGCTTGTTGGCCGCTATGGTCACCTCGGTTTTGGAGCCCCAGGAACTCGGGGAGTGAGGAACACCAGGGGTCGCCGGATGCTCCTGGCGGTCCCTGAGTTGCGGATTTTGCAGATTTTGGTCGCAAGAGGCCGCTGTTCTCCATGTTTCTAGGTCCAAAAGTGCGAAGTCTCAGGAAAAAAATCCTTCATGCGCCTGCAAAAGCCCCACGTAGAATTGCCCATGTTCTTCCGTCAGGCATATTGTTGGGAAAGCTCAGGAAGCGAGCCTTCATGCGCCTGCAAAAATCAAGCCCCACGTGTTGCAAGAAGCATGGCGCCATTCCATATTCCAGGAAGATTGCCGAGTCTCTGGTACATCCAGTACTCAAAAGGAGGGCGCTTCAAGTGGTAGAGGTAGGAAGAGATGATCACCTGGCAGAGTTGTCGCACGGAGAGCTCCGGGAGTTACACCACACCGATGACAGGAAATACAGGATATGTTTATAACATCTCTCTTGCTCAGTTGTTCAGTGACCCTGGAGAAAAAAGGAACCCTTTTAGGGGAAGACCATCTTTAGTGGGGCAGCCACCCCCCCAAAAAAAGAGAGAGGAAACAGTGTGCCACTGAACAACTGAGTTTACATGCAAAGGAGATGTGATTGCCCTACCATCTCCAAGACTAAATCACATCCCCACACAATTGCGTACCTGTGGATGTAAAGCATGGGAAAGAAACACCGGATTTACACAAGTTGAACTGAACGAAGGACAAGTTTGACGTGCTTCAATTGCAGCCACTTGCTGACCTTCGCTTCAGGCTTTGATGGTAGCTCACCTGGTTTGATCTTCAGGTCTCCCCCCAACCATGTCGTCTAGGTGGTTTCCATTTTCCGTCTCAGACCTGTGCTGCCCATTTGGATGGACATGCACGGCCCATGGGGAAACAAGTAACGGACCTTCATCATGCGGAGATCGCTTAGTACGAGTCAGCGGATCGGCAAGCTTGTGAACAAGTTCCTCCAAAATCTTGCCCGAAGTACACAAAAAGGAGATTCTAACGCAAACCCCTAGGGATCAAGAGAAATAATAATAAAAAATGTATAGGGAGGACAACAATCCCAAAGGATCCGAAAACATGGATCCCAAAACTAGGTCCCGAAAACACCAAGGGCATCCGACAACAAGCCCAAAATTACCATGTCCTCGAAAAAAATAACCCGGCAGCTCCGAGTCAGGCTCCCTCCCTTTTCTTCAGTCAACAGGAACCCCCTTTTTATATTTTGTTTTTACTTGAAACCTCTTTTTTATTTGTTGCCTTTAGTTTAAAAAAAAAAAAAAAAAAAAAAAAAAAAAAACGGATCCCCCCGGCTCCGAGTCCTCCGAGTCCTCCCGTCCCCCGGCGTCACGTTTTTCCACCGCGCTCAGCGCCTCCGAGGGCCGCCGCACAAAGTGCAGCAGACGCCGGGGGAGCTGGGCCCGCTGCTGAACCTGACCGGTGGAAACCGACCTGGCTGTGGTCAAAACCGTTTTGGGACCCCATTTTGGGTCGAAAACCTGTGGCTCTTCCTCAGGGTGAAGTTGGGAAACCGACCTTTGTGGGAAACCGACCTTTGGGGGCGACAGGGCTGTGGGCTGTGGGTCAATAATAGGTAACCCAAAACCGGTTGCCCTGGTAGAAGGAAACACGGACTAAAACCTGCGGTTTCTTGGTGGTTTGATTTTGATCCACAGCCATAGGTGTCCTTTTAGGGGACATAGATGGCCCTGATAGATGATTCAACCACCAGGTCAACCAGGGCCATCTATTTTGGAGGAAAACAACCAAACAGGACACCTATGTTTGTGGGCGATAGGCAGGGAATGAGAAATGGACGACATGGAATGAACCCCATAAACTTCCATTTGCTTTTTCGCCCCCAGGAAAACTTAGAAGTATATCACAGTATATCCAGTAGTAATAGATTTCCTTTGAAACCAACAGGGGAAAATTCAACATATTCTTAAGCAAATGTCCATTTCCTATTCTCCTTTACTCGGGAATCGAATCTCAAAACGGTCCATTCCAACTCATTCCCTGGGCACCAAGTAACTTGCCTAACGCTTAGGGAATGGAACTGAGACATCCCTCCCTCCCTACGATCCCAAGAGGTGCCCTAGTGGTGCCAACGGCGCCATGAATGTTGCTTGTTTAATAAGGGGCTCGGTCCATAGGGGCCAACAGGCTGAAAACACAAAATGCGTAAAACTGCTCTTTGAACACTTTGAACACTTCCTGTGTGGTTCCCTAGGCCCTTGTCCAAACGCATTGCGCTCGCTGGTCCAAGAAGATCTGCCAAGCATTCAAAGATCGAAGCCCAAAGCTATCTGACTGCAAGGCTCAGATACGCGCTGAGGCAGAAAGTATGAAAGCTTCCCTAGGGTTTGCTGCAGGCAGGGGAAAGCATCGAATCAACAACTCAGCCGTAAGGGTGAGCTGTTGAACAATCTACCAGCAAAAATGCGCATTTTGCTGAAAAACCTCGAACATTCCCAAACCTCAAATTTGGGTCCTCCAGATTCGGGGATTGTATTCGAAAGTTTCTGAACGCCTTTCTGGAGGATAGAGGCGCCATAGTTCCAATCCACATGTTGCCCAGATGTCTCATTGGAAATTTGTAGTAGCAGGTTCTACCATCGGTTTAGTGAGGATGATATACAAGGAAAACAGCGCAGCCGCGCCTCGTGTTCGAGGGGGTTGTACAACAAGGCCACCCGGCCCCACTTGCTCTCCCGCATCCATGTCCTGCATCGCCGAACCCGGGGCCCTGCTGCATCCGACTGAGCCACAAGCCTCCAAATGTTGCCTTTCTCCCTTGACTCTAGCTAGTCCCCCAGAACGAGGACAGTGTCTTGTGCTTTGTTTTGACTTTAGCTGGCCAACTCCCAAAAGTTGACCAGTTGCTTGTGGCCCAGCCAGGCCAAAACTCTGCTTGATCTTTGGGCCGGCCTTCTCAATGACTACTTCTTCACGCACACACGCAACAAAGAAGTGGGAGGAAAGCGTCAATTGCCTCAACTCTGAGATCCAGATGCCGTATGGCTCCATGCTAGTGAAAGACACTCCCAGTGCCTTGGAGGCGGGGTAGTTTGGAAACTGATCCCTATCAGTCAAGGGCTTCAAATCCCCAAACCGCCAATTCAAACTATATACTCTTCCACCCTTTTCACATGGAACCTGACGTTCGGGGGGTGCTGGTTTGGACCATTATCCTTTTAAAGGGACCGGGTCCCGAACGTCGAACGGTTCCATGTTAATCGGTGGGAGGATGAAACTCTGGATAAGCCGACCTGAGTTGGCACGCTGAACCTGGAGTCTGGGACCTGGTTCACGACCCGTTCCAGCTTCAAAATGCGATGGGCAAAGGTAAACCCCTGAGCACCTCCCACAAAACGGGCTTGTCCTCTCTCGGAAAAGTATGGAAATTTGCAGCTAGCAGATCGAATGGGCAATGTCAAAGCGCGCTTTGGCTTTCTGATGTTCTCCGGGAAGCCAAGCTTAGCTGAGAAGTTCGAACCCAGGATTCCTTTGATATCATGGAAAGTGGCCCACCCCCATTATATAACCATTCCCTACAAGCATCCGATTCTTGTAACAGCCCGAAAACCCATCCCCATGCTCCATTAAAACAAGTCTCTTCAGGACGTCCGCTGAGAAAAGAACCAAAAACAACACGGCCCCTCTGATCTGCAGCTTCCTTAAGGGCATCCGCAAAAAAATGAGAAAAACGAAAACCGCAAAAACACGGCCCTTCTTCTCTTTCTTCCGCCTGGTGCACTCCACTTCGGAGTCGTAGACCACGGCCGTCTCGTTCTCCGTCGCCAGGTTGTACTCGAAGGCGCGGCTGGAGTCTCCCAGCAGCAAGGCCGCCAGTGGGCCGGGAGCCTGGAGCCCCCGGCGCCGGTGGTGTTTCTGAGTTTTTTGTTATTGAACTCGGGCCTGCAAATTCTTACGGGGGATGGAACTCGGTCATGGTTTGCTTCTTCTTTCTTTTGTTAACTCGGGCCTGCGAATTCTTACGGAGCCTATGTATCTAGGTCCTCCGGTCCTCCAGCGGAGAGGCTGGAATAAGGGCTAGCTTAGTAGGGGAACCCTCCCCCAAAAAAGAGTTCTTAAGGGGGACCCTATAAATATGTTCCAGGCTGTGGACCCCTGGGGGCTGGGAAGGGGGCCTAGGCGGATACTCGGGCCCGCAAAGTCTTTCTTCGCACGGAAACGAAAGGGAAGGCATGGGATGGCATGGGATGGCTAAGGGATCCGGAACCGGCCAAATGCAGCCCATTTTACCCCAGCAAACAGCTCGCGCTGACCTGTTCTGTCGATTACAAGGGGTCCGTATATATTTTCCCCTTGTGGCTTCAAACATGACCTTTCAGGGCCCTCGTGCCTGCCGTTGAGTTTCCTTCAGGCTTGTTCTGTTTAGGGAAGCAGTTCGGGAACCCTGTTGGCTTGCTGGTGCAATAGGCAGGAAAGCTGGGAATGAACCCAGTCGTTGGTCCACTAGAAAACCACCACCGACCTAGACTCCTTTTCAGACCGTGACTAAAAGTGGAGTGGTCAAGAGGTCAACTGAGCTAAGCTCAGAGAAAGCAACCATTCTCCTACGGGATCCTCCCATGGATTGTACGTGGAAGGCCTTGACAAGGCCTCATGAGGACTTTGCCATTGTCGCCCAAGGGAGAAAACCTTGGGTGTGCCTTTTTGGGGCACGCCCTTGCGATGCTTTCTTCCTTCAAGTCCAACCCATTTTTCGAGCTGTTCCCACTTCTGTCCCGCTGTCCAGGGTTCCTTTCTCAGAAAATGACTTGGGGGATTAGTGTTTTCTCAAACGAATGATCGGTAAAACAAATAGACGGTTGGGATCAACCTCAGGGCCTCGTGGCTTCCCTGACTTTGAGGCAAACCAGACCATCCCCCACCCCCTCGAACAACAACCCCCTCAGCCCCCCCCCCCTTCCCCGCCACCCCCTCGAACAACCCCCCCCCCCCCCCCAATCCCCCCAATCCCCCTCCTTAAGGACACATTGAAATCCCGCCTCATTGTACCCCAGGAGCTGCGTGGCCACAAAGGTCCCCGTCTTGTGGTAGCTCACCAGCCCGAAGTCCGGGACTCGGCTCATCCGCTCCCACTCCTCAGCGCTTGCTTTGTCCCACCCAGGGGTGCTTGTACATACCCGAAACAAATACCCATTGGGGAATGAACCCCAAAGGCCTGATGTTCATACCCTCTTTTGAAAGGGGTATATACACCCCTTATAAAGTGGGTTGGAAACCAGGGAAGCCAAAGGGGTATGAACTTCCACCCTTAGACACTGTTGAATTTTGAAACCTCGAGCACTCGCAAAAGAGCCGTGCAAACGGGGCTCCGGTGCCCTTCGTTCCCGCTCGGCGCACATGGATTCTAGGTGCGCCCACAGCAGTGGCTCACAAGGCGGTCCAATCCCCAGGCAGGGTTGGAATTCTATACACGAACCCCTCATCAACCAGAACCCTAAACCAAGCCCAAGCCATCAAACCATCCCTAAACCCGCCCTAACCCAAGCCTAAATCCCCCTAAACCCACCGTAAACCAAGCCTAAACCCAACCAAACCCACCCTAAAACCCTAAACCCACCCCAAAACCTTAAACCAACCCTATAAACCAACCCTAACCCAACATCCCCTAACCGCCAAAGCAAGCCACCGAACCTCCCCCCACCTGCAAACCCCACGGCTCCGTGCCCCTGGCTGGGCACCCCGGCCACTCGAAGCCTCGGCCGCGCAGTGATGGCCCGCTGCAGCCACGCCCCGAAGCGCCACTCCTGCGGCGACATGGGCGCGCGGCGAGCGGCGGCGAACGGCGGCTCGGGGGATTTTGGCCGGGCCGACGTTTGGAGTGAGTACCCTCCCAGTCCCACCAATTGACAAAACGAGAAGAAAAAAAACTGACAGAAGGTCGCTTGAAAAGGAAAATGGTGCCCGCTGCCAGGTTCCATGTTAAGTGGTAGGAGGGTACAAGTACTGGGGCTCTGTAAAAGGGTCAACTCTTGGAAGACCAAATTTTGAATAGCGGCCTTTCAAGTAAACATTCGGAGGGGTTAACACGTACATCTCCGAGTGGCCTCCCTTTCAACCACGCTTTTGAAAAGTTAAGTTGGGGGGGGTTCCCCCCCAATGCACTGATAGGTGTCTAGACAAATTATGACTCGCGAACCCAAAAATAGGCCTTCTTTCCAAAACGGTATATATGAACATGGCCTCAGGTAACACAAACGGAGAACACCACGGGATGGAATGCAAAGCACAAGCCCTCCAGAGTTGTACCTTACAAGTCATGACCATTTCCTCCTCCGGCCCAAAGACGATATCGCTCAAAAAAACAAATGGAAGGTGGAGTTCTTCTCTAATCACTTCAAACGGGTACAACAGGTGACCTGCAAGATTGCCTACTTGTGGGGGCCCTGACTTATACTTGGATCAGAAGAACGCAATCAGGACCCCTCAAGGGGGACACAGAATTACTGCCCATCGCAGGTGGGGCCTGGCGTGGAGTTTGTTTAGAGGCAAGGCTTCCGCAGAAATCCCATCGAAAGCCAATCAGCCTGAAGGATACACCGTAGGAAACTCAATTCGTTCATCATTCAGTAGGTAATGCAAAAACCTTGTCCTGCTGAAAGTCCCTTTTCTGAAGAAACAAGAAAGACAGGGAATACAGAACTGTTCTTTCTCCATTTCCGTGGCAAGGAATATGGCTGCCCGTCCGGCGGTGAGGTGAGAAAAACAAACAACAGCGAACGGATATTAAAACAATACTACCCTCCCACCCTTTCCACATGGAACCTGACATTGGGACTCTTTCCTTTTAAAGGGACCGGGTCCCGAACGTCAGGTTCCACGTTAATTGGTTGGAGGGTATGTGGACTGACAGCAAGCCAATACTAAGCCAACCCCAGCCGGCGAAACTCAGTGAGGCCTCCAACGGTCGAATTATCCTATGAAACCCTTGGCTAAAACAAAGCACTGAGCCCCAAATTCGTTTGTTTCTTGTCTTTCCTGTCAACCCCCCCGCCGCTGGTTTCAGGAGGGTTCCAGTCACTACTCAACATGCCTGTGAGAAACAAAGGAAGCCACCAAAAGTAGGGACCACTACTTTATTGATTGAACTTGGCTTAAGAAACAAGCAGCCAATAGCAGCCAAAGAGGGCCAACATGGATTGCCGAAAAGGGGGAAAAAGAGACCCTTGATGGCACCCCCTCCTCCTGCAGCTCGCCGCAGCAGAAGCGGACCTGCTCAATTCTGTGGCCCCCATGTTCGACAAGCCACGATCGCTCAATTTCCTAAGAGGGCAACTTGTCCTTGTTGCCCTTTCGACTTGATTGCCCCAAGACCGTGAAATCGATTCCAAGTTCAAAACCAACAGGGGAAGGTGACAAAAAATATCTTCGCCGCAGCAAATGGAAGAGAAGGCCTTCCGAGCTATTGAAAGCCTCCAGCCATTCTCCCGGGGAGAAAAGGGGATCCTTCTTGGAGTTGGCCATGTTTCCTTTGTTGCTGTTGACCCTATCTGCAAAAAGTGAATCACTTTTTGTGGGTTTAGTGGAAAACCCCCTTCATTTCAACCAAAAAGTTAAAGTCTAAAGATCCGTTGCCCCACAGCAGTCAAGTTTCTTTGGGGAGAACCGGACAATCGGATGCCGTGTTTGCCTCCCAAGTGCTGGCGTGCTTGAAGCACACCGCCCGGTGCCCGAAGACGTCGAAGCGAAAAACATCGCAGCAGAGGCCCCAGAGGTCCACCACACCCCTGGTGCGATTGGCGGGGCTCGCGCGCGGGCTGAGGGCAGGGCTTGACCCGAAAATGGCGGGTGCTCCGTGTCCTTTTGGCTTCCCAAAAGAGAAGCCAAGAACTGCCCAAAGGCTCAAAGGACAATCAACTGAAAGGTGATCACCGACTGAATATGGACCAACATGGGAAAACAAAAAGGTCAAAAGTTCAGCGTTGGGCAACTGAGAAGAAGGTTGGTACCAGGCCCCCACAAAAAAGACATATCCAATTCGCAAACAGTTGTTCAATGGACTCAAAGATCTCTACCTGAAAGCATGGATTTGGGAAGCCAAGTGTTCACTTGTGGGCCTTTTGAGGCCAAAACGGCGATGACTAAAACTCTGCGACGTGTGTCAACTTGTGTCAACTGGTGTCAACTTGCATTTCGTGTGATATGGACAACCTTGTAAAAACAAAATGATTATTAACAGGGACGTACCCCCTATCCTCCTGTTCAATTTTGAGGGCTGGGTGTGGGGTATAAGGACCACGGGCGTAAAACAACTTGAATCCCCTCTCTCTCTCTCGCGCCTTCCCTCCCAACCTCGCTCCCCTCCCTCGCTCTCCCTCTCCCTCTCCCTCTCTCTCCCTCTCTCTCTCTCTCTCTCTCTCTCTCTCTCTCTCTCTCTCTCTCTCTCTCTCTCTCTCTCTCTCTCTCTCTCTCTCTCTCTCTCTCTCTCTCTCTCTCTCTCTCTCTCTCTCTCTCTCTCTCTCTCTCTCTCTCTCTCTCTCTCTCTCTCTCTCTCTCTCTCTCTCTCTCTCTCTCTCTCTCTCTCTCTCTCTCTCTCTCTCTCCTCTCTCTCTCTCTCTTCCCTCGTGATCATCGGGCAGTTTGGTTTCATAGTAGCCCACAAATCCTCATTGTCACCACCCCGCGCCCATTTCGTGCACGCGTAGCGTTCTCCCCAAGTAACTCGACCAGGTCCGGTCCCCCACCTCAGCGCGCCCAGGAACTTCAGCCGCTTCGACGCCCTCCGGCAGCTCATCCGAATCCATGTCCCGGGCGAGTCAAGTTCTCTTCGCGGCCGAGAAGCTGCGCTTTCTCTCAGCTTCCCGCGCCTTCCCCCCATGTGCCAAGTGCCCAGATGGCTACACTTCAGAAGTCATGAGGGCATCCCGCGACCTGTGATGCCTTCGTTTTCGGGGGCCCCGTTCTCCCGCGCGCCCAAACGGATCGAGTGGGGTCTCTGGTGAAAATCGGGCCCAGCGGCTTCCGACGGGCTGAAGGCCGAGGCATAGTCCGTGTCCGAGGTGGTGGTGCAGGTGTGCGTGATCTGATGAGGCGCGAAGCCGTCCCTGCACTGGGCCCTGGCGCAAAACCCCCGCGCGTTGCCAAACCGGGGGGGGGGGGGCCACGCGTTCGTTCGCGGGGGTCTAGGAGAAGGCCTGACGCCCCCCATAATATTCTGAAAATTCGACTCATAATTCCAGAATTCAGGGACCCCCAAGTAAAGGATCTTTACTATGGCGTGCTCGTTACGCCCCCAGGTGAGCTCGCCATAAACAGGCAGACCAATGGCTGGAACCAACAAAAGAAAAACGGGCAAGGGGTTCGGGCGCAAAACGCAGCCTCGTCGTGGAACCCTTGCCCTCGCAGCTCAGTGACCCCCAAAAGCTGGCACAGAAGCGGCCCTGGCTTTCTTCTTCTTTTTCCTTTTTTGTGGGTGGGGGGGGGGACATGACCTGTGCTCTCTTTTCTGTGTTTTTTGTTTGGCCGGGAGGGGAGGGGTGACATGACTTGCTTGTCTTTTTTTTGTTGCTTCGGGGGGGGGGGGGGGACGTCGACGCCATCTTTCCGTGGGGAGCCCAAAGCCAGCGCCGCAAAACCCCTCGAACCCCTCTGGGCGCCCGGCGTGCAGGTGCTGCCGTGCGCGAAGGTGGTGCCCTCTGCGCAGTAACCTCGGGGGAGGTTCAGGTGGTGCGCCGCGCCACGCCCGCAAAAACAATCCAACTCGGGGTGGTGACACCCAAACTTAAGGGGTGAATTCCGGTTTTCCAAACTTAAGGGGTGAATTCCGGTTGTTTTTAAGGGTGGTTGGAGGGTCCAGGCGGATGCTTTCAGGCGAATCCGGCCAAAAAGAAAAAGGGCGGCTCGCCTGTTTCTGAGCGAGGACAACCAACCATTTTGGGGTTCCCCCTAAGAGTGGCGGTACCCGTTTGGAGTTCTCAACTGTTTCCTTTGGACCCTCTATAGGGAGCCTTGCTGTAGGGTGTTAGAGGCAAAGCTGTGGGAATTTGCATTTCCACTTCCGTGTTACTACTGGAAGTCCTGCCGGGCTCTGTCAATGGATGTGGACCTCCGTCTTATACATGAGATTGGGTGTGCGCGGATAATGTGATGCCCAGTTCCATTGCTCCTCTTGGTGTCCGCTTCAAACAACCCTAAGGGCAATTTTCGAGCAAAACTCACACACACACATACACAAAGAAGCAAGAGACAACCATGGCCAGGGAAGAGTTGACCAAGAATGAATCAACAAAGCAAACCACACAGAATCTGCCCAACTGGGGGATCCGAATTGCTTCATCAAGCAAACCACAAGCCCGTGGTGTAGCCCAAGACCAGGCCGTTCCTCGCACAAACGCGCTTGACTGTGCGCTTTTTAGGGCGGTCTTCTGGTCAGCCAGTTGGCGAGCACGTGTTTGGCATAGTATATGGGAAAGGGGTCAATGCAGGGTTTTCCTGCAATGTATGTGCATGTTCTGCTAGTTTGCTAAGTGCATGGGGGATAGCATGGTAGCATGGGCCATCAGTGTGGGCTTCCCCAGGCCCGAAGGCCTTCTGAGAAAAAAAATCACATGATGCACCGCCGACACAAGCATAACAAAAATCGAATGATGTTCAAATGGAGCGGGTGAATGGTCTTCCCGCAAGATTGCCAATCAAAAGGGAGTCCACTTATTTGGCGTCTCTTTTTAGGGGACCCCTCAAAATGCAGGCGTTCCTCTTGGTCTCCCTTCAAAACCAAAAAAGGGCGGTGCCCCCAAAAAGCCACACCCATTCTGAGCAAAAAGCTCCACAAAATCACCGAGGAAACTACTCTCCCCCTGCCAGCCCAAGCCGAAGCCGCCGGCGGTGGCGGAGTTGGTCACCGTCGGGGCGGTGCAGCTGTTCTTCACCGTCACGGTGCGGGTGCCGGAGGTGGACTGACCCGCCGAGTCCGTGCACACGTAGGTCACCTCAACCCAGAATTTCAGCAACCCAGTCCCATGAATAACCAGTGGGGGGGTGCTGAGAATTTGTTTGGTCAAAGCTTGGTCGCTGGAGGCACGCGGTGGGTGTTGACCAGCCCCTCGGGAAGAGACCGTCATTTTGGGGTGGTTTTCTTTCGGTTTCCCCACGCCAACCAAAGGGACAACCCAAAAAACGACAATCCCACAATCGAGTTTTCCGTTTGAAGATCGAAACGGCTGTTGGGGGGACCTTACGCCCACAAGGGGCACCACACGGGGCACCTTGGCCTACGGGAGCCCCGGAATCAACCCCTGGTTGAGTTTGCTATGGGGTGTCCCCGTTTGGTCAAAGCTCATCACTTTTGGAGCCCCCAGCCACTGCTTACTTCTAGGACTGCCCCAAGGCTCATGACCCCTCCAACGGAGGTGCCCGGGCCCTTTGAATCAGGCCACAAAGGCTTCAAAAACGAGCGGGGGCCTGCTAATGGCCGTTGGTTGTTCTTTCTTGGTGCCCTCCCCCCGCAAAAAAAACAAAAAACAAACAAACAAACAAACAAACACACAAACAAATACATAAATCAATAAATGCATGTATAATCATGTATGTGTATATATATATATATATATATTAATTTGGGGGGTGTGCCAAATAACTTTGCCTGGGGACCCCCCAACCGCCGGCCAATCACGATCCAATCGCGGTCCCACAGGGTCCAATCGCGGAGCAACGTTGGGCATCGCTGCTGTTTCTGTTTCAAGTTCAGCCGTCTTGTCTCAAGCAAGCGCTGGCCTTCCTCCATACAACTGGCAAAAGGAAGAAAGTGACGTAGCTCGGATGGGCAAGGGCTCACTGGTGCAGCTTGTCCAATCGCCCTCCAATCGCCGTCCAATCCCGCTCCGGCGGTGATCGGCTTGCTGCATGAAACAGCCCTTGCCAGCAAGCAGATTTGGAAAGGACTGTCTGGCCCTGCACAACGAATTCAACATTCAGGACTCCAAAGAGAACTTTTGCTCAAGCCCGCGCAGTCAAAATCTGCGAGACGTGCGTCGGCACCATGCAACGTCTAAACGCATAGTAAATCTGTTGCCCTTTCGCGCTCCAATCGCCGGCCTTTCGCGGCTCGAGTTTTACCAATCGCGCGTTTCAACAAGTTGCCGCTGTTCACATTTTTTAGACATGCAATTACGGACGGCCCCCATATACATACTGGTTTCCGTTAGTCCGAATTTGAGCAACCTCTCATCCAAGTGGCGATGTAGTTGCCGGCAGTGTCTGTCTGTACCGCTGTGGCAGCGTCGTTGGTGGGGCTGCCCATCGCCGCGGCGTCTTCCGAGTCGGTACCTGGGTGAACAGGTCTAGAAAACCCTCCAAGATTTGTCCATTCTGTGGATGGACGAACTCCATTTCGCACCATCTAAGAAAATCTGGAATGATGATTCCCCTGTAAACACCCACAAGCAGTGGCTCCCCATGGTTTCAGTGTCTATCCCTGGAAACTGAAAAGAGATGGATAGGTGTTCAGGTGTTTCAAGTCACCCATCCCATCCCTTTTCAGCTCTGAAAATAAAGCACACACAAACAAAGCCAACTGATGTTGACCCCATATGAATCAACCCAGTTTACTAATAGGGGGGTGTCTCCCTCCAAAATTGGTCTGATTCCCAACTAAACCCAGGGAAAAGCACCCCCGATTAAGAAGCTGGGGTTGACATCCATTCGGGGCCAACATTGCGCCTCTATTGCCAGGGTTCCGCCCAGGTAGGTTGAAAACCCAAGAAAAAACACATCCCTTTTCAATTCTCAACGTTAAACGCGCGCCAACAAATCCACCTCATGTTGACCCAGGATTAATAAACCTGTCCCATTATTAGGGGGGTGTTCCCTCCAAAAGTGATGAATCCCCACAAAAAGGGACACCCCCCAATCAAAATCAACAAGGGGTTTATGAATCCGGGGTTAACAGTATGCACCTATTCTAGGGTACCTTCCCCATTTTCTTCAGGGCAGGAAACCATCAAAAACCCAGGGGAAACAGCGATCGGTTTTTTTGAAAAATGCCATGGTTGAAAAGAATGGCAAAGGAATCAACCTCTAGACCTCTGGTGTTTGACAGCTTCTATCTAAAGATTGTCAACCGGGGCTCATTTTCTGTCAGCACAGCTGGGTCCCTGTTTGGAAAAGGAATCAAACTCTAGACCTACGCTTGCTTCGCCCAAAGTGCACGTGACCGCCGGCAGGCTGTCCAGCGAGTCAGTGGAGGCCCCCAGCAAGAACCAGCTCGCCCCATCGGCGAGGAAGATCTTCGGCGGGGTGTCCACGCGGCGGCAGTAGGCCACGTAGCGGTCGGTGCCGTTGATGATCATGAAGTAACGGCCTCTCAGGGGGAAGTTCTCAATTGCTGAGTGGATGGCCCAAAAAAAACTCAAACTTTAAATTTACCACTAAAATGGTCTGCCCAAAAAGTTTAAAGTTCATGAACTCAGGTGGGAAGACTAGGTCCGCCAAGAGGTTAGAATAAGTTGGTACCCGGTTTTTTCTTCTCGGTAGTCTATTTTAGTAGGGGAACCTCCCAACCAAACTAGACCACGGTTGGCCCGAAAGCATAACATCGCAAGCGAGGCCGGCCCAACGCTGCAGGATGCGTTCTTTTTCCCTCCACGAAGCATTTGTGAAGCAAGCGCGAGACAGCACCAGGCAAGGTGCTCTGCGCAAACTGGTCGGTGCAAGTTGGTCTGCGCAAGTTTCTCTACGCAAGTTGCACTGTGCAGTTGCTCTGCGCAAGTTGCTCCGCGCAAGTTGCTCCGGCAAGTTGGCCCCTGCAAGTGGCTCCCTGCAAGTTGCTCTGTGCAAATTGCGCTCCCTGCAAGTTGCTCTGTGCAAGCTGCTCTGTGCAAGTTGCTCTGTGCAAGTTGCTCTGCGTAAGTTGCTCTGCGCAAGTTGCTCTAGGCAAGGCGCTCTGCGCAAACTGGTCGGTGCAAGTTGGTCTGCGCAAGTTGCTCTGTGCAACTTGCTCTGCGCAAGTTGCTCTGCGCAAGTTGCTTTACATTGCAAGTTGCATCTTGCGACGCCCGCCCGCGGACCAGGGAGGAATCGAACCCGCGACCCGCAGCAGGCGCGAACCACAAAAGTCGCAAAAAACCTCGAGTTTTTGCACCTCGACCACGCCGATTCCCGCAGAGGGTTGCGCCAGCACCGCAGAAATCGCAAAAAAACCTCGAGTTTTTGCACCTCGACCACGCCGATCCCCGCAGAGGGTCGCGCGGGCACCGCAGAAATCACAAACGACCACGCCGATCCCCGCAGAGGGTCGCGCGGGAACTTTAGAAATCGCACAAAACCTCGAGTTTTTGCACCTCGACCACGCCGATCCCCGCAGAGGGTCGCGCGAGCACCGCAGAAATCGCAAAAAATCCATGGGTTTTTGCACCTCGACCACGCCGATCCCCGCAGAGGGTCGCGCGAGCACCGCAGAAATCGCAAAAAAACCATGGGTTTTTGCACCTCGACCACGCCGATCCCCGCAGAGGGTCGATTTTCGTGTAGTGTCGTCGGCACTACCCCGCCGCCCTAAGAAGAGATTTTAACTCCTCGCAAGTCAATTGCACTTGGACTCCTTGCACTTGCAAACTTGCACTTGCTTGACTCCTTGCAATGACTCCTTGCAATGACTCCTTGCAATGACTCCTTGCAATGACTCCTTGCAATGACTCCAATGACTCCTTGCAATGACTCCTTGCAATGACTCCTTGCAATGACTCCTTGCAATGACTCCTTGCAATGACTCCTTGCAATGACTCCTTGCAATGACTCCTTGCAATGACTCCTTGCAATGACTCCTTGCAATGACTCCTTGCAATGACTCCTTGCAATGACTCCTTGCAATGACTCCTTGCAATGACTCCTTGCAATGACTCCTTGCAATGATGCAATGACTCCTTGCAATGACTCCTTGCAATGACTCCTTGCTACAATGACTCCTTGCAATGACTCCTTGCAATGACTCCTTGCAATGACTCCTTGCAATGACTCCTTGCAATGACTCCTTGCAATGACTCCTTGCAATGACTCCTGCAATGACTCCTTGCAATGACTTGCAATGACTCCTTGCAATGACTCCTTGCAATGACTCCTTGCATGACTCCTTGCAATGACTCCTTGCAATGACTCCTTGCAATGACTCCTTGCAATGACTCCTTGCAATGACTCCTTGCAATGACTCCTTGCAATGACTCCTTGCAATGACTCCTTGCATTGACTTTCATGATGATGATTCCTTGCAATGACACCTTGTAATGACTCTCATGAGAACAACTCAAGTGAACCCAGCGGAAGAACCCTTCGCCATGCTTTCGGGAAAAAGTTGGTAAAAGGGGCACTAAGGACCTAGAAGAGCTTGGACAAATGGAGGAGGTGGGGAAGAGCAAAATACGAGACACAGAAGAAGCTGTGATTATCGGATCCGCGGGCCGAATCCAATCCGGAAAAAGTCGTGTTTCTCGAAAATGCCGACGTTCAGGAACCTTCCTTGGAACCACACGGTCCCCAGCCCCCCCGTGAAACCTGATCCAGGATCAGAGTTCAGCCCAAAAACCACACAAAACCACAATGATCACAATGTTTAGAGAAATATTCTCATGGGTTCCTGCTTTTCATTCGCTTAGTAAGAACCCAGGCCTGTGCATAGCGTCATGAACTGGCAGGTTTGGTTCTCGAAGTACTGGTAGGCCACGCACTCGCTGCTGCTGGCGGATAAGCATTTCGTCTCGCAGGTCTGGTAGTTCGCCACGCTTTCCACCCTTGGGATGCTGGGATTCAGAGGGATTCAGACAATACCACCACGAAGTCCAACACAGGGAAATTTCTTGTGGCAACCCCTGACTCTATCGGTTTCCTCGAGTTTGCGCAAACCGCAAAAAAGGCGGGGAGTAAGCCATGTAACATGGCAGGCTGTTCCTTCTTTCCCGTGCTGAAGCTCCACCTCCGGTGCCCCCTATGTGGTTTGGAGGCACCGTTTGCATTTTGAAGGGTACATGGGAGGACCTAACCCCAACCACAGGGCTCCCCAAACCGTCAGCAAGCAGCTGCTGGGCGCTTCTTTTCTCTTCATTTGGGCGTGGCTCGCTCAAAATTAAACGATCGGAGGGGCGGGGCAAACCGCAGGTTTTGGGTTCCCATGTTTCCACTTACCGATCGGGCAACCGATTTTGGAATTCCGGTCTTTTGATCCACAGCCATTTGGGGTTGCCTGATTTCTTTTGGGGAACCTTTGGGTGTCTCACGAATCCGACGCCCATCCTCAGGGAATCCGAATGGTTGATCAATATGCTCTTCCGGCCCCCAAAGGACCATGGGCAACGTTTCCCATGTGGGACAGAACACTTCTGGGTTGCTTTCTCCCCCCCTGCCAAAAGTTGACAACTTTTAGTGGTTTAATACGGAAAACCCCATTCCTGGGCAAAAAGTTGAAGTCCTAACATCCTAGCAGAATGCACCGAAGATTAAATCTTCTTTGTGGTTTTCAACTGGACCAATATGGTCATCCCATGTCTCACGGACCTTTTGGCCAGTCAAGGGCGAATTCGAAAATTTGCCGAGGTGCGTGGCTTGGGTGAGGGAGCAGGCCACCCGGTTCCCCCCATAGGTGCCCCCAGGGTTGGGCTCTTCGCAGGCCACTTCCACCGAACGGGTGGCTGACACGTGGGCGCCCATGGAGTCGTAACCTCGACGACCCGGCGACCCGGCGCTCGGACTGAAGCTTTGGAGGAATACCCCTGCTGGTTCTCGTCACTGAATGAGAAACCATCCTTAAGCTCACTTGCCCAAAGGACCCAGAAATAAAAGGTTAACCTTTTGGGGCCTTGACTAAAACTAGACCAAAAAGGAGAAACCAAAAGGTCAAAAGGTCGATTCGCTTTGGGCAACTGAGTACTTGCTGAATGAACCATCCTTAAGAGAATCCCGAGGCTCATTCCCACCCTGGGTCATCTGAGCACAAGCAAGCCTGTAGACCCTAGTGGAATGACCCCTAAGCTGAAGTTACCTTGCTGGTCTTCCGAGTCCGGGTGTCGGTGGAATGAACCGGAAAGGGGATTCCCGAATCTAATTATTAAAGGGGTCTCAGTCGCTTGCCGAAAAGACATCTAAAAGAAGCCCACGTGATAGAACTGACTCAATGGAGTGCGTGTACTTTTGAGAGTACCCGCCCCAGAACCCTCCCTGAAAACTTCTCCAATCCGACGCAGAGCTTATTTGCGGGGAGACTCCAAAGCTTCCCCCTTGGGGGAGGGGGCCGGTTTTTCTCACCATGGGGTCTATGAGCCAGTTGTACTAGGGCTAGGGTCTATAACTTGCTAGTTCTCAGCTTGGACCCTATAAACCATCCATTTCCCATGGTGTCCTTCCCAATTGAACCGGGCCCCTGACTCTTGGCTCCTTTTGCTTGAAGACGGTCAGTTTCTTATCGCCTGAGCCTGTTCCAAGTCTTGTAACGGACCCCTCGCTTCGTGTGCCATTTAAAAAAGAAGGAACATTCAACACACGCACCCCTATTTAGCCAACCTCTTGTCCGCCAAAGTTGCACCCAAAAAAGGCGAACCCCCCTCCCCTCCCCTCCCCCTCCCCATCCCCCTGCCCCTCCCCCTCCCCCTCCCCTCCCCCTCCCCTCCCCCTCCCCTCCCCGTTTCTCGGTAGTGGAAACGAAGTTTTGGGGACCTCTCTTCCACTGTCGCCTGCCCCCGGACCTTTTTCTTTCGGCCTCCGGGGCTTGGAGACCTTGAACCCTTGAACTCGCCGCCCTTTTTTCTTTTTCCTTTTCTTGGCGTGGGGACCCCCTACGGAATGCAGCAAGCGACGGAAAAACACCGCAAACGCTTGCTTGTTCGGCCAAATACGGCCGAGACCGGAAAAAAAAGACAAAACAACACCATGCGTGCACTCCAGGGGTGCCGGTTGGTTGAACCCTTTCGAGGGTAGATCTGGTTGCACAGCTGGCCTTTTGGAAAAATAGACTGGTTTCCCGAGTAAATGGGGCACAAAACTCATCTAAACCAGTGGAACCCATCTATTTTTAACCAGGCTCACCGAAGGACAGCTATGCCTGGTTGATTTTTTCAGGGACCCCAAGCTTGCGCCAGGCTGCAGGTGTAGGTGACCTTGTACACCGCCGGGCTGTCGGCCACTACGGCGTTCACCACCTCGATGCGCGCCTGCGCGCCGCTGCCGGTGCTGCTGGTCAAGCTGCCCTGCTTGCAAAGCCGATTGCCGCTGAAGGAGGCACCTGCATGCGGAAGCCCCTGCTAAAAGTTTAACTTCTTGGGGTTTAGTGGAAAACACCTTTAAGTCCTAAAAGGCTAAGTCTAAAGATCCAACCCAATAGCAGTCAAGGCAGATCTACATTGTTTATGTTGGATGTTAATTCTAAGATTTTAAAAATAAAATAACATAGAAATAAAATAAACAATACAGACACACTATATGACAGAGAATTAGAATGGAGAAAGGACAGTTAATTCTAGTCTTATTTGTAATGCTTTCCTGAGACTTGCCTTATCCACTTTCTGGAATTACTTTCATCTCCTGGACTGGTCCTTCCCTGACGGTAGAAATGAACGGTTAGATGGTTGACAGGCTCTTCCTCTCTGTGTTTGTTCGTCATCTCCGGGAACCGTGGAGGTCGGGGACCCTGAATTTTCCCGCCCCACAAAAGCAACTTCAGAAGTCTGAGTTGAGTATAGCCCCTTTTTCTTGGTTGACGTTGAAAGGGGAGCAACAAATTTAGAATCTTAGCAGTTCAGTGGATTTGGATATCAACCACTCAACCACCACAAGCAAAAATGTGCCACACGTTTCCCAACAACAACCATGTGTTGGGGCCGAACACCAAACCCGTCAGAAGGTCCCTACAGGCCGAGGAAACCGATAAACCGATCTACGCGCCCATTTCGAGACATGGGTTCGCTTTCGTCGGTTCGCTTTCCAAGCTGAAACCCTGCCACTTGCAGCTGGCTCAGGGCAGTTGTCAAGCCACGGGTGAATCAATTTGCAGGTGTCAACACAAAATGGGCCCCAACAAATTGTGCCGCCTTTGGGCCTGGAAAAAGGTGAGAACCTTTTTGGAACTTGGATGAAAAATAGGCCAAAGAGTGAAAAACAAAAGGTCGTGTCAGGTCGCATCGCTTTAGTGAGAGTCTTCCCTATTAGTCCTGCAAAAAGGAGTAAACCAGCCTTCCGCATGGAAACCTGAAGCACGCTTCTCAACGCCCTCAGAGTGCCAGCAGAGTTGCCTCTTATCCGCTATGACAACCAGAAAAGCGGTCTTGAACAAAAAGATGCAAGTGACCAGGGCCAGATTGCATGAGCTGACATAATGTGAGCAGAAAACTCAAGGTTCATTTCCTGGGCTGCTACAGTAGAAGGCCGATCCAACCATGCATATTGGGATGCTACTTCAAAGGAGGCCCCAGTCGTAACCAGTGCTGTCCAACAGCCCATCACAGACTGAAGCATACTGAAGCCAGGCCCGGGCGCAATCCGTCTTGCAGCAGTAGTCTCCTCCGGAGCAGTCCGCTCGCTTCACAGCCGGCAGGCTAGGTCCCTGGAAAATGGGTATGCGTAAACAATAGTCGAAACGTGCGAAGCCTCCAAACAGGTGGGTTCCGTTTGATCTCCCTTTGCACGAGCATACCCGTCGAGCAAGACACACCCAAGTGTGCAAAGGCAGCGTGGCCCAAACTGGAAGCATGCGTGCTACAGCTGAGTGAAAGTAGATGGCACCATTCCCATGTGGTTTCGTCATCCCCTGCACTTACCCACAGACAAGGATTTGTGCCACCTGCTTCCACCCTGAAGGAAGCATCTCTGCCAAGGGCCGCCTTGAATCGGAAGAACAAGCATACCAAGGATTCTGCAGCTGATCGAGTGAGCCGTTCCGTTCATCAGCGCTGCTGACTTTGATGCGCAGTAACTACCTCGCATTCGCATGATGCTTGAAGTCCTCCATTTCACAACCCTCAAATGAACTCAAATCAACCGTGGAGCAATCTCAAACCTACCCTTAACCAACATTGCAGGGAACTTACCCTCTGGGCACTCCCTCTTGCCACCCTTAGACGGCACTTTGTTGGTCCAGCCCAGCAACGAGTACTTTTGTGCCTGACATGTTCCCCAAAAAATGCACACAAGTCTTCACAGTCCGAAACGGAACTCAGGGTTAATCTTCGTCATCTTGTGGCTCACTGCCCCCCCCCCCCCGGGCTCCCCTCCCCATTTCCCCACCTAACCCCCCGCCCACAACCGAGCTCCTGTGCAGCTCTGCGCCGCGCACATCCGCGGGGCGTCGGGCGGGCAGCGCGCCAGGCCCCCCAAGGACAGGCAGCAGCCCTCGGTGCTGCACTCGCTGCCGTCCCCGCAGAGGTACCTCGGTACCGCCTCTCCACCAAGGTACCTACCGGTCAAAGGGACCTCTACATCTCACTGGCTGAGTGGATGGCCCAAAAAAAGTCCAAACTTTATATTTACCACTAAAATGGTCTTTCCAAAAAGTTTAAAGTTCATGAACTCAGGAAGTGAGACATGGGGGATACCTGGCTGCGCTTCCCTTTAGCCTCAAGTGAGTGGTAAACAGAGTTTGGACTCTGTTGGGCCAATCCGAACACAGAGGATCCGGCGGGGAACGAGAAAACCGAGCGATTGGAATCCGGGTCCCTCAAAGGATGCGACCGGTAAGCTACGATTTGTTCGGCCTCTACAAAAAACTTGCTAAAGCAAGAGCAACTCCAGCTAGCTGATGCTAGCTTTCGTGACATGGTCCAACCCCACAAAGTGACCAAGGTCCGAAACGGAACTCTGGGATTGAGTTACAAGCTTGGATCCGGTCAATTCGCTTTAAGTTGCGGAGCTAAGACCCTGAGCTTCCATTTGCTTAAGGGAAAAAAACAAAAAACATATGTCCAGTAGTGAAATCGATTCCTTTGAAACGAACAGGAGAAAAATACCGCAGATTCATTTCAGCAAATGGGGGGGTGTACATCATTTCCTATGGTTTTTGTTTTTCAGGGAACCCCGTTTAAAACGGTTCATTCCAACTCATTCTAACTCCCTACCTGTACCAAGTAACTTGTGCTTAACTTAAGCCTTGGGGAATGGAACTGAGATATACATCATCCCTACGATCCCAAGTGGTGCCCTGGTGCCCAAAGCATCTTCCAAGCTGGCGCCACAAAGATTCCTTTCGGCAAGTGGACAGCTGAAGTTTTTCTGGGAGAAAAAAAGAAACGTGTATTTCCAGAAGTGAAATCGATTCCCATGGAAAGCCAAATCCAGGGGGAAATTCAACAGGGATCCTTACATTGTACACCTGAACATTGCAACTTGTAAATGGTGGTTTCCAACTTTATTCTGGTGTTGAAAAAGCCACATGTTTCAAATGGTTTCGCAACATGGAGATCTTTTAAGGAGCCCTGTTCAAACATATTCATGTCAGCCAACGGAAAGAGCGGAGAGGGAGACCCGTGACCCGAGCGGCTTCCCGTCGCTGCTGGCCGTCCCGAAGAGCCATGCGCAAGCCTCCTCCGGGTCCAGGCCGAAGACGAGGCCGGTGCCTGGGAGCGGAGGGGTGGGCCGTGATAGGGAGTCCGGGGGGGTGCGGGGGGGGGGGGGGGTGGGTGGGTTGTGGGGTGGGGGGTGGGGGTGGTGGGGGGTGGGGGGTGGGGGGTGGGGGGTGGGGGGTGGGGGGTGGGGGGTGGGGGGTGAGGGGTGGGGGGTGAGGGGTGGGGGGGGGGTCATGGACACTTAGAGTATCTTTTCCAGCCTGGAACCCGCAAAACCAATACCCTAAATGAAGAAGGTTGCAAAATAGACCCTAAGTTCTTTTAAAAATGGTTGGTCATTGCGCAAAAGAATGGTCATTGACCCATTTTGTAAGGGTCATGGAGACTCCAGGTAGAGGCACCTTCCAACCCAGTTGGACCCCGGCGATTCAACGGGTTTTTCTCCGCCACCCGGATCTTCCGCAACCTTCAACCGGGAGATGCTTCTATAGCCTAGACACTGGACAGGGGGCACTCGAGCGGATTAAACAGGTTGCTACACACAATTGGGGGATGGGGCAGCGAAATGGGCGGGTCAAAGGGAAGCCCGCTCTCTTCTCCAGCTCTCAGCTCTCTTTCCTCTGACTTTTGTTGGTTTGGATTGGTGGTTTGGTGATTAAGGAAGGGTTTCTCATTGGCCCTCTACAAAAACTAGTGGTTCAAATCCCCTAAACCACTAATCCAAACCCCAACTAAGGGCTACCTGAATCCCCCCCAAAAAAAAAAACACAAACAAACACGCAAATACAAACAAAAAAGAGGCAAATTTGTCCGGGAAGTCCTAGGGTGAAGAGTGTCCAGTTGCTGTTCGCGGCCCTCCAGTAGGGAGGTTAGAATTAGTTGGCGCCCGATTTTTTTTGCTGTGGTCTATTTTAGTAGGGGAACCCTCCCCCCAACAAAGCACACAAGGGCACTACTGGATAACCGAGCGTTGCTCTGAACCAGGCAGTTCAACTTTCGCCAAACGATGCAAAGGCGCCAAAATCCTTCAACAGTTGACTATGGGGTCGCGCTCCTTGTAGCCGAACCAAAGGCTGCAGCCTACCCCCCCCCCCTCAGAAACGGACGGGGGCCCACTTCTTTCAGGGGACCCGGCACTTCCACCCCCTAAGCCCGTCTTTTCACTTCCGTTCTTTGCCCTGACTGCCATTTAGCCTGTTGGTTTATGGGCCAAGCAGGTTGGGTTGGAGGTCCACGATGGACAACTGAACCTTTGCCGACGATGTGGGCTTCCAATGCAACCGAGTCTTCCAGGCAAGCCCCTTGGGATCGCGTTGCCCAACATGAACTGCTGAACCCCCGGCTAAGGCACCTTCCCACCTTCCTCATACGGCCAAACCACGTGGCAACCAAAAACCCTCAGTGACAGGGTTGTGTGAAATGACCACTTCTGTGATACAACAAAAAGGGCCTCCCAAAGACCAACCCCCTATATAGAGGGGGAGATTCCCTTGTATCACAGAAGTGGGGACACACCCCTTGATCCCACAACCCTGCTCAGTGACCCCAAGCATCCAACCGCCCAGCCCCCGAGCAAGGCACAGGTGGCGCCGGAGGCAGTGACGCTCCAGTGGCTCACCTCCACACCGCCCGGGGCTCGGGACTCTGGGATGCTCCACCCAACGAATCCAACGGCACCAGGGAAGTCCTGATCCTGGGTGCTTCTCAAAAATCGGGGACTCCATTTCCTCTCTAGGAAAAATGGGTGTCCTTCAAAAACCAAACAATCCATGTACCCCCGTTGTTTTCCTGGATTCCCAAGAAAGCAAACAACCTCTACCCCGATTTGGCGATATTTTTTTTCCACTTGGATTCCACCCTGGTTCTTCTTTGGGCTCCTCTGTCGCCCACCCCCAAACAAAAACCAGAGAATTCCTTTGTCACCCACCCCAAAAAACCCAAAAAAACCTCCGAAAAAAAGGAATCGGCGCCCCACCGCCCCAATTTTTTCCCCAAGATTTGCTTGTTGCTGGCCCCAACAGCCCGGGGCTGGCCTCCAGGGGCAAAAAGCTGAAGCCCCCGGGCGCCGTGGCCACCTCGTTGCCGCTGCTGTCCCGAAGGTGCCACTTCTCAGCCCCCTCCGTGCCTCGTCTCGGAGGAGCTGCGCGGCTGGGGTCGGGGGTCGGGGTACCGAAGCCATCCGAAGCCCCGAAGCGTCGAAGCGGGCGCCGTGTCTTACCCGGAGAAACGGATGGTCTTTGGGGGTTTAAAGGAGTTGTAAGGGGCTAAAGCCCCACCTCCCACACCTCCCCGCCTGGCTTTTGTCCTTCTTTTTGGGTACCCCCCCCAAACAAAAAAATGGGTTGGCTCTTTCCTTTTGGTTTCCCCTGTAACCCCAACAAGCCAAAGCTGCCAGCCCCCAACAAGACGAGGCAGCCACCTCCCCACCTCCACCTCCCCACCTCCCCACCCTCCCCCACCTCCCCACCTCCCCACCCTCCCCGCCCAGTCCCCCGCTCCCCCGATTTCTCCCCGCCTGGCACCTTCCCGGACACCGCCTCGCTCTTGAGGTGAGGCCCGGTGCCCAGGTCCGTCCGCATCTCCCCGTAGCTGCCGGCGGCCTGGGGGGGGGGGGGGGAAAAACGGCCACCGGAGCGCCGCAGCCGCCGCAAAAAGCGTCTCGTGTTTTGTTTTTTTTGGGGGGGGAGTTGGGTGAGCCCGTGGGTTTCTTGCAGGAGCGTCTCTCTTCTTTTTTGTGGGGTGACCCTGTGGGTAGGAGGGGGGTGGAAAAAATATGCAGCCCTGGCAATACTAGAGCAATACTAGGCTAATAAGAATTTAAGCAACGCGCGATCTTGTCCTTGGCCCGGGTAGGAGCAAACCCTTTGGAAACCGCGGGTTTCCAAGCAGGCCCAAACAGGAGATGCACGGCCGTGCATCTCTCCTTTGTGACCCTGTGGGCAGGAGCAAACCCTTTGGAAACCCGTGGTGCTTGCCAGGCCCCCCAAGGCGTTTTTCTTTTCTCCTTGGGCAGGTAGGGAATGAGTTGGAATGAACCGGAACAAGGATTCCCTTGCAAAGGAAACCAATAAGGAAATGGACGGTTCTTCTTGGGGTCATCAAAATTGATCGTTCCCTGCATCTCTCGCAGCAGCACTAGGTCCTCCAGCAGACAGGTTAGAATAAGGGTGCCAACTTTTTCCTGTAGCCTATTCTAGTAGGGGAACCCTCCTCCCAAAAAAGAAACGGTAAAAGTTGACACATAGCTGGGGGACCTAGTCTCGCACCAGCAAGAAGACTCTGGCCGACCAACCCCCCCGCTCTCATCAATCTCTCGCCTGGGTGGAGTACATCACCCCCAGGCCGGAGGAATCCTGACCTGCCAGCTCCAAGTTCTGGCTGTCCACGCCGGTGCACCTGGCGAAGCGAAGAAGCTTTTCCACCCCGTTCTACGTACCATTGTCCATTTAAGAACAACGTCCATCCCATATTCAATTCAACCGCTCTCCTTTTTCGCTTGAAACCTGAAGTAAAGCCGAGGGTTCGAAACACATGAACCAGTACATGAAATACACGTGCGCTGAGCTTCTGACCAGATCTGCCATTTCCGTAAGTCACATGGAAGAATCTGCCTTCCTTCCGAGGCGCCCATCCGGCGTGGCCGAGACGTTGATCCGCGCGGGGGCCGCTGGACCCACGGTGCCCCAAATGCTCAGCTCGCAGACCTGTCGACATTTGTCGACTTGCGGCTTCTCGGCAAGCAGTCGAAGAGGGTTTTGGAAATGAACTGGAAGGTACTGTGGATGGACACAACCATGCACCACTTGCAAACCATGAGAAACCATTTTTCATTGGCATTTGCAGGGGAATCATCATGTCAGGGTTTCTTTGGTGGTGCAGGATTTCCATCCACAGTATGGATGGTTAGAGGACCTTCTCCCCATTCTCTGCTGAGAACCGGCTGCGGAAACAATGGGGAATGCAGAGCGTCAGCAGGAGAGAAAGCAAGAGAGAGAGAAAAATAAAGAAAGACAAAGACAGAGAAAGAGAGAGAGAGAGAGAAAGACAGAGAAAGAGAGAGAGAGAGAGAGAAAGACAGACAGAGAAAGAGAGAGAGAGAGAAAGAAAGAAAGAAAGACAGAAAGAAAGAAAGAAAGAAAGAAAGAAAGAAAGAAAGAGAGAAAGATAGAGAGAGAGAGAGAGAGAAAGAAAGAAAGAGAGAAAGAGAGAAAGAGAGAGAGAGAGAGAAAGAGAGAAAGAGAGAAAGAGAGAAAGAGAGAAAGAGAGAAAGAGAGAAAGAGAGAAAGAGAGAAAGAGAGAAAGAGAGAAAGACGGAAACATAAATATTGAATGTGCCACTGAATGGTTGGGACTGTTTGGCTTCCCTCACAACATGATGGTTTCCCTTCAAAGTTGGATCCAAGTGCCTCCAAAAACAAAGCTAAGCCATGAGCACAGTGGCAAAACGCCAGCAAGTGTCCAGAACACACCCCGAAAGGGCCCCCAATCTTGAGCCACACCCATATTAGCCGTAGCGAGACCCGCTCTTCGCGGGCGTTTTCAGATCCCCTGCTAACAGTTTAACTTGTGCCACAATTTGTGGGTTAACTCGAACCCGACCCCCTATTGCCGAGCATGGGCGGCGCCAGGTCCAGGGCCATGCAGGCTAAGAAAAATATAGATGTAACTACGGAGAAAAGCGTGCACATCGCTACGTCAAATGGGGGGTTGTCAAAATTGGGCACCCCTTGTGGGCCATGGTTTAATGCTCTACGTTTTCCAGTAGGGAGGTCAGAATAAGGGTACCCTTTTTCTGTTTGTAGTAGGGGAACCCTCCCAACCAAAAAAGGGGTGAGAAAGGGCACTACTGGGGGAGAAAGCTTTTGACAACCCCCCCCCAAATATAGGGGTCCACGGGAAAATCATGTTTGACAACCCCCCCTAAATATATTTCAAATATAGAAACGAGAAATGTGCGCCTTCATTTCTTGGTTGCTGTTGACCCTGCAAAAAGTTTAATTGTTTAGGGGTTTAGTGGAAAACACCTTTATCCCAAAAGCTTAAAGTCTAAAGATCCAACACAATAGCAGTCAATATTTTGTGAACGACATGCGGTCGATGCCCGAGCCTTCATGGAGGAGCTGGAGCTCAAGGTCACGTAGCCTCAGTGACCCAGACCGCCCACAGTTTGCGGCAGGGTCGCAAAATGCGCGGGTAGAGAGAAGGTCGAACCGGTCAAAAGCACGGGTTTAGGGTTTAGGCTTTAGGGTTTCGGGTAGAAGGCCGAACCGGTCAAAAGCACGAAGATTCATGAAAGTCATCAAGGACGCAAAGGTGCAAACAAATATCAAAAGCTCAGGGCATTTTTTGAGGGCTGCGAAAGGTCAAAACGGTCCAAGGTGGGCTCCAAACTCAGGTCAAGCAGCTCACAAGGCCAAGGAGGCAAAACAGAACCGCCCAAACCCCCCAAAACCGTTCTCGAGGTAACACCAAAAAGGCCTAACCAGGCTCGACGAAAGGAGAACATGGACAAACCGCAAAGAGGTAAGAGAGCAAAGGCCAAAAGCCAACAAGTCACCGCCACTTGGCACTCGGGAGGCTGTTCGTGGGCATGAACAGGGTCCAAAGTAAAGGCAAAACAAGCCGAAGGCCGAAGTAAAACTCACTTGACGAGTGGGTCGGAGAAACAAAAGTCGTGCTTTGCTGCTTCGCTACTAAGCGCCCAGCGCGAAGTCCGGAAACTTAGGCCGAAAAGGAACCCCAGATTCATCCACCCCACCTTATGTAAGGGGGGGGGTCCCTGGGTTTAGTGAAGATTCAACAACGTTTGGAGGGGCCCCAACCTATCAATAGAACGTGGTCTACTTAGAACCGGGGTCAACATGCGGTCCACTCCAAAAGGAAGCCTTCCCAGTTGCCCCAGAAAATTCCAGAAATATAAAAGGTGATCAAAATGGAAACCAAACAGGAAAAACTGAAAGGCTGAAAGGGCGATTCACGTTGGTTGCAAGTGAGTCTTCCACCATCGCTCCTTGCAAAAGCCTTTTTTTGGGGGACAACCCCCCCAAAAAAAAATGCAGGGTGTCCTTCTGGTTTCCCTTAAAAGCCACCAAAAAGGGCTACCCTCAAAGACAGACACGCCCACAGGTCCCAACCCAAAAAAGGGCAAGCCCCAAGCGGACCACGCGCCAAGCAGCGGCCCACCAGCGGTGCGTCGCACTCCACGGTGGTCGCGCTGCCCAAACTCTGCGTGAGAGACGTCTTGCAGCTGAAGCCCACGTCCAGGGTCGGGCCCACCTCCCGGTGCCCAGCCGGTGGAAAAAAAGGACATCCTTCTTTTGCTCGGTTGACTTCAAAGGGGAACCCTTCCCGAAAAAGGGAAAAAAGGGCACCACTCGGCAACTGAGTTTTGAAGTATGTGTGTGTGTGTGTTTGATGTTTGGAGGGGTTTGAAGAGAAATCAAAAGGACAAACGCTCCTTCTTCTTTTTTTTATGTCCTTACAGAACTCTGGTAGCTCCGAAAGGCTCCCTCTTCAAAGCCAAATGTGGATACTCCGAGCTGCGTAACGGCCCCCTTCCAATCTAGCTAGGCTACCTTGGCTGTCCTTTTGCTTTTGCAGATCCCCTGCCGAAAGTTGCTAACTTGTGGGTTATATAAACGGAACCCCCCCACTAACCCCCTGCAACACCCTGAACATAAGCCCAGCCTAAACCAAACGCCACCCCCGAAGCAATCCAAATCAACCCCGATGAACCAACCCAATCCAACCCTGAACCACCTCCCCTTGTTCCTAAGCTGAAGCTCTGGGGTCGACACACCCCAAATCGGCTCGTTTGGGGTGGTTTGGGGCAGCTGCATCACAGAAATTGCCTTGTTTCACACGCATGGGATTTGGCCTATATCTGGGTCCTCCAGTAGAGAGGTTGGAATAAGGGTACCCTGGGGAACCCTCCCAACCCAAAAAGGGGTGAGAAAGGGCACTACTGGGGGACCTAGATATGCTTCGCCGCGAAGAACTTCTCGTGTTCTCATATTCGTTGCCAGGCCTTTGGTTGCCAGGAAGGCCCACTTGGATGGGGCTTTGGAAAGAGCCACAGCGAAGCCAGGGCCATTTGGATAGGGGGTACCCCGCACAAGACGCAGAAAGCCACACCCAAATAAGGATAGCTCAAATACATGCAGGCAGCTTGGAAATCCAGCCCCAAGACCCCCCCCAAGTCTCTTTCCTAGAAGGCCTTGGACGGATGAACCTCTCTGGGGTGAAAATCACGGTGCCCGAGTTCAATCAGCTCCAGCTCAAACCATAGGTGTCCTCCTCCGCAAAATAGATGGCCCTGGTAGATGATGGAACCGCCAAGTAAACCAGCGCCCAACAAATGTCTTTAACCCAACCGACCAAAAAGGACACATGGCTCCAACCTTGGTTGACTTTGGAAGGGGAGCAAAACTTTAACTTTTAGCAGTCAGATGGTTGGATTTCAACCACTAACCCACCACAAGCAGAACAATTGGAAAAAATGGTGTTTCCTAACAACAACCCTGCGGCTCCAACCGTCCTTTGCCCTGGGTTTCCCGTTTTGGGCCCGGCGCCCCCGATCCTTCAGGGTGGCGCTGGTCACGGTCGCCGCCAGGGCGAACTTGTGCACCACCTTCCCGGCGCCCAGATCCAGCCACAGGTAGCTGGAAGAGGACACCTGCAAAGGAAGGACAAAAATACCTGTATGGCTGTGGCTCAAAAATAGTTGGTCACCCCAAAATGGCGCAGGCCTTAGTAAATGGAAACATGGACTAAAACCTGCGGTCCCCTGGTTTGATTTTGACCCACACCCGTATGGGTGTGGCTCAAAATTAAAGAGCTAGGGTTACGCAGGTATTACGTAGTCTTTGGTTCCATCTACCAAGGTTCTATTGTGGTAGCTTTTTTTTTGAGCCACAGACATATGCCGCCTTTAAACATCACCCAAAGGAAAGTCACTTTAAATGGCAGCAAAAGGTGATATTTCAAGCTTAGGACAGGGTTCCCCAAGCTTTTCTGTAGTCCATTTTAGTACGGGAACCCCTCCCCCCAAAAAGGGTCAAAGGGCACTACTGGGGGACCTAGCCCTTTGAACCTCACCCAAGGGAAACTCGACTTGAATGGCACTCAAAGGTGATGAGTTCAAAGCCACAAAGGGATATATGGGGAGTCTTGCTTGGAATCGGTCAACATGAACGAGCCCTCTTTGAGTGGAGTTGGAGCCTCCATTTGCGTTGTTCGTTCCCTAGAAAAACAAAGACTATTTCCAGTAATAGATTCTGTTGAAAACCGACAGGGGTTCGCACAACATGCAAACTCACCCATTTTGGGATACCAAATCAATTTTTGAGACCGCATTTGCCGCAGTTTTCCGGCATGGGACAAAATGTCAGCGCCCAGGCTTCTCTTCAAAGGGAAGCCAAAAGGAAAACCCGTCCCCGGGTCCCCACTCACCACTTTGATCTTTTGAAATAGAAAAAACACCCTCCCGTGAAAAAGAAAACTGCAGGTGTGGTTTCAGAGGTGCTATGCGGGCTATAATGAAAGCGGAGACCAAATCGGTTGTTGAGAACAACACTTTTTGATCCCCTGCAAAAAAAGAAGAAGCTAGATCATGCTAGATCTCAAGCTTCGAGCGGACAAACAAATCAAAAAACCTCAAAAGATCCAAGTCCAGGGGACGAATTGTTTTTCTCCTCCCCGTATGCCGAAGGCCTGGGACCAAAACCCGATGCCAACACATCCCCAACCGCCCCGCGGAAAAACTCGCTGTGCGGCTTCGCGGTTGGAAGCTCGCCGCGCGGTTTCCGAACCCCCCCCCCCACATGCCTCCACGCAGCTCTCGCAGGCCTGGCTCACGGAGCTGGCCTCGGGTCACCAGCGCGCGCACGCCCCGCCGACGGCAAAGGGTTGGAGCCCCTTAGGACCTAGGAGAACCACCCCACGTGAGTCAGTTGAGTCACAATCAAAACCTGGTACAAAAATGGTGAACCCAGAACCATGCAAAGAAATAGAAAGGCGGCCGCAACTATTTCCGGCTGGGTCTTTCCCTTACTAACCTTCATCTACCAGGTTTTGATTGTGGCTCAGTTGCTCAAAACCCCGTGTATTAACATGGCCCAAGCCCAGAACCATGCTTCAAGAAATAATATATAGACAAAAATATATTTATAACACACAAGTCCCAAGACCTAAACTATTTGAGGATAGCATCGGTGTGCATATTTATGTGTATATATATATATATATGCAGATAGATAGATAGATAGATAGATAGATAGAAAGATATATTTACTGCTGTTTATCGTATGTATCGTTCTGATGACGCCCAAGAAAACCGTGAATAAACCCGGCCAGACCTGAAAACCCTAAAAGTTCACGACTCCTTCCGGAGGCTCTCGGCTTCTCGGCTCTTACTTTCCTCTCTGGGAATATGCCAACCCTTGTTCAAATAGATGTCCAAACAACTATCGTTCAAACAACCTCCACTCTGAAAGAACCAGTGCTTGGTTGCTGACCTAAATGGGGGTGTGCTTTTGGAGGCACAAGACCACAATTTATGACGCCTTCTCTCTGACACACGCGGTCACGTACCCAAACAACTACCTCTCTCTTTTTTGAGGCCACCCTTTCTTGGTGTTGCCTTACAGGGGGACCAAGGAAAGCCAGTCTGAACCATTTTAGGGCATCCGTTTACAAATCTTCATTCAGCTTCCCTCGAATTGGTTTGGATTGGTGGCTTCAGATTTGAACCCCTGGGGCTTTGTAGAAGGGTACATGGGAAACCGGGAAACCCCTCCGTGACCAATCCAGACCACCAGTTAGAAGGAAGCTGAACTCGGTTGGATTCTGCTCCCCTGCTAAAAGTTTAACTTTTAGTGGTTTACTGGAAAACCCATGAGCTGGCAAAAAGTTAAAGTCCCAACAGGCCTTGGCAAAATGCACCAAAGTGAAATGCTGCCCCCAACCCTCACCTCGTCCCCGTCGATGATGTTCTCCACCACTCCGCTGGTCACCGTGCCGCTGGCTCCCACCCGCACCACCCGCAGTTGGCGCACGCTGCCCAACCCGCTGGCTCCCCAAACGGTGATCAGCCCGTCCTCCGGCGAAACAAAACGCCAGAAATGCCCCGTTCCTGAAGGGGGCTTAAGGGGTGGGTGGGGTGTCCCCCAGTTCCATTCATCTCGTCTTCCCCACAAAAAATTGGGAAAAAGGAACCACACATGGAGATCTCCAGGGGTCACCTCTTACCCCCTGCCCCCTACCCCAACTCCATGTCGAAGGGTGTGGGGATCGGTAGGAACAGGACCTTTTGGGCCGAAAGGAGGGGCCCAATATGTGCCAAAACTTGCTTGGATTTGTTTGGACACCCCCAACTGGTCGGTTTTCCTTCTGGCGAAAATGTCGAAGTCACAGTGACCCAGGCATCTGCTGCCAAAAAAAGAAGAAGCGCCCAAACCAAGGGCGCGACGTGATTCTGATTCTCTGGGGTTCGGAAAATGCACATGTTTTTTGTTGGCTTCCTTTCAGGATACCTAGAAATTCTGGGGTGGTGGAAATGGCCCGAAGGAAGCGGTTTCGGGACGGTCCCATAAGAACGAGTCCTCCACATCGGTGCAAATCGCCCCCGGGTCCGTGTAGCTGGAGCCGAGGATGGACAGCGCCTCGGGTTCGGCCAACCGGCGGCTTTTTGGGCTGGGACTTGCCGCGAGGTTTCAGGTTTCGCCAATTTTCGCGCTCAGAAGGCTTTCAATGGGCTTAAGCCGCAAGGCCGCAAGGCCTCAACAAAAAATGACTAAAGAAACATATACAGGAACATTGCTGGAAGCTTAGCGATAAAAAACACCCTTCTGCGGACGCGGTCGACACTGATTCGCCCATGAGATTCCGCACTTTTAGAGCAACGGCTCGAACCATCAGGTAACCCGTGAGGTTTCGAGATTTGAACCGCTGGTTCCTGAAGCTTCAGTGGGAAACCTCCTTGCCTGAAGAACCCACACCACCAGTCCAAAGCGCCAGGATGACATTGGCTGGGATCTGTGGTATCTGGGTCTCTTGTTTGGGGCGCGCTTGCTACTTGCCGGGGGGGGGGGGACCAACATGAGAATGGTGACAAGAAACGCTCAGAAACACACAGAAACATGACAAACACTGAAGATGAATGACTGGGCAGCCAACGAAACAAACAAAACAAACCAACAAGAAACCAACAAACAAGAAACCAACCAACCAACCAAGCAAGCAAGCAAGCAAGCAACCAACCAACCAACCACAACAGGCAACCGACCGACCGACCGGCCAGAAAGACAAACGGACGGACGGACACAGACACAGACACAGACACAGACCCAGACACAGGCACAGACACAGGCACAGACACAGGCACAGACACAGCCAGCCAGCCAGGAGAGCCAAACACATGGAAGAAAGGCAAGAAAGGCAACGGAAAACACATCAAATGCAATACTAAAAACAAAGACAAAAGGGATAACATTGGAACGCCAACACAGAAGAAAGAAAACGCCAACAAACAGAACCAGTCGGCCTGGGCATCCCCAGTGAGGTAGATCTTCGGCTCATTGTTCACCGTCACGATCCTCAGGGAAAACGTTTCCTGGGTTGGTGTGAAACAGGGGTTGGTGTGAAACAGGGGTTCAACCAAGGGAGTCTTGAAAAATCAGCTCAGATTGGACAAAAACAATTTCGGGAAACAAAGCCTTGACTACCCAATCCCGTAAATAGCGAAGACTATGTTGGGGAAAACATCCCAACATAGGGGCTGGATTGAAAGATCAGTTTCCAAGAGTGGAGACAACCATTTCAGGAATTCCTTGAAAAGGGCTTATAGGCGTGCGCCAGTTGGATGTGAATCATTGACTCATAAACACCCGGACAGACTGCAGAAGGCAGTCTTGAGAAAACCCCATAACGAAGAAACCCTCGGGAAAAACATGCCCAATACCATGTGGATGCAACATTGGACAAGGGCTATCCAAGGCGATCAGCATTTGGGAGCTTTACTCTCGAAACCAAATTGGGGAAGCCAAATTCGGGAAACCCAAAAGGCAAAAAAGTCGAGTCGCTGTAGGCCGCAGCCAAAAACATGGAACAAGCTTCAGCGGCTTAGAAAAAGACCCTAAGAGTAGGGGAGCCGGACAAAAAGCATGGTTGTCCTTGGGCCTCTAATCCAAGGAAATTTTAATGGTACCCGGTACCCTCCAAAAAACCCCACCACCCTATGGACCAATAACACAACCCTTAACCCCAAAAAGGGTTGCACCATTTTCCCATTTGTTTCCAGACGCGTGGATTCCCACGGCAGAGAAAACGGGCACCTCTTTTTGGTGGTTGAAAGTCAGGAAGGTTCCTGTGAACTTGGGACCCAGCTCTCGGTTAATCGGGGGGAGGGGGACATGAGGGGACCCAACCATGCCGTCCTCGATGCGGTCTCCGAGTGGGCGAAGCTGGTGCATCTGTAGAAGATGCTCTGGGTCCCCGTGCTGCTGGAGTGCGCCTTGGCTCTTAGCCTCACCCTGCCACCCTCCGGAGTTGGCGGGTCAGAGAATACTTCCATTTGCATTTTCGCCCCCTGGAAGAAATGAAAAAATATGTCCAGTAGTGATAGATTGCCTTTAAAACCAGCAAGGGAAAATGAAAGATGTTCTTAAGCAAATGGAAGTGAATAAGTTCAAACTGTTTTTGTTCGCCACTCAACTGGCCCACTAAAGTCCATGAACTCAGGAAGCGAGTACTTGGTGGTTTGGTTTGGTGGTTTGGACCAATTCGGGGGCGGCGCGTCTGGGGAGCCCAGCACTTAAGCCCTCATTCAGCCTCCTCAGCCCTTATGGGTTTTTTTGGGGCCAATGAAACCCACCAATTGGAGGGAAGCTCCAGTTCAGCTGGGGAGCCTGGCGTTCGGAGTTTGCCCCGCTTGCCCGTTGAACGGGGCGCCCTGAAGTGGCCCAAGGAAAGCCAAGAGGATTTTTGTGGCTGTCTTCCGGCCCGCCCCAGCCTGTGACCGCGAAACCCTGAGGAAAGCCAAAAGGATCCGCTTTCTTCTACCCCCCGCCCCCGCGAAACCCCCGACTGCCACCCACCCCCGCGCTCGCCTCGTTGAGAATCCCCTTAAAGGGCAGCACCTGGTTGTGGCCGTCCCGGCAGCACACGCCGGGGTCTGTGAAGGTCTCGCCTCACAACAGGCCGTTGGAGGGCGAGGTTTAGTTTTGCCTCGCACAGGACTCTCTGGATCCCCCCCCACCCAAAAAAAAAAAAACACACACACACACACACACGCGCCTGTGGCCAGAACTTGAAAATATATCACGTCTATGGCCATTTGAAGTCACACTCAAAACCCGGTTTGCAACTTGGTTGCTGACCCCTCTGCAGGTTTAACTTTTGGCCCAATGAGTTGAAACCCCAAAGAGCATCAGGGCCCAGTCGCTCAGCCCGTGAGATCAGATGGGCGAGCGAGCATGTTCCGTGAAGCCTACCCAGGAAGCGAGAAGTGAAAAGGCGGCTGCACCCATTTATGGTTGAAATCGACCCTTATCCTAAATCTACCCGGGTTTTGAGGACGTGGCGCATGTCCAGAGCCAACTCCTCCTTTTGGTGTGATGGCACGCAACCATCTTTGCAGACCGAATGCCTGCACGCTCTGAGGGTTTGAAGGGGCCGGTCCCTGCATGCCACCCCGGTGAGTAAGTGGGGCCAATATATCTGCAAGTTTCAACTTCAAGCTGCACTACAATTGAAACGATTGCAACTGTGCAGGTTCCAAAAAAGGGAATGTATAAAAAATAAAGCGCCCCTTCATCATAGGAAGGGGCGCTTTATTCTATACATTCAAGTTCCCTTTTTGGAACCTCCAAAAAGCTGCAATCTGATCAACTTTTGACTTAGGGGAAATCCAGGGTGTCATCCACGCGGCTTCACCTGCCAAGCCGCCCAGCAGGATCTTCATCTCGGCTGGGCCCTGCAAATCCACCCCCGGCAAACCGCTGGACACGATGACGGTCCTTCCACACAAAAAAAAATCGGCGGACGGCGTGGATCCTGGGAGAATACATTCCAAAAACCGCCTGGTTGCGAGGATTTTGATCCTCTACTCACTTCCTCAGTGGATTGGCCAAAAAAAGTCCAAACTGTTTGTCTACAACTGAACTAGTTCAACCCCAACAAGTTGGAAGTAAGATACATCGACTGCGTTACAAAGATTTGGATCTCCTGCAAATCAGCCGGTCCCGGTGCTTCTTTGCAACTGGCTCACATCTATCCTAAGGGACCCTGCGGAACAAAAAAAACACCAAAAAAAAACGACTGGAGGTACCAACCTGCTCGTAAAGGTCATAACCTGCTCGTAAAGGTCATAATTAAAAGAAGACAAAAAACCTGACTTGAGGTACCAACATGCTCGTAAAGGTCGTAATAGCTGACGTGTTGTATAACTTGCCCGAAGAAGAAGCCACGGGAATCCAGAAACCAGAAGCCCTCCTCCGGTCCCCGGAAGAAAGCCATTCGCAGGAGCTCCCTTCTCGCCACCAAAAAAATGACCTGTCTCATGCCCCTAGGGCCTCTAGCTTCCCCATTCTTCCAGGGATCCAGCCTTTCTGGAAAACCTCCAGAAGCCCAGACAAACGGCCAGTTACAAGTTACGATTCCCAGATCCCGGCCCGGATTTGGTGAACTTGAAGCATCTGAAGCCAAGCTTTAGTGATTGGGACAGTTGTCAACCATGTTCAGGGCGGGTACGTGTCAAAGTAGTGGCACCATTTTTTGCTTTGGGTTCCCCTTCAACCTATGTGCAAAGGGTGCTTTCCAAAAAACAAACAGTACACCGCTGGGGGGGAGGGAGGCGGGGGGGGAATTGAGCATAAGGCTTTAAGGGTTGGCCCAACCATTCCTAAGATTCCGGCCTAAGCACAAGTCCCAGTCCTGGTGGCGGTCAAGGCCGTGCCACTGCTGTCAGTGCAGCTGTAGGTGATGGTCCTTGCTTTGCAAAACGGCTCCTGAATGAAATCATAATTCCAAACCTTTACTTGTGGGATGCCTATCTAAAGCCCCGAAAAACATGTCACCCGTCGCTCAATGCCACACAAATCCCCGCAAAACTAAAACATCGAAGGGTCGTGGTCCCGGCCGTGGACATGTCCACCGTGGTACTCGCCGAGTGCTGAAGCAGCCCGTTGTCCGTGTCCACGCACTGAACCCCCGGGTCGTTCCACGTGCTGTCCTCCACAAGGCTCGCCTTCCTTCCCCCATTTTGGGGGATGCTTCCTCATTTTAAGGTGGGATTCTTGGGTTTACAGCTGGTACAAGCTGGTTTCAAGGTTTGTTTAGGACTTAGGGGAAATTGGGGTGGGTTTAAGGTTGGCATGGCAGAAACTGGCACAAAAGAATCCTCAAAATCCGTTGCTAAAAGGGTGATGTTCTTTGTCTCATGGGAAGCCCTCCCAACAAGTGGCTTCCTCTTGCCATGAAATCAGCCCTGCAAAGGGCACCCTGGAAAAAAACAAACTCATCCTACCCACCTGGGCTGCCCTCAAGTCCCCTGCTAAGAGTTCTTAGCTTGTGGGATAAATATGGAAATGACCACTCGAAACAGCCAAGAAGCTAAGGAACTGGACTGCTGAGAGCCACCAAGCCGTGTATCCGTTTCCCCTGTGCACTGGGCACAGCCCGCAATCCTTCTCCAGCACAAGCACCTCATCACCTCGCAGCTCCTCAGCGACTGCACCGCGCACGCGCGGCTGATTTGGCGCGCGATGGTTTTGCTTTGGATCCACAGAAGACACCTGTCTGCTCACTTCCTGAGTGGACTGGCCCAAAACAAAAAAAAACTAAACTTTTTATTTGCCACCAAAATGGTTGAGCCCTAGACAGTGACGAAAGTGCAGGAACCCGGGGCGTGAGGTGATACCCATAACACAGTAGAAACACGAATTGGCTTCTCGAAGTGGTTTTGCTACGCGAATTGGCTTCGCGGGGCTTCGCGGCTCACAACACATGACACACACACACACACAAGTGCCTTCGCGGACCTTTTGGGAGTTCCCCCCGAGGAGAAAACAAATGCTACTCGAGTGGGTAATTGTGGGTCAAAATTGAACCACCAGGATATGGACCACAGGTGTTGGTCCATGTTTCCATTACCCAGGGTGACCCATTTTGGAGTTACCCTATTTTTGACCCACAGCCAAGTGGGCCATCCCCAGGAGAACTTTAGCCCTTAAGATATCGCCGGCTCGTATCACAGAAAGCGGCTCTGTCAGAACCAGCGATCCAGGAAGTCCTACAGGAAATTAAGCAAACACCTGCTGGACTGAAATGCTGGAGCGTGAACTGAGCCAACTGGATGGCCCAACTGTCTGCTCCGCAAAAGGTTTGCCTGTGCAGAGTCCAACGGCTCTCTGCAAATTTTGATAAAAATCCAGAAGCTGAAATATTAATCTGGATCCCCAACTAAAAAGACCTTTTATCATGGCTTTCGCTTGCTCTCCCGACCCGCATCGGTGAGCTCGCAAAAAAAAGAAAGGCAGGCAGATTTTCGCCAACCTTGGGACTCGGACCCGCAAAAGCGGCGGTCTCCCCTTGGCTTCCCTTGATCAACCCCAAAAAGGGTACCCAAAAACACGCGAACAAAAAATGGGGTAAATACTCGGATTGGGCAAGCATGGTTTAAACAACCCGGCCCTAACCGTACCCCATGAGGGGAACGGAAAGGAGGCAATAGGTGGTTGGCCGAACCCTAGTAAGCACGGTAGATCCTAAGAAAACCGGGGGCGGGGAGGGGGGGGGGGATCCGATGAGCACATGCCCCTCGGTTGTTCTGGCGCTTGTCGACATCAAGGACAACCCGAATCTTCGGCAAAATTATGAGGAGCCCAGCCCCCTAAAAGGGAACGTTTGCCAAAGGGAAATTCTTCGGAGCCATATTGAATTGGCATGGGGGAAGAATCTTACGGTTGTTTACGGGCAGGGAACCACCATTTGTAAATGGTTGCTCGGAAGGTGGCCAAATGCCTTCAACACGTGAAGTACAGCCAAAGGCTGTCGGCCAACTTGCAGTGGAGTTCCCCGCGTCGAAGCTGATTGGACACCTTGACCCTCCTCGCGGTTTGTTGATCTGCAAAAAGTTAAAAACCTTTGGTGAGATATGTCCTGCACCCCTCTAGTCTAAACCTTCCAAAACCTCAAGTCGAGTCTGGACGTTCCGGAAAAAAGACGCCACGGCCAGTTGTGAGGCACAGCCACGCCATTTCCGCCGGGCCGCAATGGGCGGGGCGACCTGCACGTAGCGCACCAGGGTCGACGTGCGACTTTGGCCATCCTGGAGAAAGAAAACGCCGGCTCCGTGGGAGTTGTCCTGTGAGCCCTGGTTGGTGATTTTGCAATCCTGGAGAAAGGAAACGCCGGATTGGTTTGGATTTGGAATTGAACCCCTACGCTTCTTGTAGGGACTGCAGGAAACCACCCCCAACCACTCAACCACCCGTCCAAAGCACCAATTCATGGGAAGCTGACAGCCGGTGGCCAGCATTTTGTCCGGCTGACGGTTTTTGTTTTTGCCGGCTGCCCACAAACCAGCGGGATCAACAAAAACCGGTGGGCTTGATACGAAGCAGAGCCTGTTGGAACCCAGCGCCGATTTTCTAGCCCTGCGAAAGCGGGTAAAGCAGAGCAAGCCAGTCTGAACGCAACCCCAAAACAACGTTGGAGCCCTACATGGACGTCACAAGCGCCAGGTCGCCGGCCATGACCTGCTCTTCCATTCCGCCCCTGACAACAAAGTTCAATGCATAACAGTGCGTAAGACATGCCTAAATGACAAATACGGCTTCCTTTAGGGGAGGCTGATAAAAAAAAGAGGAAATATTATAAACAAGCGGCTTCCTTTAGGGGAAATATCACAAAGGTTTCAACAAGCTGGACTAGTCCCAACAAGCGGCCAAACAAACCCTAGACTCGTCTCCCAATTCAGCTCAGACTGGCCCCCTGCGGGCCCCCCTTGGTTTTCCTTGTTCCCCTTTAACACCCACAAAAAGGTATCCTCAACAAAAAAGGAAACCACTTCTTTCTTGTTTCTTGCTTGGGGGGTGGCATCTTAAAACAAACCCATGGCGACCAGCTGAGTTGACTGGAAAGGTTCAAGCTTTGCGGGCCGCACGATGCAGAACCAAGTCAACAAAGACGTTCAAACATTGGCAGCTCAGCAGGTCCGCATGCGACTTCACCCGGCCCGGGGCCAGGAACCTCAGCTTGGGGTTTTCCGCCGTCGCCCGCTCGCCCCGCCGCCCCACCTCCCCCCCAGCACCATCCCTCCTGGCAGCTGTAGGTGATGAAGAAGTCCCCGGTCTCGCTGAGCGACAGCGAGGCGGGCGAGGAGGTCACCGATCGGATCACCAGATCTCGGTCCTGCGGTCCGACAAAACGCCGGAAGGTCGTCGCTGACTGGTCGAAATGGGCGCGGGCGCGGAAAAGCTGGGCCAGTTGGACTAAGGGACGAAGGGACGGAGGGACGGCGGGATAGAGGGCCTTTGAGGCGAAGTTGTGGGGGAAAACCCTTTCTGAACATCCATCCCGGAAGCTTTTGCTTCTTTGCTCCTTACCTTTTAGTCAAGGAGATAAAGATGCCTTTTGAGGTCCCACGGGTTGGCCCAGACTTCCCACATGCCGCCTGGCTCACACCAATTCCCACCCTCCCCCTCAACCCCACCACCCCCCCCCCCACACACCCGGTCCACGCAGCTCACCCCAGGCTCGCTGAAGGTGCCGCTGGACTGGCGCACGATCATCGCCTCAGTGGTTGAGCTGTCTGCTGGTCTCTCAAACCTGCCGGGACCCTCCAGTCCGTGAAAAGGGGAGGCTTCCATGTGCTTTTTCGCCCCCTGGGAAATATACATATATATAGTTTTGAGTAGTAATTAATAGATTCCCTTTAAATCCAGCAAGGGAATAAACAAAAATATATATTAAGCAAATGGATGGAAGTCACCCACGAAAAACATGGGGCATGCAGTAGCCAGTTCTTTTTTTGAAGACGATTGTCCGTTTAAAACAGGGGTACTTCCTTGCTTGTTGGAGAGCCAGACTTGGGTGCGCTGCATGGGGAAAGCCAAACAAAGAGTGTGCGCGCCCGTTTTCCATTTCTCCCCCGTTGATCCTGGCAATTTGGCCATTTTCTGCGACACGACAGTCGTTGACCGCCATTCAACCATGACTGCTCGAGCTAGGGATTTGGCTCACAAATAATGGCCATGAAACTGATGCGGTGGTTGCCAGTGACCGCTTTGACGCCACAAACCACCAGCTATCTCCAGCTCAGCAATGGAAGAATCAAACATCCCAAATTCAGGACATGGGCAGGGAGTGGAGAAACCTTGGTCAACGTTCAACCCTAAACCCAAGACAGCGCCATCTAAAACTCGCGCGACCGATTGCTCCGATGGCCCCCCAAGCGAAAGACAACAGTCATTCTCGCGCCCGAAGGTTCACGCGACAAGTATCAACTTAGGGAAATCCTTTTTTTTTTCAGGTGCCTTTTGGCATATGGCTGGCGGGTGTGAGCAACCAATCATTTTATTATTATTTTTTCAGGTGCCTTTTGGTCTCTGGCTGGCGGGTTGCTGAAGATGTGAACCAACAATGAGCGTCAAGGTTTCCATGGTTCCCTTGCCGCCTTTCCGGCGCACCAATCAAGGCAGGACCCCTTTAAACCAGTGGTCGTTTTCACAACCTCCTGCATACCGAGCCTCAAACAGGACATCCAGTCAACCACCGCCCCCAGTGATTCCAGTTCATTCATGAAGAAATTGGGCCAAATTGTCACCATCTTCACTCACAAAATGGCTGTCAACTGGTCAATGGTAAAAAGTTGATTGGAGGGTCCCCCAAAAAATATATGGTAAACAAAACAAGACACACCCCCCTCCCCCCCCCCAAAAAAAAGCCACCCAAAACGCATCTATCTCACCAAATTGCCAAGGCGCCGAAAGGCCTGCGAGCTTGATGGGGTGCCTTACCTCCACCACCACCGAGCGAGTGGACTCCACCCCGTCCTACGCGGGGCTGAAGATCGACCAACAGCTTTGCCCGTGACCAGCCAAAAACAGTGTACACTGTTTGGGCCACCACTAAAATAAAGCGAGACCCACCAAGGAAGAAAAGTGCAAAGTGTGTCCACTGGCTGGGTGAGGTTTACCATTCCGAACCCAAAACAAGAATTGGATCCCCACGTATCATGGCTTTCGCTCCTTTACTCCGGCAGCAACATAGGTGATCCTCCACCCTGGGGCTATGAATGGAAAAGCTTTCGGATGCAAAATTGGCACATTTTCTTGCAAGTGATTGGATGGGATTCCGCTCGCAAAGGAAAGATGCCCAAAAAAGCGATGGAACCGGTTGTCCCCTGATTTTCATTCCGCTGAAACCAAACACATCATGGATCAACCACCGAACGAAGCCAGCGTCGAAAACAAAACATGGCGACACCACTTTGAAAGCGAACTCGAAATAGTGCGCCCGCGAAGTCTCTCTCTCCATGGGTGTGTCCTTCTTGAGGATACCACATTTGAAGTGGTTTGACAGGAGAAACAAAAGGAAAGTAAACTCGGTTGTTTTCTGCTCCACTGCTAAAAGTTTAACTTTTGGTGGTTTAATGGAAAACCCATCAGTTGGCAACAAGTTAAAGTCCTAACAGCCAAGCAAAATGCACCAAAGTAAACATTCTGGGTGGGTCCCCTTTTCACCCACGAACCTGAGTTCTGGATCCTGATCCCCGCCCCCCACACGACCCAAGCACCCGCCTTGGTGCAGCTGTAGGTCACCGGGAAAAGCCCCTCCTGGGTCAAACCCTACTCACCCTGAGGGTGGTAGATGTGGGGAAAGGGGAGAAACCGAACTGGGTCGGGACCACTGCCAACTTCACCCTGCACAAATAAAAGCTAAAGTTAGCAGCTAAAGGTGCTAAACAGGGCGTCTGGAATAGCTGAATCTGGTTGTGTTTCAGTAAAACAAACGTGGTGGCTACTCATCGCAGCCAGGAAGGGGCGACCATGGCTGTCCTTGTTGGTGCGATAGGTGGGGAATGACCGAGTCTGGGTGTTGGGAACGAACCGTTTGGGGATTCCCTTAAGCCGCTACAGGAAACCGTAGCTTGGATGGTATAAATTTCTTGGGGTCGTTCCGTGAGAACCAGCAAGTTTATCAAGCTTCCACTTTTTGACTACCCCAAGGCAGGGGCTTCCCTTTGGGTGAATCAACCACCGGGTTTAAGCATGTTAAAGCCTACCTCGGGTTGGGGTAATCCAAAAGCAGAACCCCGGCAAAGCAAACGTTATGGTGGCTAATGTTGACCCTATATCAATCGACCCCGGATCATTACGTCCATTTCCGGGAGAAATGTGGGGAATCTGGCCACTTTTGGGCCTTTGGCTCTGGGTCAAAATCCCGCACCCCCAGTGAACATCCCAATCCCAACTACAATAGACTAAAATGGGTGGTGCACCTACCCCGAAATGGTACCAGTGGCTTTGACCCACAGCCATTTCTTGCCTATGGAACCAGCCAGTTTTCTCTGTGTCTCCTTGGTGGTGGCGACTGTGGCGCTGCTCAAGGTCACGGTGCCCGTCCAGCCCTGCGCGCTCATCCACCACTCTGGCTGCTCATACTCCTGAACCGCGCCACCAGGGACCAGAGACCCGGGTGGGGTGGGGTTGGAGTGGTGGTGGGGTGGGGTGGTGGTGGTGGTGGGGGGTGGGGTGGTGGTGGTGGTGGTGGGGGTGGGGTGGGGTGGGGTGGGGCCGTTTCGGAGCTCCCATTTTGGAGCTAAACCCGCCTGGCTTCCTGGCGGGTTGCCTTCAAACTCACCACCTTTGGCAACAACGCGCCCACGGGTTGGGCGAAAACCGGTCGAAGCTGCACATTGGGTCCATGGCTGCCGTGCCAACCACGAAAAAAAGCAGCTCTGAACATGTCACATCTGGGTCTGCCGCCTCTGCCTCTTGAGGGTAGCGATGTTCCCAAGAGAAACCCGCCAATTTGAGCTTTCCCACAACATCGGTCAAACACGCTCCAAAAAGGGGAACTCGTGGCACCCTTAGTGTTTTCCTGCAGCCCGAAACCTCAGGCAGGGTCAGCCAGAAAGTGGCAAGGCCATGAAAGCCAAAGAGGGTAAAGGGAACTATGCCATGCCTTGTGTGTCACAAAGCCCGAAACCTCAACAACAAGCAGGGTGATACTTGGATCCGGCAATTCGTGCCCTAAAGCTGCGAGATCAAAGTGGTTGAGTTCCAATCCCCCCCCCTCCCCCCCCGCCCCCGCAATCACCAGTCAGTTTTTCCGTGAAGGCCGTTTCTTCCGGGTGCCTGAGCTGAGGCCCAATTAATCCAGTGCCCAGGGCGCGTGGTAGCAGGTCTCCGCGGGCCAGGACACGTACTCGCTGGGGGCTCCGAACTCCCCCGACTTGATGGCCACCCTGGGCCAGAACTCCTGGCGCGCAACCCGCGTGCACATAGGTGTCCTTTGAAGGGGGGGGGGTGAGGCCAAAGTTAGGCCCCACATACTGTGGATGGACGAAACCCTACACCACTTTGCAACTATGGGAAACCAGTGCTTGTTGGTGGTTACAGGGGAATCGAACCATTCCAGGGTTTCCAAGGTGGTGCGAAATGGATTTCGTCCGTCCACAGGCGTCCTTTTCGCGGAAATAGATGACCCTGGTAGATGATTAAACCACCAGGTAAACCGGGGCCACCTGTTTTTTCGACCAAAACAACCCCCCCCCCCCAAAAAAACGGACACCTATGCCGCATGCACCTCCAAAAGGCCCAGCCAAAAAGAACTGCCACCCATGCCACTTATGCCACCCATGCCACCCATGCCACCCATGCCACCCGCCATGCGTCGATGAGGCTACCACCTTTCAAGGGTTGAAGGGGTTGTTCCCAGGGTTTACCCAAGGTAAGCCATCCGTTCGACCTGACTTCGGGCAGGGGGTTCGAATATATTCAAATTCATTGCCAATGGGCCCTAGAAAGGACCGAAAGGCCCGAAACAAAACACGGCCAGTTTAGCCAGGAAGGGAGCAATGAAACTGCAAATGGGCAGTTCCATTAGAACATGGCAAGGGAGAGGTTTTGTGCAACCAGATACATGGGTTTGTTTCAGTCTCTAACTGGCAAACCCATAGAAAGGTTGGTTTCCCTTGAAGCCACCCAAAAAAATGACCAGCCTCTGGTCGCCGAAAGAACTCTCCAGACTTCCGCGGGAGGGAGATGCATGTATGTCTTCCTGAGGCCAAACAATTGTGCGCTACTTCGGCGCCGCCCAGGCGACATGATATCCCCAGCAACCAAGGGTCCGGAACCCGGATCCGGAACCCGAACCCGGCCTCTCCGCTCAAAACTAAATGACAAAAAAAGCTATAAAACTGAGAAGGGCTCTTGAAGAACCCGGTGCTGGTCCTCAGAAAGGGATATGGTTGCCCCCCCTCCCCCCACCACCCCTTGCGCAAAGAAGTCAATTTATGGCCGGAAGGGCACCCTAGTAGCCTCATTTTTGCCCAAAGCTGGAAATAGGAGGATGAAAGTCTCCACGAAAACTTGATCAGGGAGAACAGCCGTGGTATCACGAGTGGCCCTGAATTGCAATTTCTCACAATCATGCTCCTTCCCCTTTTCATCAAGGGGCAGCCAGAAGGCTGATGATTTTTCACGGGCCTGTGGTCACGTTCTTCGGGACTGCAAACCAACAAGTAAATAATATTGATATATATAATATATATATATATATGTATATATATATATATATTATTTATATGCAATATTGACATTGCAAAACAAACAAATCACACACACACACACGCTCCTGCATAAGGCACTTGAAGGCTAGGCCCTTCACCAAGATGATGGCATCCCCCTTGTCGTTGATCTGCAGCGTGTTGCCGTCCGTAAAGTCGATGCTCACCGTCTTCTCGGACTCCGAGTTGCTGGCCGTGGCCACCGAAACGCTGTCCAACAGCACCTCGGATGTGCCGAATGGGGCGACACCGATGAACATGGCTCTGCCTGAAACTCTGACAAGAACGGCACCCCCAAACAGTACACACACGCAAGAAAAAAAAAAAAAGCCAACAATCGGTTGCTTTCTGCTCCCCTGCTAAAAGTTTAACTTTTAGTGGTTTACTGGAAAACCCATTAGTTGGCAAAAAGTTAAAGTCCTAACAGCCAAGCAAAATGCACCCAAGAACAGGTTTGTGGAACTTCTTTCCCTGAGGTCAACCGCCGTCGGAACAATCTTGAGTCGCCGCCCCCCCCCGCATCCATAGGGCCTCTCTGGACCACCCTTGCCCTTGGAGGGACCTAAGGGACCTACCTGTCCTAGGTGCTTACCCGGGCTTTCAAAATATAAAGGCAAGATATGGCAAGATCCAGTAAATATATGTGTTGCAGATTATGTAGTATGTGCCGTTTGGCGCCTAGATCTTCCCATGCTTGGTTGCCTTTCAGTGTTCTCGCTTTCTGGGTTGGCTCTTTGCCACTCAAATGGTCCTTCAGACTGAGCAAAGTCCGGGAGTGAGTTCTTGTGACCTCGGTCCACCCCCTGTCCCGCCCCATCCACCCAACCGCCCTACCCTTCCTCCCAACCACCCTCCCTTCCACCCAACCGCCCTCCCCTTCCACCCTTCCACCCAACCGCCCTCGCCCTCCCCTGCCACCCAACCCCGCCTCCACCACGTTGTCGGTGCCCGAAGCCGAGTTCCCGTTCCCGAAGACCAGGTCCAAGGTCCCATAGCCCTTCAGCGCCAAGCTGATGCCCCCCGCCGAGGCCGCCCAGCCCCGGTACCCAATGTACCTCACGGGAAAGTGGGTCGACACCGTGTTGGGATCCCATTTTGGCTGGTAGGCGCACCGCCCATTTTAGGCGATTTTAGTGGCTGGAGTGGGATGTTCGCTGGGGGTACTGGCTGTGGTTGTCAAAACCGTTTTGGGATCCCATTTTGGGGTGTTAGGTGAATTCACCCATTTTAGAACCTATTTTCGTGGTTGGATTGGGATGTTCACTGGGGGTACGATTTGGGTTTTGGCCCATGGCCATTTCGTTTTTGGGCGGACTGGGGAGGATCGGGGCGCCCAAGAAAGCCCTGGGTCGATAGGCAGGGAAGAAGACATGGAATGACCCGAAGAAAAGCCATCCCTTGTTTCCTGGAAGGGGAACACATTCCCAACACCCGGAAGGTAGTTCCCTACCTATAGCACCGGCAAAGTGCTCCAGCAAGCGCTTTTTCGGTGCAAATGCATTCTAAAAACGTAGCTGGATTCCGGGAGAATCCGACAGAAACCAGCGGAAACCACTGGCAAAGGTCGACTTTAGTAGACCCAACAACACACCTTGGCCAAGCAGTTCAACAGCACACACTCGGATTGCTTAGAGGATACCTTCAAAAAAAAGAGAAAACCGCCTCCTTTCCAAGGATTTGGATCCAGAGATGACTTGTATGGCCCGAATGCAGCCCCAAGGAGGCCCAAACAAGAAACTGGAATGCTATGATGCATTCACTCGCTTGGCTACTGTGGCTCCCCTTAGCTCGGCGACTTGACAGCTGCAGCCCGAAGGGAAAGGAGCCATTAGAGCAAAAGATATGTTCGTAAGCGTAAATCTAACAAGGCATCACCGGCACAAACATCATGGTCAGGCGAGTGGGGTTTTAGGGGATTCTTTCTGGGCTTCCCGGTCTTTCTGGAGAATGAAACTAGCAATGGGGGATCTCCTGCGACCATTTAGCTCAAGAAAGCGCCAAATGGAGCCGCTTGAAAATCCGCCGATCGAACGCTTGCCCGTCTCTTGAGCTTGGTCTTAGGGTCGACCCGTAAAAAAAGATAAAGGCAGTTTCCCGCAACGAACGCTATTGGCTACTCCCCTGCACATGAACTCCCCGCAAAAACTGGCACTTTACTGGTGGTTTCGGCTGAAAAAATAAACACTCCAAGAAGGGAAATGGAGGAAGCTCCTGTCTTAAAAAAAAAAAAGCTTTCTGGGTTCCCTGTTAGGTCGGTTAGGCCCTCCAGCAGAGAGGTTAGAATAAGGGTACCCTTTGTTTTCTGTAGTCTATTTGAGTAGGGGAACCCTCCCCCCAAAACGGGTAAAAGGGCACTACTGGGGGCCCCTAGCCTGCTAATCTGTTGGGGAAGGGGTATTTTTTTTGCAGCGGTGCGAGGCGTCCGCCGTGAAGAGGTTGGAGTCGCTGGCTGTGTCGATGGTCCAGCCCGCTTTGCTCATGGCGTCTGCGGACTCGAAGTTGTTCAGTTGCAGGTTGCCGCCGCAGAAAGGAGACCTGAAACCAGGGCGATCGCGAGCCCAAACCCGAGAAACCAAGCCTAGACCCTTAGCCCCAAGCTCTCCCTCGTGTCGTCGGAGTGTTGGCCAAGCCCTATACTTTTGAGCTCCTTTAGGGAAACTGGCGCATAAACCACCGTTTCAGGGTGCAATTGGGGATGTCACTTCGCTGGACCCACATTCAAAACCCATGATTAGCTGATAGAGATACATGTTAAACTGACTTGAAACAAGGTTGCTCGGGCAGCTCCTAAAGGTCCTGGCTCAGATACACATTTGCCCTGTAAAAAGGGAAACCTAACCAAGACACACGTTCTTCCCTCGTGGCTTGGTCATCTTGTAGGGGCTTGAAGAGAAAGTGCAAAAATCACGGGAAACACGAGCACGGTCTTCCAAACCTCCAAATGATGCGCATCCCAAGGGCCAGCCAAAGGCAAACCACTTCGAGCTCCAAAAGCAGAATTAAGATCATGGCTTTCGCTCGTTATACTCCCGAATCGGAATTCCCAACTGCCTGGGTTCGACCGTTTTGGCTTCCCCGGCAACATGCAGCAAAGCAGGTCCCTGGTTCTGACCTCTGACATACTCCGCAAATGAACATGGAATCCGACAAGGCTGTTAGGGAATGAGAAATGGAATGAACCGGTTGGGATTCCTGAATCAAGGAAACCATATGATGGATGGTTTCTCTTGCGGTCATTCCAACTCTTTCCCTGCTGAGCACCAGGGAGTTCAGGAGACTCCTCCAATTGCAAATGATTGCAGTTTGAGGTTCCACGTTCACCTGAAAAGTTCCTAGCCGACCGGAAGGCCTGCAAATCTCTTCAAGCTTCCGACGTGCTCCTCTGGGCCAGCCTTCCCCCCTACAAGTACCACCGTTTTCCCCCAGCTAAACAAACTCGCGTAGAGCCCGTTCAAGACATTGCCTCTCTGCGGCCAAAGGGGGCAAAGCCAGGCATGGTGTGGCCCAGCTAAGAGGCAGGCATGCCGACCTTTGGTCCCTTTTCAGAAGGCCACTGGAGCAAAGGAAAGCGAACCAAAATCCGGGTGCGAACTCTGCTCTGCTAAAAGTTGACAACTGTTTGGTGGTTTCATGAATAACCCATGAGTTGGCAAGAAGTTAAGGTCCCAACATCCCTTGGCAAAATGCAACGAAGAAAAGTTCCCTGACTTTTGAGAGCACACAACTTGTTCGACGACTTCCCTCGGCTGGCGCTTGCCGGGCCGCGCTTCTGGGAGGAGGCAGGACACGTCCGAGTGGTCCCGACACACCCGGCCCGCCGCCAGCAGGGTCTCCAAGCCTGAGCAAGTCAGGACGGAATGAACTTCTCGACAGTGCTGATCCCGGATGAACCGCTCTCTCTCTCTCTCTCTCTTTCTCTCTGCCGTTGCGTCCAGAGGGTCTTGACTCAGCAAGGCAACGAAAAAGGTGCCCACCGATTTTCAGGGGCACCAACAACATACTAGCCGGGCAGACATCAAGTAGGAGCCAGAAGGATGAATCAACCCGCAGTATGTTCCTTTGGTGTCCCTGGGGAAATTTGGGGAGACCCCCACCCACCTATTGATAGGGTGAGTTGTTCTTATACCACAGTACTTTCGGTGCATGCCGGGAGATCTGCCGTCCTTGTGGGGGAAGGGGAGGAGGGATACTATGGGGCCGCAAGTGCCGAAAGGGGCCAAGGGGGCAATTGTTTAACAACATATGTCCGACCCAAAAACATCACCGGCCAAAGGAACTCACCAAATGGGCTACCGAAGTGGCATATTGTTTAAAGCCACCCTGCAAAGGGAAATCTAGGAACCCCTGCAAAAAGTGTAACTTGGTTTTTCCATATTGTGGTTAGTGGAGATGCCAATTGACTTTGGTGGAATACACCACTTGGCAAAGGTTGAGCCATCCAAAAGTTGCAAAACATGCAGTAGTTGTTCGAAACCCAAAAACAGACTGGGCCCTCCAGTAGAGAGGTTAGAATAAGGGCACCCTTTTCCTGTAGTCTATTTTAGTAGGGGAACCCTCCCTCAAAACAGGGGTCAACAAGGGCACTACTGGGGGACCTAGCTCAGGGCGCCAGGTGGAAGATCCGACCTCAAGACAGGCCGAGAAGCAGCAGATATCCAGCGCCCCGTTGGAGGAACAGCTGGTTCCTCCGCAGGTGCCGCAGGAGGAAGCGCAGCAGTACCTCGCTTTGGCAGCTGCGAGCGGCGAGCTGCGGGCTGCGGGCAAGCCCCTTGCTCCTCTTCAGCCCTTGGTACGGTGGGTGGACGAAATCCGCTTCTCGCACCAGATGGAAACCATGGTTGAAACCACTGCGGATTGGTATTTACAGGGGAATCAAATCATTCCTAGGCGTTAGGTGGTTCAGGATTTCGTCCATCCACAGTATGGTAGCAAAAAAGATGTTGCTTTTGCAAGCCCCCGTGACTTCGCCGTTGTTGGCATGTGTTTAGTTGTTGTTTGTGCTTTTTGGTATTGGTACTTTTTAGATTCCCTCCAACAATCATGGAAGTGAATAGGGACCTTCCCCAAAACCTCCTGGCAACTGTCATAATTGGAGGAGGGAGGGTATCAGGGGTGGTCCCCCTTTCAATCAATAGGTATCAATTTTCGGGATTCCTCTGTAGGGTCCTCTGAATGCATTACAAAGCCGGGGGGGTTTACTATTGGAGTGGATGTTCCTGTCATATTGCAAGCAAGGGAACGAGGAAACCATCTAAGAAACCAAAACCTGCGGTTTGCCCCTCCGATCGTTTTATTTTGAGCCACACCACACTTGACCTTGGCTTTGTGGGCCTTTTCGTGTGGCTGGCTTGGAAGCGCATGGAAGCGCTCAGGGCATCCAACACAACCTACCAGATGTGGGATCCTCGGAACCTGGAGGACCCTCAGAGCACCCCTTATAGATACTTGTGGATGGACGAAATCCTGAGAAGCGATCGCACATTTACCCCTATCGAAACGGGGAAGAAAAAAACTAAACTGCCTGGAGCAACTCAAAAAAACGAGTGAACTGAAAAAAACAGAAGGAAAAAAAAAGAAAAAACAAAACGGTGGTTTCCATCTTTGCCACGTTTTGACTTCCCACGGCACACGACAAACCCGTCGATTCACCCGAACCTCACACGAACCGCTCGCCTGGAGCCATCGGTGCCGGAGGGCCGCACCCCGCTGCCGCACCAAAGGTCCTCGTGGAAAACTTTGTTGGGGACTTGGAGGGCGATTTGTGGCCTGGGCGGTTTTCTTTCTTATGTTTGTTTCTTTAATATATATATATATATATATATTTACGTCTTGTCTCTGTTCTAGTTTATCTGATTTTCTGGGGGGGGCAGTGTTGCTTCTGTGCTAGTTGTCATAGTTGTCTTTTTTTGGCAGGGGGGGCTGCGTCGTTGTGTCTTTGTGTTTGCTATTGTTCTTAGTTGTCTGTCTTTCATTTGTTCTTTTGTTGATTATTGTTGTGTTTGGGGGTTGTGTCTGTTTTTGATGTGTTTGTTTCTGTGTTTTTTTTGTTGGTGGGGGGGCTGCAAAGCCCAGCCACCCCGGATCTGATGTTCTTCGTAAACATTTTGCCAAGGAATCTGGATTTGGGGGAAGGGTCCCAAGGGATGATTGATTATCCAAGTGGATAAGTTGCAACCACTTTTGGATCACTTTTGGATCTGATGCATCCAACTGCCAAAGTTGCCAATCAGCTCGTAAAATGATTGATCCGACGGACGAATGCAAGCTCGGGGCCCCTAACCAGGCATCACGGGGGCCCCGTGATGACTCGGTCTTTTAACGTGGCTGCGTCTTGCGAGATGTTCAAAAAAGACTTTCTGTTTATGGGCCTCAGGGTGTCAGGTTTTTTGAACCCAGTGAATCGCTCGGAACAGTTGGTCATAGACTCCTGGCAACTAATCAAAGGGAATCTGATTGCTCCAACCATTTCGCTCGCATGGCGGCCATGATAGGCTCGCAAGGCCTGGGGTTTGCGGGGGAAGCCTGTCTCAAAAACCAAGGAAGACACCCCACAAACACGAGGGTAGACCACCTTTGCATAAGGCGGTTCATGAACCGGCCAACAAGTGTAGGATTTATGGTGTTTACCTTGCTCAGAGTAACGAGGATGATAAAGGCCGACAAAAATGCAAGAGGTTTGGACCATGCCCAAAAAGCCAAGATAGGGGGCATTCGGTAGACCCCAGGAGAAGGTGGTTCTTTCTCAGGGTCCCTACATTGTCGATTCGAGTGCGGCTCAAAAAGAAGAACAGCCGGGGCGAATCGCAGGTTTTAGTTTTTGTTCCCAGAAACCAAGGGAACCTGTTGGGGATTGTATTTTCTTGGGCCATCGCCATTTGCTTACCCCTTAAAACTGCAAGCCTGGGGAAGTTAATCTTTTACAGACATATAGCCCATGTTACCCAAAGAGTTGAAAGTTGTGTTCTTTAAGAGGTAAGTTTGGGGACTAGAAGCAATGCCAACTCCCGATCTTATAAACCATCCCCTTTGGTTTCCTTTCAGTGAATCACTGGGCACCCTGGGTCATTCACCTCCAAAGGGCAAAACAGCAAAAGGCAAGCTAAGCCTGGCACTGTTTTGGGGTTGCAGGGCGAAAGTAGACGGCTCGATTTTACGTCGGTTTAGTCACCGTTACTGGTCCAAAGAAAACTGTGCCATCTACCAACTTGGCGTCCCCCTGTTGGCGACAGACCCTAACAAGGATCCTCGAATAATCACAATCGAAACCTGGTACAAACAAGTCAACCCACCTAGCAAAGAATAAAACTGGTCGTGTAGTGACATCCTCCATTTGTTCTCTCAAATTTGTGACTGACAGGGGAAACAGCCCAACATGATTTCGAGAAAAGGGTCAAGCCTTGCCTGTTCCTGAGCGTGACCTTCTTCGCTTTCGAGGGTGTTGCTTGCTCATTTTGGCAACCCAACCCCAATTTTTGCCGTTTCCCCTGCGGTGTCCCTTGAAGCCCAACCCCAAGAAAGTGCTCCCCCTCTGACATGGAACCTCCCGTACGAAGATCGTCTTCCAGGAGCCCCTCGGTCAAGTGCCATGCTTCAGCTTCCCTCTAGTTGGCTTGGATTTGGGGATTTGAACCGGCTTTTGTACAGGTTGGGAAACCACCAATCCAAGCCACCAAACCACCGGGCTCCAAACCACCAGTTAGGAAGCTGAATGTTAGGGATGAGAGGCTCTCAGTTGCTTAAAGGACCCAGCAAGAAAAGGCCTACCTTTTGGGGCCATGACTACATACGGGAACCCAACATGGCAACAGGTCAAAAGGTCATTTCAGGTCGATTCGTTTTGAACCACTGAGGGCTAATGTTGACCCCGGAATTATAAACCCCTGGTTGATTTTGAGCCGGGGGTTTCCCCTTTTAGTGGGGATTCAGACCACTTTTGGAGGGAACACCGCCTTAACAATGGGACGGGTTTATTAATCCTGGGTCAACATTACCCAAAATCGGGGGCTTAGAAGAAGACAACGGCTTCTTTTTGTTGGGGGGGGGGGAACTGCAAAATGTGGGGGGGGGGGGGAGTGTCCTCTTCTTGACCCATGCCGTTCTTTCATGGGTCGACATCAGCTTCCCGTCACTCGGATTTTTCGTGCACCGCTTTGGCGGTTTGAGCCGCCTCCCCGCAGCGCGCCACGAAGGAGGTGCCCACCACGGTCACCACGGAGGAGCCCAAGGTAAACTCCAGGTCGCCGTCCACGAAGCCCTGGCGCCGAAGAAAAGAAACACACACCTGACCATAGGTGTCCTTTTGGGAAAATCGCTGGGTTTCCCTGGTAAATGGGGCACAAAACCCATCTAAACCAGTGGAACCCATCTATTTTTAACCAGGCTCACCTAAAAAGGACACCTATGCACCTGACAATCAAAACCCGGCATTAAAATGGTCCACGAAGAACCATGTAAAGAACTAAGAAGGCGGATATCCGCAACTATTTCCGGCTGCGACTGCCCCTTGCTAACCTTCATCTACCCGGGTTTTTGAGCACGTGGCTCACCTGGGGCTGCGAGTTGGGCGAGGGGCGCTGGCCCCAAAGAGGCCCGAAAGGTGAAAAAAACAACACGACTCTGCAAATTCTAAGGTGGGATTCCCATCCCTACAAGGTGGGCCTAGGACTACTTCTGGCTGTTGGGAAAAATTGGCTTTCCACGCTGCCAAAGTGGAAGTCCAACCCCCACGAAGGAACTTGACAAATGAGGGGGAATTGGAGGGGGACCCTAAAAATGGGAAGGGGGATTTGCATTTGGCCGCGGTCTTTTCGAGGGTAAGGAGCGCCTTTGCTTCGTGGTTCTGATGGTTTTGAAGGGAAACCGATGGAAGACCACATTGTTGTTGTCTATGTTGTCTTGTCTTTTTCTGGGGGGGGTGGGGGTGGTCCCGTAAAAATAAACACACATACGTTCGCGCCAGGATCAGAAGACCTTGTGTGTGTGCGCGCGTCATGGCCATTTCTTTCTGGGCAAAAGAGCGCCTTGCGCTAATCGAGAAGTTGAACCCTGCTTCGAGGACCTCTGCAAACCTCAGATGCAGCCTCTGAGGGGTGTGGGCAAACCCATTCCCCAACTCCATTATTTAGAGGATTCTAGTTGCTTGGAAAGGAGCGTAGATGGTTTCCGTGACTCGCCAAACCACCCGTCCGTACAAGCTCAGGGACGTCTTTTGTTGGGGGGACATCCTGAAGCCCTGCTTCAACCAAAGGTCCGGGTGAACGGGCGATCGGGACACGAGCGCTGGGCTAGACTCGCTCAGAATGGGGCGGGGTGTCTCATCCTTTTTTCTTTTTTCTTTTTTTTTCGGGAAACCAAAAGGGAACACCACAAGTTTGTGACATCCCCCCCCCCCACTTTAAGACTCTTCCTGCAGTTGCGGAACGTACCACCCATTCTGTGACACCAACAATTTGTCGTTCCCATAACCGTACAGGGCCATGGGTCAAAACCCCGGCTGGCCCAGTGAACATCCCAATCTCCACTAAAGTGGGCTTAAAATGGGTGCCCAAAATGGGTGCCCAAAATGGGATCCCATTGGTTTTGACCCACAGCCATGTATAAATTTACAACAAACACAACTCACAGCCATAATTTACACAACCCACACCAGTAATTTGTCATCCCCATAACCAGTACATGACCTCAAAAAAACCACTGTATCAACTTTGGGGGTCCCGGGTTTTCATTAGGAATCAGCGACAGCGCCGCGATGGCCTTCTTGACCGTGAAGAACTCCTCGTCCTCACCTCACTTGCGAAATGTTGGGCCGATAAAATCGCGAAAGGCGAGCAAGAACAGGACTTGGTTGCTGCATCGACCCCCTGCGAAAAGTTGACCACTTTTTGGGGGGTTTAGTGGAAAACACCTTTAAACAATTCCTAAAAAGTTAAAGTCTAAAGATCCAACCCAATAGCAGATAAGAGGTGATCTCACCTTTGCCCTTCGGGCCACGAAAAATTGGGAAACCAAAGGGAAACCAAAAGGTGAACAGGCGCATTCGCAGCAGGTCCTTTGGAACAAACAACGGACCAAGTCAGGGAAACCGGTGAAAAGAAAAAAACGTGGCTTCGCTTTCAGGTTGCAAACTCCTCGGTTGCTTTCTGCTCCCCTGCTAAAAGTTCAACTTTTAGTGGTCTAATGGAAAACCCATTCGTTGGAAAAAGCTAAAGTCCTCACATCCCTTGGCAAAATGCACCAAAGACAGAGTGATTCGTCTTTGGCTCTTTGGAACAAACCATGGGCCAAGTCGGGGGAAAAAATCCGCGGCTCCGCTTAGCCGCCTTTCAGGGAGGTGATGGTGTTGTTGTCGAACTCGATCCGCGCCACCAGGACGTCCGTGGGGAACGGGATGAACTTGGTCCAGGTGGCGCCCTCCAAGTACTGCCACTCCTCGAGGCGCGTTTGCGTTTGAAACATGCGCGCGCGGGAGGAGAATTACTCGCTCGCCGGTGGAACGAACGCGTAGCAAGAAATAAAAGGCTTGGCGAGCTGTTGGGACCAGGACTACATATGGCTGTGCTCAAAAAAACCGGAATTCCAAAATGGGTTGCCCTGGCAAGTGGAAACATGGACCAAAACCTGCGGTTTGCCACTCCTGTTTAATTTTGAGCCAAAACCATATGGACCATGGTAAAATCAAAAGGTTAAAAAGTTGATTCGCTTGGAACAACTGAGAATTTAAGCCCATGCTCCCACCTATTGAGCTACCCTCCCACCTAACATGAAACATGACTCGGGTCCCCAGAAGACCATTCTGGTAGGTTCCATGCTAACGTGGACCAAAAAGGTGTGCACTCAGCTTCCCTCCAATTGGTGGCTTGGATCGGCAGTTTGGTGGTTAAAGGAGGGGTGTCTACAAGATCCAGCGGTTCAAGTCCCAAACCACCAGCTAAAGTAAGGTACCCCTAGGCAGAAAAGGGGTCCACGCCACCCGGTCACGTACGTGACAGCGCCACATGCTGCGGTGGAAATCTCTCGTTGCCACCCAACTGGGGCGTGTCTGAGGATACAAGCGGAAAACCAAAAACGTAGGGTGACAAAGGCGTAGAAAGTGGTACTCAGCTCCTTGGGAAGCCTCATTCACCCTCTAAAGCCATGGCTTCAAATCTCCAAGCCAATCCGTTCTGCGTGTGCAAAGCAAAATCTCCAACGTTCGTTTCGACCCCCGGCGTTCGGCTCCAGGCCCGCGAAACGGGCGCACACAAAGTTCTCCGCGTTGCTGGTCGCGCTGGAAGACCACCTGGAGCTTCCGTGGATCAAGTCGATCGGTTCCAGTGCAAGCCATCCAAAATCCCCTTCTGAACTGGAGATCCCTCCAATAAAATGAGCTATGTAGTTTAGCGTGACGTTCCATGGCTTTTGCGGAGCATGGCTGGCTACCAAATCGGCAGCCTGAACTGTGATAAGCCGCCCCAAGCAAGAAACCTGGCTGAAACCTGATGCATACCTGATGCAGCCTGTCATGCAGCCCGCGCCCCCTCACAGGGGGGCCTCCAAGTTCCATTCATCCGGTCTTCCACGCAGACGTAGGTTGATCACATGTTTACAGGATGGGGAGGCCCACACGGCGAAAACACAGCGAAAAACGTTGACCCCACCTGAAGTTTGGGGCATGTTTGAAGTGAGGCCGTCTCTTGTCCCAACGTGCACGCGTAGTTGCTTGCATGTGCACGTATGAAAGCTGGCCGCCGGGGAGGGGGGGGGCGAGGGGCGGGGGGGGAACATCAATTTTGGTTGGGGGTACGTTCTTTGAATTGGCCTAGTTGTGAATATGATCGCATGGGCGAACTATTCAAACGCAACCTCACACACCTGAAGCAACGGGCAAGCTCGTGCAATCGCACAAGTGAGATCGCTACAAATTTGGCGCAACAAAAAAGAAGAAGAACGAGAGTCAAACCCGAAGGGTGAAGGGTGAACAAAAGGAAAGGCACCCAATCCATCCACCCAATCCATCCACCCTCCCTTGATGCACTTGACAATCACCAAAATCCCCACAGCCAAACCCTCCCCCAACCCCCAGCCTCCCCAATGCCCCGCCTGCTGGCGCGGCTTTGCTTGGAGTACATGAGGAACCCCAGGCGTGCCTCAACCGGAGGATGGGGCTTCAAACCATCAGTTTTATCCACCCAACTGCTTGCGGGCGGGAGGGGGAGGGGGAGGGCGCCCGAAATGTGTTGGCTCCCTCCCCCCAGCTGCCATGATTGCAGCAACCTCCTTTTGCTTTCATTTTGGGGAGGGGGGAACAGCAGTGCGTTGGTTTGCTTCCCTGTTCAAGGGGCTCGGGGGTTGCTTTGAAGGGGACTGTGACAAGGGTTCTCCGGGGCTTCTGGGAGATGAAGGGAAAACCGGGCAGGTTTCTGTGGTTGATGTTCAAGGGGCTGCGCCCGCAAGACAACCTAGGTTCTGGAAACTTAAGCTAATGCCCACCTTCGGCTTCCTTTCAGTGAACCTACAGGTGTCAGGCCGTTGAGAAACCTGTTGGAACCCACAAATGCCTGCACGTTTTACAAGAGTTCCACACCTGAAACGAGAATTGGACCAAGTAAACAGCTTCATGGCTTTCATTGATGCATTCGTCTTACCCCAGAATCGGAGCTCGTCAACACATCGTGACATGAAGAAATCATTGGTCTTATAACTATTTGAAGTAGTCTACAGTGTGCTTGTGACATAGGAGGTAATTGCCCAAATTCCAGACAAAAACCCAGCGGAACAGCCAAACTCCCCACAAAAACCCAGGGGGACCACCCAACTTCCCCACAACAAACCCAGACCTGCGCCAGATCTGCCGCCCCCTCCGCCCCGCCCCGATCCCCCCGACGGAAGTGCCATGAACCGCCATGAGCCGCGCCTCCACCCCCGAGTCGTGCTGGCACTGGGCGCCGCTGCCCAAAGTCCCCACCGAGCGCTCGCAGGTGTGTGGCACCGTGGAGGAGGCGTAGTCCTCGGCTCCGCTCGGCTCGCTCGCTCGGCTCGCTCGCTCGGGTGGTCGGTGGATCTTAGACGTCTCCGTCTGTTTGGGACCGCCCGGTCCCCCGAAGAAAAAACAAAAACATGGGGTGGTTTGTTTTCACCGAGCGTCTGTTGTTTTGAGGATACCATTTTGAGGTGTCTGATGTTTCAAGGGTATTGAGGTACCCTTCAAGGGGCTTCTGATATTGAAAGCGTACCCTTCAAAGGGGGTAGGGGGTTTTAAAGGAAGCCACTCATTTTGGGGGGTGCCCTTGGTTTGACGCACACCCAAATCATCCGTTGGTGATTCAAGCTCAACACACTACAACCAGAACTTTACATAACACAAACCAGAACTTGCCATATTGCCTGGCAGCATGTGCAGGGTAAGCATTGTTGCAGGTTGTCTTAGGATGCGCCCATCGCTTTCCATGTGTTTCAATGTTTTATGTGGGCTTAAGTTCTTGCTCACTGCCCTTGACATCAGCTGGAGCTCATTTGCGCAAGCGACTTAGCGACTTAGAGAGTGAGGAAGACGAGTTACAAGCCGGGGTTCACTTTTTGCTGATTGAAAGGGACCTGATGGAAAACCAGCAAGGCAAGCTTGGTTGACGTTGGAAGGGGAGCAAAATTTAAATCTTAGCAGTTAAGTGGGGATTTCCCACTAAACCACCAGAAGCAAAAATGTAAAATGTTTCCCAACAACAACCATGCAAGGGGGGAGTGGTTTTTCCCAGAGGTCTTTGGTTTAGAGTAGGCCTCCGGTTTCCAAGGTAGGGCCATCGACAGCTTCCCCGACCAAAGCTGCCAGCCGAGGCTCATAGATGTAGAAGTTGCTGCTCTTTCCTGCCTGCAACAATCAACACGCGCGGAGGCCCCCCGAGCCGCCCGGCTGAAGGTAAAAGGCTCATCTCCGCAACTCGGCAACGAGACGGCTCAGTAGTCTCCAGCGACCGGAAGCGAACTCCAGGACCAAGAACAAATCCACAATTCAAAATTTGTGAGACCCAGAATCCCCCCAAAACCTCCACAAAGGTCGCCAAAGGTTGTCTAACCGCGGACTGCTTCAAGAAAGCTTGGACCCCGCATGCACCAGACATCTTGCCTGGAGCGAGCTCCCAAAACCAACACCCACCGATCCGCGCGATTGATCGATCCGATCTTCGGTCGATCGTTCGATCGCCGGTTGTTGTTTTGCGGTTGTTTTCTGTGGACATGCACTGGTGATGCATGCCCATCATCTTGGCGGCTCAAAGGTTGTCTTTGAGACTTTGCGAAAAGAAACCCCAGAAAGCAACAAACCCCAGACTCTCTGAAACCCCAGAAGGTTGTCTCTGAGACTTGGCGGCTCGGCACAAACCAAAAGACCAGGGGAAACACTCGCTGGGTGAACTATAATATTTCACCAGCCTGAAATAAGGTGGTTGGAGGGATATTCCCACATAAAATTTGGGGTGAGGTCGAGTGAGGTCGTTATAATTCACCCAGGACTTTGGGAGAAGAAACCCCAGAAAGCCACAAACCAAAAGACCCAGGAAAACACTCGATCGATCCATCGCTCGCCTGGGTGTCCTTGGAGGTGCACTCCGAGACCCCGATGGAGCTGTACTCCCCGCTGCTGGCGGAGCTAGGCCCCGAGGTGCCCGGGAAGCCCTCGTCTGTGCCTGCCATGTGAGGAGGGGAGGGGGGGGGGGGGGGGCGGGGCCCAAGTCCACTGCTCCAGTCTTCCAACCAGAAAGAGAAAATGGACGTTATAAATGGGGATTTGCAGGGCCCCAAGTACAAGCTTTAAGGTAGGGATGATGTGAGGAGGATGCCGTAAACCCCGAAACGCCAGCGGTTTGCTTTTCTTTGAGCGGTAACCAAAGGAAAAACATTTTGTTCTGGGGTCTCTTATTGTAATGAATTTGAAGCAGGGACCCAAAATGGTGGACGGGATTCATATCCACCACTGAGGTGGGATCTTGAAATTCATAATTACCCAGATGGGGCTGCCTTAAACCCTCTACTTGACGGTGTTTTTGGTGGTGTGCGGGTTGTCAAAAAATTGGAGATCCCAAAAAATGGCCCTAAATGGTGGCTTTCCTTTTGGCTTCATTTTGCAAACAGCCAAAAGGGGGAGCCCCCACAAAAGACGCAGCCATGTGTTTCCCTCAAATGCATCAATCACCCCACCAAGAAGAAAGTCACTTTCAACACCAAGGCCTGATTAGGTAGAGCCCTCAGGACCATGGGGAGGATCATAGATGCAAAGAACAGCAGCGTGGGCTGCTTCAAGACTAAATTGCTGCATGCAATAAGAATTACTTACCCCTTAAAACTCCAAGCCCTGGGGAAGTTAATCTTTTACAGACATAGCCCATGTACCCAAAAAGTTAAAAAGTTGTGTTTTTTTCAGAGGTAGGATTATGGGTGTATTTCTTGGGCCCTTCAAATCTGCCCACCCCCCTTGGGGCTTCCTTTCTCCGAGGGCCCCATATTGGATGGACAGCCCTCACCGATCGATCACCCGGTCATTTTCCCCGCCCCCGTAGCCATAGGAGGTCCAGGCGTTGGTATCCAGAAGCGCATCCGCCAAGCTGGGGTAGATCTTGAAGTCCGTGCCTGAGATCCCAGGCGAAAGTTGGACCCTCGGTTTTCTCGATTCAATCAGGCTGGGGGGAGGGGGGGGAGAGGTGTTTCATTGGGTTCAGGGGGGTTTTTAATACGGGTCCGACACTCAGCTTCCCTCTTGGTTTGATCCTTCCCTCTGGGTGGCTTGGCTTCTCCCCAAGACCCGCCAGAACCAGGGGCTCAAATCCAAACCGACAAGTAGAGGGTTACCCGAGACCCCCATCCACTGAACACATGGAATGCAACCAAACCAGTGCGAGCGTTGATCCTTACATTTGCCTTTTTGTGCCCCGTAGAAAAAGTGAGAACATATGTCCAACAGTGAAACCGATTCCCTTTGAAACCAGGGGGACACCAAAAAAACAATCTTCATTTCAGCAAATGGAAGTGGGAAGTAGTCGCCATGTCTCGCGCCGCCAAAATCCACATTTCCTGGCGAGGGGCCGCCAGTATTGCTGGTGGACGTGAAGGAGCACGCCATCGCCAGGAAGGCCGACCAGCTGCTGGGAATATCTGTCAACCTCCAAAAAGCTCGGTGGGGTCGTGGAGTTTACGTGCGTCTTGGAGGGCATGATCCCCAACAGTTTTTGGGTGAGCATGAACAGCAGCAGGAACACCACTAACATGCAGGTGTGTTTGTCGCTCTCTCTCTCTCTCTCTTTCTTTTGAGGCGGGTGGGGGGGGTGGAGCCTATTCCCCATGGGGGCCGGTTCCCCAATCCCAATACGGACAACTTTCACGACTGATACTCACTCTGGTAAGGCTATTGAGGGCCAACAGGGAACATAGCATGGCCTCTAATATAAGTACAAGACCTACATCAGCATCATGAGCTCGATTCCCCCCCCCCACCCCACCCCCCCAGACCTCTCAACATACAACCCCTGTGCTTCGACCTACATCATGAGCTCGATTTCCCCCCGCCCAGACCTCCCAAGATGAAGCCTTTTGCCCGTAGGCCTCTTGCCCCGAAATCACCCCACGCCTCCGGTAGAAGATGTCCTGGAAGCCCGAGGAACAGCCGCTGCAGGTCCTCCGGATGATCTTGAAGCGGGAAGCTGCAAACCTGGGCGTCGTCAACCCCGGCGTGTCGCTTTGTTGAGGGTACCCTTTTTGAGCTGTTGTTTTTGTTTTTGCATTTTTTTGGGGGGGGGGGGAAAGCAACGGGAGAACCCTCTGTTTTGTTGGGTCCGTGAAAAAACGACACCCCCCAAATGTTGGGGGAGAAGGGGAATGGCGGGGAGGGCAGCTGGTGAGCGATCAAGTCCATGGCCCTAAAGCGTCTGAACATTTTCTTGACCACTATCTAGGTCCTCCAGTGGAGAGGTTAGAATAAGGGTACCTTTTTTTTCTGTAGTCTATTTTAGTAGGGGAACCCTCCCCGCAAAAAGAAACGGTAAAAGGGCACTACTGGAAAAAACCTGGTTGACCACTATGGTCCAAACAAAAAGCACGCCTAAAAGCTCCGAAACGGAACTCAGGAAGTGAGCTTTGGTGAGTTTCCTGCCTTGGAAGCCAAGGAACATTTTCCAAGGGCCCCCACAAAGGGGGGTTCCCCAGTCTCCCACCTACAAGAGCCCTAGGAAGCTGTGGGGGGGCTGTGGGGGGGCTTTCAGAGTTCAATTGTTAGTTGCTCTCATTGTAATGTTGTTCTCCCCGAGGTAGGCAGTTTCACCAGGAAGTTGATGTCCTCAAAAGAGAACCCCTAGGTTTAAGTGTGGGTGTCGTGAAATAGGGAATCATGTTGCCCTTTGGTTTCCCTTTAAACCCACCAAAAAACAAACAAAAACAGAGCCCTCAAAATTCACATACCCCCCTCATGGGATTTTCCTGGGGCCTCTGCTCTGTTCCCCAAACCGGTTTGGAGGAAACAAAACGCCGGGACTGCGTTCCCAAGGAGCCGCGCGTCGAAGGCGGTCTGCCCCAGGCTGAAGACGGTGCCCGCGGAGCTGAGGCCCAGCCCGAAGCGCCACTCCTCGCGAGGAGCAGCTTGGCTTTGGCGTTGGGTCCAGAGGAGTTTGGGGGGGGGGTGGTCCGGGAAGGATTTTTTTTGGGGAGGTTGGGGGGGTAGGAGGGCGGCGTTGGCGTTGGGTTGGGGAGGGGGGGGGGAAGGTTGGGGGGGGTAGGGGGAGGTCGGAGGTTCGGGGGGCAGGAGGCAGCTAGGTGATTTGAGCGGTTAGAATAAGGGTGCCCTTTTTGCTGCAATCTGTTTTAGTAGGGGAACCCTCCCCAAAAAAGGGTAAAAGGGAACTACCGGGGGACCTAGGCAGGAGGCAGCTGCAACGGGACCGCCAGAAATATGGTGAAGGCACCTTTTTGCATCAACCTCTTCCTGTTTTCAACCCTCCAAAAGTCACCACCCGTCCCTTTTTTCACTTGGGGCCCTCCAAAAGTGGGCTGATTCCCCACAAAAATAAAGCAAAAAAAGGAACACCCCCATATTGAGAGACAGAGTTGGTTAATGCGGAACCAACATGTATTCCCCATACGAATCAACCTCAGCTCATTCATGGGGGAAGGGGCCCTTATTTCCCGCAAAACCCAGGAACATCCCCGAATGAATAAACCAGGGTTGATGCATATGGGGTCAACATTATTCTATGGGTACCTTCCCCATTATTTCCAGGGATCCTTCTTCTCAGGAAACCATCAAAATCGCAGGGGAAACGCTCGGTTTTGAAAAAGAACGATGGTCGAAAAGAATGGGGAATCAACCCCTAGAATTATGGTGCACCCTAAATGAAAGTCAGCCAATCACAAAGCCCGGAGAGACTGCGAGACACAGGAGGTAAACTTTAATCCAAAGGAAAAGCGGAGGTAAATCAACCGGGAAAGCTTCCAACCATTCTTTCCAGAGAGTCTTTTGAGGGAACCATCAAACACGACAAAACAGCTTGCCGGTTTTTGAAACGAACCATGGTTGGAAAGAATGTGGAATCAACACCTAGAGGTGCTGGCGAAAATACTTGGTTTCCCCAAAAGCTGCTGCTTACGGAAAATGAGTCAGTCCCCTGAGTTTTGTGGTCAATGCGACCAATGCCCCATGTCCTTCCCAATGGACCAGGCCAGGGAAGTAAACAGGACTACCAGATACATTCGGAGCGAAACTCGCCTGGTTGATTTCTTCCGAATCCGACTCATTCCGGCAGTCGCCTCCTGGGCAGACCGCGCCCAACCGCAAAAAGCGCCTGCGCCATGGACCATGTCCGAGCCCGCGCCCCCGTCCAAGGCCCCCCGGAACCGAAAGCCGCGGGACCCGCGGAGCCCGGGTCCTGCCGGTCGCCCTCCAAAAAGATGGGATGCCGCACCTCTCCTCGCAGCCATTTCAAAATTTCGGTTTCGCCATTTCGCGGCAAGTCCGGGCAAGGGATCAGGGAGCTGGGCTGAAAAAGGCGCGGGGTCTTGGGTTGGTGCAGTGCACCTGGGAACCAAAAAGAAACCTCTGTTCCAGGGGTCCACCCAATTTTGACACATACCGCCCATAAAACCACCCCAACACCCCTAATCCCAAACCAGAATCCCCCAAAGTCCACCACCCCAACACCTCCAAACTCTGAAAAAACCGCCGGAAAAAATGCCCTTCCGCCGGAAAAAATCGGAATGTCTGGTGGCGCCACTGTCCTCATGCTACGCCATGCTACGCCCCGCTCCTGTCCGCACCAGAGTGGGGACACCCGTCACGCATGGAGGGATTGGATAGGACATGTAGCTCTCCGCGTAGCGGTCGAAGAAGGTGCTGCTGACCGCAAGCACCGTGGAACCTCAGTCACGGGAGGTCTGACACCGAGAAAAGTCACACGTAGACGTGGCAAGCCTTCAACACAGCTGGCGATCTTCAAACCGCTGGCAAAGGCGGCTGTCTTTTTGCAACCAAATGATGTAACCCTGTCAACTACAGGAACCCTGTCAAGAACCCAACCAATTGGGTGTTGTTCAAGCACTTGGGTAGAGGCCCCCTATCCAAGAACACTACAGGAACCCATCCAATCCTCTCAGGAACCCTGTCAACTACACAAGGATCAAAGTCTGAGAGGTTCAAGATCTTGCCTTCGGGCGGGGATCTTCATGACAAACCCATTGGTGAACATCAAGAAGAATGGGGATTTTTGCAGTATGTGAAGAAAGCGTTGTTTGAGGTCGCTCGCAGTCGAAGCTCATTGGCCCAATCATTCGGCCAACGAACTTCAACTGCGCTGGAGCTAAACCATCCTAAGCGATCGTAGAAGGAATGTCTCAAAGGTTCCCAAGTCAGTTCCCCAAATGGCCCAAAAAGTCAAAGGTTAAACCTTTGGGACCTCGACCAAAGCTAGACCAACAGGTCGCTTCGCTTCAAGAGAGTCAGGATACGTGCTTTGGCCGCAAGCTTCTCAGCACCTTCTTCTGCCCCTCCCCCCCCTCCCCCCAGACCCCCAGACCTTCCGGCCGAGAGGCTCTGGGTGGCGCCTGTGAGGTCGATGCAGGACCAGGGCTCTTCGTAGTGGGTGCTCATGGACCCAAGCTCGTCGCCTGCGATCTGGCTCCCTGGTACTTTTAGTGGATGCCGGGCCCGGCCTTCTAAGGGAACACTTGGAAACCAATTCTGGGAATCACCCGTCTCTGAAGCTGAAAAATATGATCCATATCTACATACCTCATATGTGGCTGTGGCTCAGAAACATCTAGCAAATGGCGGCTTGGGAGCTGGAAACAAAAACGAAAACCGGTTGGCCCCAGCCGCTTGGTTCTGAGACACACCCCTGTGTGTGTGTGTGCGTGCTATACCTTTATATACCTTCAAAGATACATACATACAAACATATATATATATATATATATATATGTCCACATACCTTTATGCAAATAGATGTATGTGTGTGTGTGTGTGTGCGTATGTATGTATGTATGTATGTATGTATGTATGTATGTATGTATGTATGTATGTATGTATGTATGTATGTATGTATGTATGTATGTATGTA